TGTGAAGTTGATTTCTTTTCGTATAACCAATTACAATTTATGATAATCTTTTATATATATACATATATAATAGTGGACATAACACATCTTTTACTTCCTCCACATTTACAATACGCTCCTTTCAGTTGTAAAAAATAAATTATTTTTAGTATTTTCAGTTACAAGGCTGAAAAATATTGGTGTTAATAATGCAATGAAAATACATCTTTTTTTTTATAATTTTATATAATTATCTATTGATTATCTAGTCTTAAATGATGATCTTGTAATACTACAGCAAAGCGATATTCGCCTCGTTTTGAAAATCAGCACAGACAGTAACACACCTAGCATTGGCTAATAATTACGAAATAATTTTATTAACAATCTTTTACGCTATATTCATATATCTTTTAAAAGATATATAAAAAGCCAGACTCTAAATGCGACCAGAATGACAGTATGGTACAAGGGTATTCATACAGAATAAAAATAGGGAATTACATTCGAGACCTTAAATAAATAAGTCTGATACGTATATATCAATGAAAGTGAATGAGTGAGTGTGTATATTATTTTCATTTTGTTTTTGTTGCTGTATCGTTGCCCTGATCATGCCAGATAGCTGTAAGTGTCCTTTTGTCCTTCTGTGCGCTCCAAATATTCTTTTTCAATTAAAATATCTATACATTTCTGCAAGAAAAGTATTTTAGGTTTATTAAAACATTGGTATTATTATTACGTAATTTTTATATTTACACAAATCAGTAATATCGTCTTTATAAGATTTTTAAAAATATATGAAGGGATAAAAGCCATAGTGGGGTGTAAGTCAAATGTTTTAAAATATTGACTCATGTGCATAGATGCAATTTATATATTATATAGATTGCATCTGTGCACACGAGTGATATTGGAAAAAAACAGAATCTTTTTTAAATAAATAAACTCACCTTAATGACATGTACTCTCGGCTTGAATCTAGAGCTTAATTGGTTCAATACTTCCGCCACCAACTGTTGATGTTTCAATACTTTCCGCATTTTCATAATTCTAACAATTGCTGCCTGAATTAAAAGTTTCCTATCTTCTTCTATGTGTTTGTGCGTAGTCTCTTGTTCAACCTTTAATTCCGTCTTCATCGGTATATTAATATTTACCCTTAACTTTTTGCTGTTAAACGAATAAATACTGTTGTAGCAATTGTTATAAGTAGTAGTTAGAGATATGTATATACATGTATAAAAGTGACATACTTTTTGTATCCTGTAAAAAGTTCTACCGTCGATAACGGGGTCAGTTCAGCTACATCATCGCTAGCTGCGGTTAAAAGCTTGGCTTTCAAAAGTATTTGAATAACCTGTACGAAGAAACTCTTAAGTATTTTATATTTTCAACATATTGCCTATCACTATCAAACTGTCACATTACCTGCAGTAAAAAATCCATCTTTATTTGTGTTGCATATTGCAGTTGTTGTATTGTCCATGATGTAGATCCATTGTACGCTAACAAAACTGCCATTTGGAAAGTCGATGCTTGCAATGTATATCTGTTCTTAAAACAATTTGTATGTAGCTCCCCCTTAGACATATTATATAGCCAATTTAACTTTCTGCCGCTGTGTTGTGAACTATAGAAAGTAGTGAACCTATGTACAGATCTTTCTAGCTGCAAGTGAAAATTATGAGTAAGTAAGTAATCGGCGAAGGTCCCAAAAAAAAAAAGATTAAGATTCGATATTTTTGGCACGTTTTACCTCGCTTGGTAAAGAAAATGTAAAGGACTGTTGGAATGGCCATGAACCAGAAGATAAAACTTGTATACTGAAATCTATATCTAAAGGTTCAGCAGAATTTGTCAAGTGCCTCCTGAATTGTTCATTTAGATCCTTTGATACACCAATGTCCTATGGATAAATTGTTACAATTACATTTGTAATATTTTTTAAGAATTCTTAATAACAAAATGCGTTATCTATTGATAAGATCTCAAAATTATACACAATCTATAGAATACTACAATAAGGAACTAATTCTTAGAAGTGTATTTTACATGTTAACAAGCATCATATAAATATATATCTGCAAATATTGAATTAATCTTTCCAAATTTTACATTATAAAAAATATTTCAATCGAAATTGTTCTTAAAAATAAGTGTCTTAGTCGTTGAATCATAAAAAAAGATCTACTACATAGCCTATACATTGCTCAAACTTCTGTGCACTGTTTTTTACTTGGGAATATTTCAAATAGCTTGTTTATCAATCAATTCAGAAAATATCTACAACTGTATCGTGAATGTTTATTAAAAAATTCAGAACACTAAAAATAAAGTTACGTTCTCGTTCGATTAATCCTTTGTTGCAAAAATTTTTCTGTTGAACATAATTTGCGGAATTTAGTACATGGAGGTTTTTAGGATTGTTAATTGCAAATCTGAAATTGAAATTTAATAAATCAAAATAATGGATTCAATATAACAGCCAAATTTAAAAAAAACCTGTTTACGTATAAAATTATACACATAAGAGTTTTTTAGGCTTCTGATTTTAAATATGCAATTAAAATTTAAAAATACAAAATAGGAGATACAATATCAAAAAATTTTTTGCTATTTTTTAACGAAAATCTCGCTCTTAGCATAATCCAAATGCGATGAGGACGTGGCGAGTTTCTAGTTCCATGTTCCTTTTTAACAAGTTTTAATCAATGCGAGCAGAATAGAATAGAAAAATTTAATCTCATATTTTAAAAATATTCTGATTAAATAACATGTTATACCTGGAACATGCGTTGTAACTTTGAAGTATACTCAAATCCACAGGCTTGTTTCAGCTTAGAGATCATGGAAGCCTCTGCGTCGTCGCTGGCAGACATATGTTGCACCAATCGTTTTGCTAACATCTTGCTATAGAATTTTTGAAATACATCTTTGTCTTCGATATATTTAAATACTACCATCTGTAAAGAAAAATTATAAATGCCATTAACTCGATTTCTTTGTTCAGAGAATTCAAGCACAGAAATAAATAAATTTATCATATACTTACAACTTGATTAAGAGTGTCTTCAAGTTCCGCCTCTTCTGGATTTTTACTACTCTTTTTAAGCAGCAGATCGCAATATTTGGCTAATAATTCAGGTGACTTACTGCTGCTATTTGCTGCCCTTGTGACAGAATTGCTATTGATAAACCGTCCGCAAGCCTTGTCCAGGGCAGCAACAAAGCCGCTATCATTATTAAATGCGACCAACACTAAAGCGTTGTACTTCTTGTGTACCTCCAAGATCGTGTTTACATAAATTTTCGGATCCTGCGAGTGAGAAAGACCGTCAATTCACTTAGGCGATTCGCGATATCTCATGTGTGCAATAATTACATTATCAGTTACATTAAATGAAAAACGTACGTTAGCTGCCGAGTCTCCGCACTTATCTATAGCTGCGAGACCTTGATTGGCAATATGACTTTCTAAAAGATTTCTCAACTCTCCAAGGCCATTTGGTATTCTCGCTACTAGCTGATACATCCTACCCAAATCTGTGTTCTTATCAGCGTCCAGAAGATTCTGGAACTCAGAATGGAATATATCCAGATGTTTCTCAATAAGTACCCTCTCGCATGTTTTCGCCAGTCGCTCGTGAGTCGTTTGATGCAAGTAAACGCGCACTCGCTTCTGCTCTTCCAATAATCTTTGTTCAGCCTGTACAGAAAAGAAGATGCAAAGAAGAGTAAAATATAATTCTTTCGCATATTTATCAGTATTCTCTTTTGGAAATACCTTTTTCATATATTCCGTTACAGGATTTTGCCTAAGAAATTCGGAACTCTCGCGATTGTAGAATCGTTCCGTATCCTCGAGAAAGATATTTTCAAATGAATCTTTATACACCGTTAGATTTTGCCCTTTCGCACCCGGGTCTTCCTCGTTCAAACCCAATTCTACGTAACAATTGATGACGCCGCTAACTAATCGGGTATTTATCGTCTCACCATTGCGTTCTCTCTCGATTAATTTAAGCACTGCATTAGTAACCTAGAAGAAAGCGCAGATTTGTCGCATGTGTGCATAACAAATACACTTTGGTACTCGCAAGAATATTATTTACCTGTCTATTTAAATGTTTAAATAAATTATCTCGCCAAGTAACCAAGGCTAATTGGTAAATTTCATAAATTCCTTTGCGGCCTTCCTCGCATTCTCTTCGTACCCAATGGCGATTGAGGTATGCACATACGCCGTTTAATACTTTACTACTGAATTGATATTCCTCCCATTGCCTCGTGTAGAACTGCAGCACATCCTCGTCCATCAAGTCAACGCCGTGCTGCGAGTAATACATTATTATTGCGACACTTGTTCAAAAATCTTTTGATCGAAAGCACGACATTTATAATACACTTACTTTGAGTAAATTAATAAGATAATTCCTAAGAAAATCACGCAGGCGTTTGTATAGCTCCAAACCCACTAACTGCGCGCCTCCTTGCTGAATTTGTCCCTTTTTACTCTTAGTTGTAGTCCTGGTTAGCTGCTGATGAACGCTTGTACAGTAATTATATACATGTCTATAGAAATTTTACGATGTAATAGGAAAATACATGACAATGCAAACAACCAGTTTGCGGGAGGAAAAAAAAGAAAAAAAATTAGAGAATTATCTTTCACGATATAAAGGATACGTGTACAGCTCTATGTATCTTGGCTTGGACATGCCCTGCCTGTTATAGACTTGCTCTATGCCCTCGCGCAGATCTCCCCAAATTTGATCCAAATCTATCTGCTTGAGGCCCGGGGGACCTTGGTGACTTCCAGCCCCTCCGCCACCTCTGTGCCCCGACATCCTGTTCCTATATGCTTGTCGCGTGAGCGTCACTGCCGCTATATACTACTATAATTTCTGTAGAAATAAACACTGGTTTTTTTAATGGGATTCACTTAACCCTTACAGGACAAACATGGATATTTCGTGTCCGATTGACTTCTATACATGGAAGTTTCTCGAAATTTCTTGAAATTTCAAAGGATCCCCACTTATACTACACTTAACTTTTTTCCAAAATGAAGTACATACGCTTGTTCTAGAAACTTGAAAATATAAATTTTGTGAACCATTTTAAATAAATGGAAAAGTATAGTCGGACACGTTGATACCCACGTTTGTATGAATAAGGTGGCCGTATCTTCGCATTGTACTGTAAAGCGGGGAGCACACACTTCTGCACAACGCATATTGCGTAAGCATAAGAAAATTGATTGGTCCATACACATGTGCATAAGAAAATAGACCAATCAATTTTCTTATGCTTACACATTATGCGTTATGCAGAAGTGTGTGCTCCCCGCTTAAGGGTTAATTACACACATATACGTTGCACACGTTACGACTCAAAGCGTAAGTTACGGGACGATAAGGTACAAGCTGATGAAAAGAGATCGCTTCTTTACATAAATATGGTACCATCTAGGATAAGGAGCATTTCCGTTATCTCCGAATCATTTGTATAGGATATCTTTAAACTCGAGATTAAAAAAAAAAACGAAAAAAGTCCGGAAAGCCGAACGACGCTTAACACGTGTCGCAAATCGGAGCGGATGTATTCTATCGAGAATATTCCAAATTCGTCGCAGATAAAAGAGCTTTGTGAAAGGGAAAAGGTTAACCAACGGATGGGTATTCCGTTACATTGTGATGCACGACTCATTCCTTCGGAGCGACCAAGACAGAGACAGAAAGAGAAAGAAAGAGAGAGAAAAAGAGAGACAGGGAGAAAGAGAGAGAGGGAGGGAGAGAGGGGAGAGAGAGAGAGAGAGAGAAAGAGGCACGCACAGGCACACGGAGAACGGAGCAGGAGCGAGTGAGCGCGACGGAAAGAGAGAGAAGGAGAGATGTCGAAATAGAGGCCTACTCGCGTTCTCGTTGTGCGCACCATATTCTTTTTTTCTCTCTCTCTCTCTTCGTTTCTCGCTACTCTCGCGAGGCGAAAAACGACCGCCGTCGGAGAGGAACAAGAGGCATCGTCGCCTCGTGGGACGTTAAAGGGGAGAAAAAAAAACCAACGCGCTTACCTGAATGATGTTCACCACCACATAACAGGAATAACAACGGCCGAGGAGCGAGACTCGTAACGAAAATGCGGCGCAGGGCCCCGCTTTGTTTCGCAAACGCGTCGGAAACGACGCGAACGCTTCTCTCCACACGAGGAAATTTGTCGCCGGGAAACACCTCCGCGCTCCTGTGCCCGTTACAATCAACGTCCTGTGCGACAATGAGCGCGGCGACACAACGCACAACCGGAGCGAACCCAACGTACGGTGGCTCAAAAAATTACCCACCACCGCGGATCCGCTGCCTCGGTTCTCGAACAGGTTAGGCCGCCAACGTTGCCAACCGCAGCGCGCGATCTAACCATCGTCCCAACGAAACGCACAGAAAATACTAAAAATACTAAAAATCTGTAGGGTGCTAGAAATAAATATAAATCGCGACGCTCCGAGATCTCGGACGGAGAAAGAATTGACCAATCACATTTAAACAATTCGGACAATTCGAACCAATGTGATTGGTCACAAGGCTTCAGCGTTATGCTAGGTCTACAATGCGAGTCGTAAAGTCGTGAGTCGTAAGAATTGACCAATCACAGTCGATTATTCTTCTCAAATTCGATTGTGATTGGTCAATTCTTATGACTCACGACTTTACGACTCGCATTGTAGACCTAGCATTATTCTGTTGAAAATCTATCTAAAATTTCAATCCAATTTTATTTCCAATCCGTAAATGCCCGTATATCAGACTACGGATTGGGATTGAGATTGGATTGAAATTTGACCAATCAGAGCAAAGTTTACTAAACCTGAGATCAGTTTTCTCTGTTCTGATTGATTAAATTTTAATCCAATCTCAATCCCAATTCGTAGTCTGGATACGGACTTTAACGCGATACGGGCTTTGGACAATTATGTTTAAGCTGACTATAAAAAGCATATTTTACCATTATTTTTTGCAAATTCATTTATTATAGCAATAATACATGTAAACTATCGAATTAAATTCCTTTATTAATAAATAAACAGCATAGGTATAATAAACTGATTTGAACATTTTTGAAACATGATCTGAAAATGGCGGACCGGAAAAAGTTCAAACTTTTACCTGATAAGCTCTGGTCCTCGTGTTTCTAACAAAAGAAAATACTCACATGCACGTTAACAGAATATAGATCGATTGTATAAGTGATCGATTTAAATAGAATGACGATTTTTCATAATCAATTATATCAATAATAATTAATATACCTTCATTTCTTCATCTTTTAGCTATTTAATGTTAAATTATAATGAATTCAATCCAATCCAACTAATTAGTCACGTATGCCTGTTAACTTGCATTGTCAGATAATATATATGCACAATTTGTTTATATCAATTTACGCATCTAATCAAATACTACAATTTCTATTACATCCGTGACAAATTTGTTTTCTTTGTATGTACAATATTGCATGTGGCCACTTAAGTTTACTCGAATAAGCCTTAAAAAGTAACGCAAATGATAAATAAACCATTCACTATTTATTCATTCTCTTCCTATATTACTTATTACATCGAACTATATTTATTATTACTAGAACATTGTTTACATACCATTCGAAAAATGATCTGAGAGAGATAGCTCTAAATTGGAAAATTATTTTTTTCAGCAAAAAAGCCCGCCCATTTAATATTCCGAAAAGGAATTGGATATTTAACGAAATATTAATGGCATGTATATCTCCAATTTGGCAACACATTTAATCTCCATTCGTTCTGGAAATTATCGCGGATTAGCATGTCCATCAATTTATGTCCTCATTAAATTTGCAGTGTTTTGTCAACAGAATTTGCCGACACAGTAAACAGAGTACCGTTTTAATTAAATCAACAAAGAACATCGATTTGTAGCGTTGACTAAACTTTTAACGAAGAACAAAGTTTTCACTGCATTCGCAAGACAAAAGGACATCTTTCCAATGTGTAAACTTCTCTCTCCGCATTTTTCTCGGTGCAAGCTTTTTGTATGAGGCTTATATGGAAAAGGAGCGCTTATGAGACAAATATACAAGTCCAGCGGAATGAAACCAACACACGCATTGCTATGCAATATCTTGAATTTTTACTCCCACAGAGAACATATGGTTTTCTATATCTTAAATAAGCTGTACTTACTTAAAACATAATTAACTTTTCTCAACGAATACAGCAATATTGCGGAATCACTCTAATAGAATAATAATCACATATATCCTTCAATTGTTACGTAATGGAGAGCAAGAATGTTATCCTATCTCGAATATAGCGTGATTGAACATTATTCATTATCGTTTTTCCTCTATCGCTCTTGCGACCGATTTTCCGACCAATTGCTGGAAGAGAAGGCGCGACGAGGCTATAGAAGAAAAAAAACTTGGTGCAAATGCAATTCTACTCATTACATCTAAACCTCATTTTTGCTCTTCATTATATTTATTAATCGCGAGGACATTACATTCCATTATTCTAATATATGCTGATTAATCTTGAGAATTCAAATAAAAAATACTCAGCAATTATACGTAGCATATACAGGATATTCCACTTTTGCCAATCGATCAATCGTTCAATCATTAATGATAAAATCTATTTATGAATTTGATCAATTTTTTCTTCAACGAGAAATAACGAGACATTTTTATTAATTGACATATAGCTATTTAAATTTTGACGTTAAAATTCAGAAACAGATAAACACATTTTTTCATGATGATTTACTTGAGACAAAACAAAGATTAAAACTGTGTTTTCTCTAATCTCTTGGAGATTTCCTCATTTCCTTCTAATTTCTTGATTAGAAAAAAAATCTATTCTCAATTGCTTATAATTTAAAAGACTATCGAGATGCATTGACATCTTAGGATTTAATATTAGGTCTTTAATTTACTTAAAAAATTACTTTAACGGCTCGTTCCTTGGAAGTGAGATACCCTGTATAATCAATGACACACCAGACACATACATGCTTTCGATATTTCTCTTATTGTGTGACAGCACACGCACGTAACTGCATCGATCACAAGAATTTATTTTATTATGAGCAATCATTTCTCTAATATAAATCATTTATCGAGTAAAAGCCAGACGACAATACAACATCTTACAGTTTCTTTTTCTTAAATAAATTAAGTAACATATATGAGGAATGTGTGGGATAAGGAGAGAACAATTTGTAATACAAATTTATAAGTTTCGAATACGAAAGAAATGTATACGATGTCGAAAAGGTTTATATCGGCACGGATATTACGAATAAAAAATTCAGCTAATGACTATGGTGATTAACAAGCGCTTTTGGCACATCTAATCTCAGTAATTTAGAAAGCGCAACGCAGGTAGAACAATACGAAGCTAATATTCATGCGGCTAAGTGCCCTAAGTGCCTTTGCTCACAATTTCTAACATATGCATATTTTCAATCGTTTAAATGAACTATTAGAAATCGTGCGGTATAGGCATCCGTAAGAATACATGCATATATACACGATATGTCACGTAGTAATATAGTAGATATTTGGGAATTCTCTTACAACCTACTCTCTCTTTTTTTTTTTAAGGAAAACTTGACTTTAATGCTTTGACTTGACTTTAACTTAATATCGAGAAGGATGAAGAAGCCTATCACTAAAATTTAATACAATGAAGTAACACAACCTGTATGTATGCAATATTCAAATTCGTGATTATACAAAATTCGCCTGACATGAAATTGTGCCAATCATAAGGATTATTATGTCCCTCTGCCATATCGCACGATAAGATGGTTTTACATATATATGGTATGTGAATTTTCTTTGATATAAACGCGTTACATAACTGCGCTAGTCCATTTTAATTGTAAAAAATAAAAATAAAATAACTCCAATACGTATGCAGCAAAGAAAAATGAAACGGAATGTTTCATCCATCAAAGTCTTAGATTACAATTACATGCCGAGAGATTACAAACGCTAAAGATTTAACTCACCCTGCGCACGTATTTGTGGCTTAATCAAATTGAAGTTTACAATGCTACAATAAGAATTGTAATACCGCATAAATATACAAATAGCGTTTCCAAACACATTTAAATTTTATGGATATACAGTTTCATTTGGCAGAGAGAGGCTTATCTATAGACGTAATATTATACATAAAAGGAATATCAAACTAATATATTATAACTTTCACGCTTCTTGTATGACATTCTGAAAACGATGTGTTTTACAATTCAAATGCGGAAGTATTATTCAGTTTCATTTGTCGGGTTGACTTACTTAACTAATTGTTTGCAAAATAAAGCGTTTTAATATTACATACGTTAAAACAAGTTACATCATCTACAATTTTCTACCGTTCTGCCTGTTAACGTTTCATGACATACAATGGACAGATGGGCCTATTGGATAGCTAGGCCCATGAACATCATTTTCTATGACAGTCTTTGACTTTGGCATTATTAAAATGAAGCAACAAATCTTTTTCTATACTGTCTTCGTAATGTATCCCACTCCGTTTTATATACAACATTTCATACAAACATAAGATATAACAAGCGCATACAACTCTTATCAATGTGTTTCAAACATCGAAATGAAGATGGATTAAAATAGAGAAATCCCGGTACTAAGTATTAAAGTTCAAGAACTTGCTTTCTAGATTTCTTCTCAGATCATAACACGTTTGAATTTATATGTTCGTGATACAATTTGTATTCGACCTTGTCCCAAAGTCCTGATAAATGTCTTGTGGAGTTATTATTGGGACGCTTAAATTACAATTTGTATCGACGTTAGAGTAAAACGAAACGCGCAACGCTCATTTACTTATTTAAACTATTGATCATTTAAACGATTAGTTATCACTTGATGATCATTCGTACAAAACAAAAAATTAGATTGCTCACCCAATTAATTCCTAACGATCAAACAATACTAGCTGGGGTACTGCTAACACCGATTGGCTGAATATTTTCAACTAGTGTGGACCGCATGCTCGATGATGGAGCTTGAACATCCATCGCTGCTGTTCTCATTTCGCCAAAAGGTGCCCTAAAGTATGGATATCACATTAATCTTTTCAGAAATGCTTCTCTTTTTTCTTTACTATCAAGAACATTTATAGCATTTAGATGTGAGTCTATATTTATTATTTCTAGCTTATCGATATAGACCGTTTCCCATCTATAACTTATCAAGAGACATAATCATACGTAAACTTCACAATGTCTTACTTAAATTATAAATGTTAATACGCACTTGCTCTATCAAAAGCATAACATATAGCAGCATTACTTTTAATATAGTTACGGTAATAAATCAATTGTCAATGATCGTTTGACTTTTTACTTTTGTCAAAACGTTGTTGAATGTATGTAGTGTTATGCATGATAAAATCAATTGTCATACATCATGTACTCATCACATTGCTAACATAAAAAAATAATTCTTTTATCATTACTGGAATTTTAAATACAAAAAACGATTGTATCCGACGAATTATAATTTGGAATTAATTTCTTTCCTCATAACTGCATGCACACAAATACCTACAGATTAACGCAATCACATTTAATAACTTAATTGATGTAGACAAATAAATTAGTTACATAAATAAAAGCAGAAATTATATTGTAATTACAATTCTTATAATAATAAAAGTTTCAACATAATAAAATATAGATTATATTAATCAACGTAATAATCGGGAAATAATTAAATGCAGAAACATCACAAGACACATAATATTTACTATATTAAACAATTAAATGCTCATAACAGAAAGTTGATAAGCAAATAATGTGGAATGTCAATTAAATGAACAAACTTTACTCCAATTCAATACTTTGTTATTTAAAGAACGTTATTTTGTGGAAATTATCAATCTCCAAATTATATCATATTCGAAAGTATTTCGATTCAGTATCGAATCAGAGCAGCTGTACAATAAAAAATACATAGAATGACAACAAAGATTATATGCCGAGAACAGAATGAACATTTGTAGCGAAGCATTGTACTTAGATTTTGTAATAACATTAAATCTTGTATATTATTGCCTTAGTTAGTGAAGTGGTGCAATGAATGTTTGATGGATTTATGTAGGCCTCCAGACGTCAGGATCCTCCATCAGAGTAGTATGGTGATCTGTAGTAGGAGGCACTGTACCCTGTGGGGAACCCACGCCCGACGTCATTCCTGCTGGGTCGGGCCTAAATCCTCTGTTATTATGTTATACATTAGTAAACACTTTGCAAAAACCATATCAAAAACAAGATAAAGTTATTTCACGCCAACGCGATGCGTCTTTCATTAACTCTATGAAGTTTTTTGCGACGATCGTTATACAGCTAGAAACAAAATAAACCGTTATTTTTTCCAAACCGCTGTATCTTCCTTCGTCTCTTCAAGATATCTCTGGCACACGCAGTTCTAACACGCTTTTCTCACAAAACCAAAGCAAGGTAGCATTAAAAACACATACACAATATAAAAATCGCTCTTCCACCTCAAAGCAAAAAAGGTATACGTTAAAAGGCAGGGGGAAAAAGCATACATTATGTAGTTTTTAAATAAATTGAAAGCGATGGTATCTGGATGTGAGACTGTATAACAAGTATCCTGTTAATCGAAAAGAAAAATAGATGAAATAAATAGGCAATTGGTTTACAGCACTCATTTCCTTGAAAATTATAAATTTCGATAAGAATGAAATAACATAAATCTTTCTTGCGATTTTGGAGCACATTAGCGACTTCTTGTCAATAAAACTACATCAAATTGACGACGTAACCTCACAATACAACACTTTAAACTTCCCATTAAAACTGACGTGTACAAAAACATGGAATTATCAAAGACAGATCAATTACTAAAACAGCTGAAAAATTAAGAAAGGTACAATCAGTATTGCGAGACGTTCTATGCGAAGTAACAATACTGATTGCAATCCTTTTGATACATTTTTGGATCAATTCAATTCGATTGTTTTATCAAGTCAAATTGACTTGGTTTTGGTGGTAAAAGATTATTTATATTGACGATTAAATATAAATTATATTTTGTACTTGGAAATTTCTGCAATTGGCTTATTTCCTTTTTTTTTTGTCAATAAAGCTCTTATTTGATTGTCTTATGGATTATACCTTGAGAAATGTCCGAGAAAATTATACTTACTTTTTGCCCAGGGACATCAATCCGTATATTATACCCGTTGTAAATATTAAACCGCTGCCAAATATGCTACTCAGTCCAGGACATAGGAAGACTGCTGGTAATGCTATTCTAAATCAATAAATACGAGAATTCAATTCAATCGTAACATAAAAAAGTGAGTCTATAAATCTGCGATTCAAAAGCTATGGAGAAAATAAAATGAGACTTACAAACAGTAAGCGGCCGCTCTATTCCAATAAGGCTTCTTCTCCACCCAGTCGCTTATATTCTGTACAAAATCGATGAACAGGCAGCAACAAGGCGCTTCGACCATTACGACCAGAAAACCAGCTACCATCTGCCACATACCGCTAATTAAGCAATCGATCTGACCCAAGAGTATACCGGCGCAGTTCCAGGCACCGAGAAAGATCGCAACTGCAAATAAACCGGGCGATCTCCATTTACGAATTACGTTCCATTTGAGAAAGCTTGTAGCCTGAAGTCGTAGTTAACTTCTGTATCTAGTATTATACAAATTTCACACAAAGTTGGTATACAAATCAACGTACGGAAGGGTGAAAAGAGGCGAACGCCACTGCTCAGAAATCAGATAAAAGGGTGATTTTCTGGTCGCCGAATTGAGTGATTGAATAAATAATGACATCTCACATGCGTGATACACATGTGTGCGCGCGCGCGCGCACACGCGAGAGAAAGATATCGAAATATCGCACGATGTACGAAGGGAAAGAAAGCTGCAGGCGACACGGTATCGATATGGACGGGCTTACTTATGCTGCCTACGGTGCCGAGTCCACGACCCGCGTACTTCATCCACCAGGGCACGTCGTCCTTGGCGACGGGGTCCTGTCCGGGCCTCTGCATGATCGATGCTATTTTCTCGCCAAACGACTAAAAAAAAAAAAAGAAGAAAAAGGAAAAGAAAAATACGGTCGAACGATACCGCGGGTGCGCTCGTCGTAGCGCACGTCGTCGATCGACGTGGTTGAAAAGCGTGTGCGTTTCATTACCATTTTCGACGTTGTACTATTATCCTTTTTGTGCGTCAGCTGAGAACGCTGACAGTACCACCACCGCTGTCTGTTGATGTACGGAAAATCGACCCGCTGCTTTTGCGTCTGCGACCACGAGGGCGCATCGTATGTCTCGTATATATACGGGGGTTCCTCAAGTAATGAGAGTTTGGACTTTTGGACACACCACTCGCGGGCGACTTTTTGATTGGTAAATTTGATCCGCCACGTGTCCCAGACTAATTACGAGGGAAATTTGAATTTTTATCGATAGATATTTATAATGTACTTAATTAAGTCACTATTTTCTTCAAAATCAAACTATTGAATTAGAATAGGAGGATTAAAGAGGCAATAAAGAGGTGTAAAAAGATATATAAGGGTTATAGATATTAAAGAGGTATTAAATTATGAACATAAAAAAATTATATTAAAGATTTTTAGATTACACAAAAGAATTTATTTAAATAAATTTAATATTTTATGTTAACAAAGATACAATTTCACCTGTATCTACAATTAATTACAAACAATTATTAAAAAAAATCCAAATTAATGTTATTATTTTACAAACATTAAAATTTCTATTTTTATTAATATTTTTTAAATGGATTTATTTGTAATAGTAATATTTGTACATGTAAAACCATCGAATAGAATTAATTTCTTTATTAATAAATCCCATAGATATTAATATTTGTACACGTAAAACCATCGAATGAAATTAATTTTTTTATTAATAAATCCCATAGATATTATCCCTTTAAATTGATTTAAACCTTTTTAAAAAGCGCACCATAATTAATTTCAATATGGCGGACGATGTCCAAGCTTCCGGTCGAGGTGCTCTACTCGCCAACTGCCGCAGCGGGCAGGGCGAGAGGGGGGGAGGAGGACCGGCGCGTCGCCATGGGAACGGAACGCACGGAACGCGGACTGATGTTTCGCGTTCCGTTCCGCCGTTCCGGCCTGTTCCGGCCAGCAGCTGCGACTGTCAGCTGTTCGATATGGAACGATAGCAAAGCAAGCAAAGTGCAGTCACTTGTAGGAGTCGGCCGTCGTCGGACACAGCCAGGATCGAGCCCCGGAGCCGAAAGCAGAGGCAGGCAGCCAGCGTAGCGGACGAGCGCGTGTCCCTCTCTCTCTCGCTCGTTACCAGCGCGCGAGCGGGACAGACGGCGGGGGCGGACGGCGCCGACAGCGAAGGGGGAGAGGTACTCGGCTCGAGGTGCGCGAGGTACCCGCGCTGCGCGTACCGAGCGCTCGTACGCGAGCACCCGCGGACGGCGCAGACGAGAGAAGAAAGAAGTTTACGTTTATACGGGAGAGCGTGTGGGCCGTGTGGCGTGTGTTCCTCTCGCGCGCGCGCGTACGCACGTAACACGCACGGACGCACGTGCCGCCGAGATTTATGCGAGAGATCCCGCGCGAGATCAACCTGGATGTATTAACGCAAGGGCTAAGGTACAGCATATCAGGACTCATGAACCTCGCGGCGAACCAGACGTCCGACACGACGTCCGACGCGCAGAGCAACGGGCCATACTTCGTCAACTTCAATCAGGACTGCACGTAAGTTTCGTACGCCCGCGCCGCGCTGTTTCGACGACCGTCGTCCTTTCTCCGTTCTCCTCCCCCTTCCACCCCTTTCCGGGGGCCGTTGCCAGATTGCCACCTCCTTTGTCTGATCCTAACCTCGCGCGCGCGCCTCGTTTTGATTTTTGATCGTCTCCCCGTCTCTCGCTCCCTCGACGTATACGCGCATATACGTATGCAATCCTAAACGATGTATACACGTATATATAAGAGTGTACGCCTCGCGCCAAGGTTCGCGCGTCGCGCGACTCCGCGCACCATCATGTTTCCCTCGCGCGATGTTTTTCGTCGCCTGCGTCACATTCGCCGCTCCCCCTTTCACCGATTAATTGCGTGTTAACGAGGGACCCCAGCCTTCGCGCGCGCGTGGCGAGGCGGGAAGAGGCGAAAAAGGAAAGGAGGCGATATCGCGCACCTCCTTCGTACGCCTGCACCGTACCGCGATGCCAGTCCGCTTGGCCTTATCCAAGGACTTATCCTCCTGCTCCTCGCGCGATTGCGTATCATTCGCGACTTCGTTATTACTTTTCTTTTTTTTTTTTTTTCACACATGATATTTGCACGCGCGAACGACGATGTGGCAATAATATCGAGAGACGGAGAAACAAAGAGTACATATATGATTGTAGATAGTCGAGGGCACTCGACTCTCTTTGTGTTTCAAGTACAGTCACGTCTCTTTAATTGAAAAGGAAAGAGGAGAAATAGCTTTATAAGATTCCTAATTGTCTTTCAGGTCCTTGGCGGTGGGATCGAAGTCGGGATATAAACTTTATTCCATCAGCTCCACTGGGCATCTTGAGAAAATATATGAAAATGGTAATAATTGGTTTTCCTGCATTCTGCCAATAATTCTAGGAGGTTGGAGCTAGGAGGTTGGAGATAACTGCTACAATAATAGATGATTGATTGAGCGATAGTTTTAGTGATAAGCTTCATAAGTGAGATAAAAATGTTATAAATATCTTTTATGTTGAAGATATTTATAGCGTTTTTGTCTTGCGCTGACACGCATTGTTCATCCAGTAAGTTTTACGTGTCTTATTTTCATTATCATAGGTAAAAATGATAAGATCTTGTATAATATGAGTAAATAAGACTATATATTCAAGTTAAGTTGCATATCTTTTACTTCATGTTACTATTATTATGTTATATTATGATTCAAAAAAATTCAATACAATTTTTATTAAGTGACATTTATTTTTTTTGCTCTGAAAAGTCACGTATCTCTTGTTCATCGTGGCAATGACCAATTCAATAGAAACCTTTATTAATTAGAGTATTTCCTTTTTTCGAGATGATGCAGACTTCGAGGACATATGCATCGTCGAGCGATTGTTCAGCAGTAGCTTGGTGGCAATCGTTAGTCTTAAATCCCCTCGGACGCTTACGGTGTGCCACTTTAGGAAAGGGACAGAAATATGTAACTACAGTTACTCAAATACAATTTTGGCTGTGAAACTCAACAGAGCGGTAAGTTATTTAACTTTAATGTTTACGTTCTTTTTCTTCTTTAATCGCGGTTAAACAGATTCGACTTAAGTGTTGACCTTTTTACATAGCTTATAACGTCTCTGTTAATTTGAAAGCATTGCAATTCTACGTAAACCTTGACTTCTTCATTGGTTTCATTACAATTGCGATTTTCGTGGGAAGGGATTGTAAGCTCGCTCGACAAATAATTATTAACACTGCTAGTACTGAACTCTATGCAATACCCTGCTTATATTTCCATTCAATCACTTAATATTGACTTTACAACCTTGAGTAGGTCTTAGTTTAAAGATTTTAATTTCGTCTTTATGAACATTTGCAATAATGAGTGTTTTACGTAATGTGGTCCAGGAGCCTCAGAGGGCCAGAGAGCCTTAGAATATAAATTTTCTATTCTATATTTTCTATTCTATATATTCGTATATGGAATCGAACCTGAGACGTGCTGATTACAAGTCTGCTGTTTCCACACGAAACTACGCGGCATCCCAACGTTTACATTAACGAATAACTAATATATGCTCTTATTTGCACACAAAAATTAATATGACTTAAAGAATATATATAATATTATATTAGACATATTTATGTGACCTATTTGCTTTTTAATCCTGAATTTATGTCCCACGACAGTTCTCACGTATTAAGAAATACATTGTATATACTATATGTATATACTAAATCGCAAATTGTCATATTTGATCGTAAAATAAATGAGCTTTGATATTATAACGTATTTAATGTTTCTCATAATTGGAGTATACTGAAAATAATATCGCTTGTTTCAGAGATTGGTGGTGTGTCTGGAGGAATCGCTATACATTCACAATATACGAGATATGAGAGTGTTGCACACAATTCGCGACACTCCGCCTAATCTTACAGGTCTTTGCACACTTTCGCCAAATAGCGACAATTGTTATGTAGCTTACCCAGGATCGAATACGATTGGGGAAGTCCAGATATTTGACGCAAACCATCTTGTAGGTATCTTAAATAAATTTGAATGAATCCAATAGAAACTTTGACCCATCAGCAATTTTAACCTTATGTTTTTCAATTATACAGCAAGCCAAAACAATGATACCTGCGCACGATAGTCCATTGGCAGCGATCGCTTTCAGCTCGAACGGCACCAAAGTGGCGACAGCCTCTGAAAAGGGCACTGTGATTAGAGTCTTTGACGTAAGATAAATCACAGATACAACGGCTGTATTTTATTAATAAACCGCTGGCAGTTGAAAAAATTATTTCTATTTTTACAGGTTCACGAGGGTACAAAGTTATTCGAATTTCGACGCGGAGTTAAGAGATGCGTCACGATAAACAGTCTTTCATTCAGTATGGACTCCATGTGGCTCTGTTGTTCCAGTAACACGGAAACTGTGCATATATTCAAGCTGGAGGAACCAAAGGAAACGTAAGCATAGCATTCCGCCGTTTTTTGTTCAATGAATATTCCATGAAACATAGGAAACATAGAAACATAGGAACTAATCTGTTACTCGCGTCGTAGGCCAAACAAACAAACTGCAGACGAAGCACAAAGCTGGATGGGATATTTGACGAAGGCTGTGACAGCGTCGGCTACATACTTGCCGTCGCAAGTGACTGACGTTTTTACTCAAGGACGTGCTTTCGCTAGTGTTCACCTACCGTTTCAAGGTTTAAAAAATGTCTGTGCCATCACTGTGTAAGTATCTAAAATTCGCTATCTTAAATCTACGTACGCTACGCGTTAAATCCATTACATGTGATACATTTACTTGTCTGTGTTTCAGTACACATAAAGTACCAAAACTGTTAGTAGCTAGCGCCGACGGTTACTTATACGTCTATTCCGTGGATCCAACAGAAAGTGGATGTTGCACCCTTATAAAACAACACAGGTTCGTAATATTATAGTCTTGACGAATCTTACAAAAGTAATCAAATGATCATTATTTTCAATTGTTGATTTCTTGGATCGTTACTTTTAATCATCATTTTTAAAATAATATTAATAGACGCATATTAATAGAGGCTTAAGAATGAGGATAGAAAATAGAAAGATACCTTACTCACTTTTCACAGATTAGACGATAAAGAGCGGGATGAATCAGATTGTGGCGGTTCTGGTTCAGGGACAGCAGCTACCGCGAATAATACAAATACAGGTATGAAGACAGAAATTTGGACTGTGCATTTTGTAATAGATAGTTGAAGCGAGCTGACGATAAAGATACATTACCGACAGTTAATTTGAAAGTACATTTAATAATGCGAAACTTCTTTCTTTATTATATATCCAGTACAGTACGCTTGAATGTGTATAGAGTTTCTTTTGTCTATTTTGTTCAAAAGTTATAGTTTTGTGATTTTGTGATAAGTTTCGCAATTACTCGAGCACTAACAGAATAGTTTAAGTATCTCCTTCTTTGTTTAAAGCATGCCACATATATACACACACACAGTTGGTACTGCCAGATACTTGCATATTTTACGCCATAAAACTAATGACGAATAAAGTATATTCATGATACAATTGATTAATGATTGAATGTAAGTAAAAAGAAATAATCTTTCTTCAAGTCAATCTTGCTATCTTCTATCCATGAAAATGGAACAATGAAAAGAAATAATCTGTCGACAGCAAATTCAATCAATTAATTTCAAAGAAGCACTACAAGAAAAATATAAAAACTCGTATTTTTGCTCAGACGAAAGTTGTATTCCTATAGATCTCGCTATGCGTTGCTATGTCTCATTGTGTAGTAGACAAATCGTTACTTCCTGTATTTGTAGTTAGATTATGGCATTCATTAAAGTTGATCCAGTATCAGCTCTAGTGAAACGCTTATGTTGTCGGCTACGTACCATGTGTGTGAGTGTGTATGCGTGTGCCGCGTATTCCAGACACCTTTACTTTTATGATTTGCTTTATGTCTTCTTTTTCTCGCTTCTAGCCCCCTTATAAGTCAAATAGCCAGATAAATTTCTTCAGGGGCTCAGGGGAGGGGGGGGGGGGGCCCGATAGTTGACCTTACTTGATGTAATTTTTTTCTTTTTAATATTCCACCGAAGCCTGCATAAATAGCTACGCGGGTGTGTTGCGTGGCCGCTCGCCAGACTCCATGTCAGGTACTGGTATGTCCTCTATTCTGTCCCTCGAATTTTTTTTTTTTCGCTCTCATTCTCCGTACACGAGACACCTAATTCTCCTTTAGAGCTTTTTCTTTCTCTCTGTGTGTGTGCGCTTCACTACCAGCGTTCGCGCATTTATTCCATACGTACACGCAGCGAAAGGAAGAATGAGAGCAGCGCTGAGTAACAAATGTGCCTTTTTCACGCGGCCTACATCCTCGTTAATACGAGCAGTTTATATTATTGTACCACGATAGTACAAGTCTTATTACGCTTATTAACTGTAAACCGAACGAATTCTTAAGGACGATGTATAAATGAGCATATGATACACGTATGCACAGGACATGCATGTAGGCACTAGTCTATATTCCCGGGGTATAAATCACTAAGCACACGTTATGCAAGTTGTTCTACTAGTCAGCAGATATAATAATGTCCAGCATTATCGCATCCCGTTACGAAATGTCTTGAGAATTCCTACAAGCAGTAGTCTATTTTTAGAAGGCTACCTGATAGATATCCTACTGTTATAACAATGTTAACGATTGTACATAATGATTACTAATATATGATTATTAAAGTTGTTAACATAAATGGTTGGTATTAATTATATGGTATTTAATGTCATAATTATACATGGTGTTATGTGGCGGGTAATAGTGACGCGTATTTTTTAGAACAACTTTCACTTACTACTAATCATCAAGAGTACCTGTATGACGTACTTTCGTTAACGGTATCGTTCCTATACGTTAAGCTCAGTATAATGAATGAGATTAATGAGATATATAAAATTAGATACGGAAAACAGATAGATATTTTTATCTAATATCTTCTTCCTCTTTTCTCTTGGTCTTCGGATAGTGCAATCGAAAACAGGCTATAAGAAACAGATAATGGTAATTGTTTGAAATGGTAATTGTTTCGTTTGAAAAAAAAAGTATTAAACAACTTTGGAAATAGAGTAGTAGAAAATAAAAGTCATAGTACTTAAATCTGTCTAATCTTGTAAATATCGTTTCATATTTTCTCTGCTATTCCTACATCGTATTTAATTCTTGAACAAGCAAGAAAACATTCACATCGTCGCAAATACGCCAAAGTGCTTTTTACAAAAGAAAAGTGTGCCACATACGCACATATGAACGTTTTTAGAATAGTTTTTACTCAATTGATACATGTAATTTGTTAGTTTTCTTGTTGATTCTCAAATCACGTTTTATATTTTACACTTTGCAGAGTGGTGTATGTATTAGAAAATTAAATGCCTGTGTGAGATTACTGATTTTCTTTTTAGAGAAAACCATAATTTCATATCCATTAACAAATTCATTAGTGAATGTATTTCACGGCAATGTGATGTAGACAATGGTGAATGAGATATTTAACATTTGCACTCAGATAGAAACGTATTGTCCTGGACAGTACTCGAAGAGAGAGTTTGTATTTCTAAATTCTAAAGTTGTGGATCTCGGAGAACGAATTTGCATTAACGAAGGATCCAAATCCAATTGGAAACGTATCTGAATGCATAAAATATATCATGTATCATTGAATGCTGATCGTCTGTATACATCTTTATCGTTATATCCGCTCGAGATAATGCGATCGAGATGGAATCTTGTATAATTTGAATGTAAATGGATTTGTAGAGTCAGAGAAGTATCAAGAGATGATAGCAGCGACGGAAAGCCCACCAAAAGGCGGCGGCCCGTTTCGTCTGGACGACGATACCGAATTCCCACCTGTCACGCAAAGGACAGACTGAGCGTAACACACACAATTAAGGCATATCAAAAGCTCAAGCCGAACGGAAATGAGAGAAAAGCCGTGCAAGAGCAACGAAAAGGCAAACGAGGGGCATAGAGTGCAGAGGACGTCCAGTATTTACAGGCGACCGTATATCCAGTACTCCGAGTTCAATAGAACCAAAAACAAACAAAAAAAAATCTGTAGACGTTGTTACCGAGATTGTCACATACCTTGTACGCGTTAAAGATTTAAATGGAATGTGCACGCTAATCGTCAGGGAGATCGGTCTTTGATATGCGTACAAGAGAGAGAAGTACCCCAAAGGGGTAGCACTCTCGGTTTATATTACTGAGCTCGCGGATTTTTAAGCGAAATTTCTTTCGTTAGTTAACTAGGCATTGCATTTGCAAAAGTAATGCAATATATCGCGCGGGGAATATAGTAATCCAATGATAACGATTTTGAAGCGTTTACCGCAGGAATTGTGTAATGTATCGTATCTTTCACGAACACAGAGGCTATAGGAGCATGAAGTATCGTACTTCTACATTCTAATATTTCTGTGTTTTATATGAAGTACCTTATACAGAAAACGTGCGTTTTTTAGCCTGAGATGTAGCCTCCAATATCGGAAATCATGGACCAGTGTAATTAAATTATTTTACTTTGACGAAATGCCATGTTCTAAGCGATTCAGAAAAGCGACAGTTATTATTTGTCTGGATTTTCATACATACACGATGTATATTTTACCAAAAAATTATTTTAGTTTTAAGAGCACTGACGATGAAAAGTTGATAAGTACAAAGATATTCAGTCTGCTTGGCTAATTGATGAAAACCAATATAATCTATTAGAAGATTATGCAATTTTTTTTTATAAATAGACGAACGTGAAACTGATCTCATCCAAATTCTGACATATCCCGAGTAATGTATTTTAAATATAAATTCGCATGTTAAGTAATTATGTTCATTGATGTTTACATCATTGCCTCAAAATCGATATAAACAGAATTGGATTTATGCTTCCTACCCCATTATAGAAACTATACAAAGCGGCAGGATGTATTTTTGCTGTGTTTAAAACACACGATTGAATCTGCGACACAGCTCACACCTGTTTCATTGGATTGCTATATTTTTTATGGTAAAATCTTTGTCTTCTTTGTGTTCAACAAAGAAAGCTCATCTTTGCGAGGTAAAGATGTAAAGACATATAAATATGTGTGGTAAATTGTCGAACGATGAGCTTCAGCTGTAATTCTTGTATAAAATGTAAGATCTTTTGACATACGTTAGCTTCTTGTAATAGAAGAATGTAAAACACGATCAGGAGGTTGTATAATTTTGCCAAAAAAACGAATATCAATTTTGTAACGATATGATGCTTTGTTGGCATTTAGAATTCAAGAAGTACTTCAGTCTTTACGTGACAAATACGAGACGATGAAGTAACGACAAATGATAACAGAAACAAGTATAAGATATTTAAAAATGTGGGGGGAAAAAAGGATTCATTCCATCTTTCTTAAAATCTGAAAACGTTTTAAAAATTATTCACATTATCTCGTATCAACAGGATAAGTTTCAAAACTACGCGTGCTGAATTTTAATTCGATGAGAGTTTTGTATCTGTTATTATCAGACATCATATGCTGTATATCTTAATGCTTTAAATCAGATTATCATGTGTATAATATGTAATCGTATCGAATGTGCAATAAGTCTCTTTGAGCGCTTTTTCGAATCGATTATCGAAAATTGTCATGACATGTAATTTGTATAAATAGCTAATTAACAGTAGGAACAGAGAATCTTCGGTTTGCGTTTTCGTTTAGTACCGAACTTCGTTAGCAATCGTTTGACTGCGAATAAAATCTCTCCATTGATCGGTGCCAATTTACCGGAATAGAAAGACGACACTGGCGCTGGCGAAGATATTTGGTCGTTGTATAAATTAAGTGAGGTACAGCCACGTTTTCTTTTTCATTGATTCTTCGTAGCGTATTGTGTAATTTAATGGATCTTATAATATATCTCGGATTACAATAGGAAGTTTCTCTCTTTCGTGTGAACCGAGGTATTCGACGCGATCGCGAGTATGTCAGTATCGTAGATCCATAAATGTGTCATGTCGTTACGGCGGTTTTATACTAACGAGTTTTATTTGGTAAATAGTCTTACTTTTATAAAGATAAATAAAAGCGTTAAAATAACCAATGTACATATGAACGTGCTAAGGCTTAAGCTTTGAACGTCATTGCGTATGAAGTTTCTTATTAACACACGTGATTGTGCTGGTCTGCAAATGAAAAAATGGAAAAGAAAAGACACTGCGAGTCTTTCCTTATCTACGATTAGTTCAACGTCTCAATTTTTATTTGTATTTAATAAATGCTGACGATTTTTTATAAATCAATCAATGCTTTCTTCATTGAAAATTGCGTTATCACAACTCTGTTCATATGAAAACTTGTGCTGATATTATCTCGTATACATATCGCGCAAGACTAGCAATATAATGGTTACGAGTCTCCGAATGAAGAATAAATTTTTATGATTTTTCCGAATATATTTTTAGCATTTTTGAATTAACATTCCTATTATGTGCGTAGCTTGTTATTTTCATAAAGATAAATCAACCAGGAATTAAAAATATATGCAAATGTAAAAACTCGAGAACTTTCCGTAGATTAGAACATGCGTTCAATTTTCTTGTAATTTTGTTCTATAATTATATCTATTAAATTGCTGTTTTTATGCTGAAATTAAAGTATTACTTTCATTTCAGTGACACTGATGTAAACGTATAAAAATTCTGCATTGAATATCAGTCGTTACCTAGAAAGAGAAATTGTTTCTGATAGCAATATATTAATTTTTTGCGCCTTTTTTTTAAATTTTAATCCTATTGTTGGAACTTATAACAAGTATGTCAAAGTGGTACGATCAATTATGGCATAACAGTATCAACAACTTGCCAGTCTTGTAAGAAAATCGAACAGATCTTTCTTTTTATTCATATTGTATTTAGCAATCTTATTCGGCTCCTTCATCATCAGAAATTTCAACGTTTATAAAACTGCGAACGGTTATAACGCAGATAATCGCACGATTCGTATGACGAGATTGAAAAAAGGCTCTTTATCGTCGTATATGGATAATCATTTACTATTAAGAGATATTTGTAAAATCGTCAACGTACATCATCATTAGTTGACAATCTCATCGCGACATGGCATAATTTTTTTTTTTTTTTTTTTTTATATTACTGCAATGCGTGAGTGTGAACAACAGAATGTATTCTCATCGAGTACAGTGATAATGCAGCAAAAGGGTCCATTCCGAGTTCAAGCTCGACAAAAATACGTAAATCGTTAACACATGTAAAATTACGTAGCAAAATTGTAATGGATATTATGCTTATCCTTATAATACGTGCATACGCGGTGTAGCGTCATCTCACCGCTTTGTAATGATCTTCCTGCGATTGTATTTCCATCGCACATTCATGTTACCAAATGTTGATGAAAAAGAAAGAACATTTTGTATAACAATTCCGTTAAAAGACCAAGTTCCATCAATATAAAGAATGGTTAAATGCAAAAAAATAATCATCTGACAAAGCAAGTTTTCAATCGATATTTTATATCCGAATGTTTCTTAGCTACATGAATTAGGGTCCGTGCCCTTTTCCTACAAACACAAACCCGTATATACCTTATATAAAATTTCCATTTTATCTCCATCCATTTATTTACGCTCTTTATATCTCAATTGTATCACTTAAAAACGATTCATGTGCAATACATTATGTGGTAACAGACAGGCCCTTTTGTCGTATGCTCACTGTAATGACATACAAGGAAACGAAAACTTAGCTATAGAGATCGTCATCTCCATCATCTTGAAAGGCTTGATCGCCTTGCGTATTATCTTGAGCACCGCCTGCTCCACTTTGTGGAAATCTGCAAATAAGTTTTTTTTTTTAATGAAAGAATATTTTTTATTATGTAAAAATTGTTCTATTGAAAATATGTATCATATCTTTAGCATTTAAAAAAAGTGTATCCATAAAAATTTAGTTTTATTTCCTTATTAATTTTTACACGCGTATTGGAATTCGAAAAAAAGAAGGAAAACTCGTACCTGAAATTAGTCCCGAATCCTCGAGATTGCTGAAGCGTTTGCGCAAACATTTCGTACTTGCGAATGTCGTTATCGGATACTGAACGACGCGCGAACCTCATTGCTTCCTCGAAATGAGCTCGCGTTATTTCTGGTACGGGATCATCCTCATCCATCTGGAAAAAGCATAGAAACTTAGAACTTAGGAGTGACATCCATATATCGATGGCAATTTTTACTCGAATTAATCATTTTAATTTCTACATAACTGTATATATCTTTTAATATTGCCGGAAACTGCATAAAATGATTATTATTGCGTATGCGATTATGAAAGAAAGTTTTTTTCCCTCGCAGTCGGGAAATATTGTACAAACTTATCGTGCTTGCATCGTAAAAAAATAAAAAAATGTGTAAGAAAACCCTTTCTGCTGATGGTTCAAATAAAGTCGAATGCTGATTCAGGTATGAATCATACAGATGATGCGGCAGAAACGAGTCTTTGAAATAAAACGCCGTAAAATTTATTTTATAACAAAACATCTTACGTCCATAGATGCGGATGGATTATTTGCTCGTTCTTTTTCCCTTCGGATTTCAGTCTCGATGCACTGTCTAATGGCAAGTTTGCATGCCCGTTGGCAGATTTCTGTCAAGTCAGCACCGGAAAAACCGTGTGTAACTTTGGCTATGTAGCTTAGATCTACGTCCTGATAAAAAGAAGAATCACTCTTGTTTTAATGCCAATTAAGAAAGATGCAGAGAAAAATATAAATATACATAAATGTTACATTGATAATACTAAATATTTTTTACTTTTTAGACAAATTTACGAAGTTATTACCTTAGCCACGGGCGATTTTCGGAGATTAGCGCGGAATATTGCTTCTCGGGACTTCTCATCCGGTAGCGGTATGTAAATTAATTGATCTAATCTACCAGGTCGTAAAATTGCCGGATCGATGATGTCGGGCCGATTTGTCGCTCCTATGATGAATACGTTCTTCTTCGCGCCCATACCGTCCATTTCCGTTAATATCTGATTTATCACACGGTCCGCTGCACCACCGGCGTCGCCGACAGTGCCGCCTCGAGATTTCGCGATAGAATCGAGTTCGTCGAAGAACAATACGCAAGGCGCTGCTGATCTTGCCTGGAAACAAATTTGTTGTTAAACAGCGATTTTGAATCGTCCATCAGAGAATGGGAAAGAACTTACCTTGTCGAAGACATCTCTGACATTGGCTTCCGATTCTCCGAACCACATGGTTAATAATTCAGGCCCCTTGACAGAAATGAAATTCGCTTGACACTCATTGGCAATCGCTTTGGCCAATAGTGTTTTACCGCAACCGGGTGGGCCGTAAAATAGTACGCCTCTTGACGGTTGCATACCGAATTTCAAGAATTTATCAGGATGCTCCACTGGATACTGCGCGACGAGAATAAAACATTAGTAATATATTGATAATTTGAAACATATCTCACATGCGTATATTAGGCTTTGCATGAGTTCTTACCTGCACCAATTCTTGCAATTCCATTTTGACGTTTTGTAAACCTCCGATATCATCCCAGGTGACCGTCGGCACCTCCACGATCGTCTCGCGTAGAGCGCTCGGGCTGCTCTTCGTCATTGCATACTTTAACGGGAAAATACTTTCACTTAGAAAACGGTGCAAATCAATTCAATATAAAATCAAGATGATAACCCACCTTAAAGTTCTCCATTGTTACCGCAAGCGAAGACAAGACCTCCGCATCTATATGGTCGTCCTCCAAGTCTATGAGGTCCATTTTTTCACGAATTTGTTGAAGAGCCGCTTCCGAACATAAAGACGCTAAATCGGCGCCAACGTGTCCGTGAGTCTCCGCTGCAATCTGGCGATATATTTTTTAATATTATTTTAAAGTATAAAATGTGATTATTTTTTATTTCTTAGAATTAACGTGGAAATAAGTGGCACCTCTTCTAAATCGACGTCGTCAGCAAGTTTCATGTTCTTCGTATGGATTCTCAAGATTTCCAATCGGCCAGTGGCATCCGGTATACCAATGTCGATCTCTCTATCGAAACGTCCGAATCGACGCAATGCTCCGTCAATGCTGTTCGGTCGATTGGTAGCTGCCATTACAATCACATGGGAGCTTTGCTTCATGCCATCCATCAGTGTCAACAGTTGCGACACAATACGCCTCTCAACTTCGCCGTGCGTCTATATGGACAAGAAAATATGGATTTTCATTTCAAAATACGATTTATAAAAGATATTGAGTTTGACTTGGCGAACCTTTTCACGTTTTGGCGCAATCGCATCAAGTTCGTCGATAAATATAATAGCCGGAGAATTTTTCTCGGCCTCCTCGAACGCCTTTCGCAAGTTGCTTTCGGATTCACCAGCTAGTTTGCTCATAATTTCGGGACCTGTATGGAAAAAGGGGAATTTTTTTAAATCTCATATATTGCTTTATATTCTTTATAATATTTCTCTGACGGTATTTACAGATTGCGTACCGTTTATGAGAAAGAAGAACGCTCCAGTTTCGTTTGCCACAGCGCGTGCAATGAGAGTTTTTCCTGTTCCCGGTGGTCCATATAACAATATACCACGTGGCGGCTTGACACCGATCGCTTTGAACAGAGACGGATGTCGCAGAGGTAATTCTACCATTTCCTTGATTTGCGCCAATTGCTTGCGGACGCCGCCGATATCGTCGTATCCTACAGCGTTCAATGCTTCCTCCTCCTCCTGCAAATAATCTTTTCACTATCTGCATCGATATGAAAGGTATCAAAAAAATGGAATATTTTTCTGACCTCTCGTTTTATCGGATCACCTTCACAATGTATCACTGTATCAGGCGCCACAATGCAAAATGGTCCCGGATCAGTTTCCACAACTTTGAATTCCACTGCTCGCATACCTCCTCGTACAATGAAGTTGTCATCTTTGTGAATAGGACGGTACGCTTCCAAGAAGTACGGCTTTAAATAGACTTCGAATAGGTTCCTGCAAAAATGTAGATATGTATTTTATGTGCCAGTATAATATTATGTAATTAGAAGTGCACAAAAAATTGATTTTATAAAAAAAACTAATGTCAACTCATGATTTTACTACAATTAGGTAGTATTTTAAGTTGTCCTCTTTTACAATTGCTAATAAATTACACAAATAACATAAATATAACTAAATGTTATTGGAGTAACGTGTGGTTCCACAGAACGATTGACTCGTAATTTGAGATTCCAAGTTCGATCCCCATCTATGGCTCTCAATTTTAAAAGATTAATGGAGAGTTGAAAATTAAGTCATGAGTAAAAGACGAGGTTGAAAAGGTGATCCACTTCGGAAAACATTCCATTTATCATCTAAATCTTAATTGTTAAATTTACCCGGTAAGACCGTCGACAGTGTCGTCCATTGGCAGCACATGAATACGTTTTCCATACTTGACCTCCGGACAAGCTTGTACGGAAACGACATCGCTCAGGCGCACGCGCAAGTTATTTCTGACAACCCGGTTCATGCGGATCTTCTCGTCCGGGCAGGTGTCGTCCGAAAGAACGATGCACACCGTCTCCTTACGCCTCTTGCCCTTCAGCAGTACGGTATCACCGCGAAACAACTGCAACTCATCCATTTTTGCTTGGGAGAGCGCAACTACGGAATTGTCATCGGCAATCGCCTCATCGACCAGCAGTCTGTTTGGCCTATCCTTCTTGCGAAGGATAGCAGTCGCCAAATCTTCACCACTGAAACAAATAACATTAATTAGGTATCAGTTGCAATCAATGTATTACTGTATTCGACATTATCTTGTCTAATATTCGATATATTGTATAAAAATAAATTTGCATTAAATATTTTCGTCATAAAATGTTATATTCTCATTGGTTAATTTCACCAATGAGAATATAATTATTCAGACGTTATCGAGACGACAAGAATATTTAAAATCATTGAAAAAAGAAAATTGGTTTCTAATTAGAAAAATAAGTAAAAAAATTAATGAAAAATATATATAACATTCTTTCTTCAGATAACATTCTCTTCATGAAGGAAACGACTTTGAAAGTTATTCCAAGTTTTATAAAAGTTTCTAAGTAGAAAAATAAGTCAAATGTAAATAACATTCCTTCTTCGAATGACATTCTTTTCTTGAAGGAAACAGCTTTGAAAGTTATTTTTATAGACTTTTAAAATTATTTTCCTTTTAATAATTAATTTGCTATAAAATGTTTTCATGATGAAACAAACATGACTTTGTATTCTGAAGAGGAAAAACTAAAAAGATAATGACATCATATATACTTATACATACATATGTACATATATCTATATATACCTATATATGGAGGGATAAAAACCACAGTGGTGAAAGTCAAATTTTTTTAAATTTTTTTTCGTGTATAGATGCAATTTATATATTGTATAGATTGCATCTATGCACACGAGAAAAAATTAAAAAAAAATTTGACTTGCACTATTATGACTTTTACCTCTCCATATATATATATATTACGCAATGTATTTTACTTATCTGATTAATCTGATATCTATTAAAATCCTCGTAAATTATAATAATCTGAAAGGATAATTTCAGAAGACGACACATAACAAGTATGCGAAATTAGCATATTTATTAATTTTAGACACGTAACGCGAAAGTTTCTCGTGGCAAGGAGCATTTGCGTCCACGTTCGCGATTCTCGCGAACAAGCCATGTGACATCGCGGGCGAGTCGAGCGTCTCCTTTCCCTTTTGTCATGTTTGGCTTGAAGCACAGCCTGCACAGCCATGATCGCGGGCCATGACGTGCCCGAAAATCGACGGGCGCGCGTCCGCTCCGCGGATAACACTCCCCCTCCGCGGGGGAGGTGTGCCGTCGCGGGAAGCGACGGGGCGCGATCCGCGCGACCGTTCGTCATCCGTCGTCCGGGTCCATCCGGGTCGCGCGTGTCGAAAACGCGAAAAAAGGAGCGTCGCGTCGACATGATGACATCGTGAAATTGAGTGCCGTGGTCGGCCGTGTCGCGCTGCTCCGCGCGACACACACGTCGGCGCCGCGGCACGCGAGCGAGCGAGAAAATCGGCGTTGGAATACACTGGATTAGGGATACTAAGAGTCTCGTCGACGTGGTTTCCTCACCTCTTCGGATCACTCATCGTTCAACCCTCGGTTGCTTCTCCGGCCCAAAAACAAGAATCCGCACGATGCACGATCTCTTCCCTCGGTAGGCGCGATGAATCTAGCAACGGAGTCACAGAAATGCAAAATGCAAATGAAGGAAAACCGTGTGCACGATGACTCGCTTCTACCCGTTGCCAAATCACAGAGTAAGGGCGCGTCCACACCAGTCCACACGTCGCGAAACGGCTTGGGCGACGCGCGCAGGAGGAAGGAACGCGGTGGCGTCCAATCAGTTTGTCGCTTCTCCGAAAACGATAGCGTCATTTCTCCCACTTTCCTTCTTTGTTCCTAAAGCCCGTATCGTAGTACGGATTGGAGGGATTAAGGCCGGTATTCATATTCGGTTCTTAAGGCCCGGTGTCCACGATGCAAGAACTGTGTCCAAGTTTCGGTTTAATGCCCGGTGTCCACGATGCAAGAACTTGGTCCAAGTTTTGGTTTAAGCCAATCAACTTGCAGCTCTTACAGAAAAGCAGCAGTTTCATTGGCTTAAACCAAAACTTGGACCAAGTTCTTGCATCGTGGACACCGGGCTTAAGCCAATGAAACCGCTACTTTTCTGTAAGAGTTGCAAGTTGATTGGCTTAAACCGAAACTTGGACAGAGTTCTTGCATCGTGGACACAAGGCTTAAAGGCATTGCGCATAATGGCGGCAGCTTTGGCGGTTGAACCAATCAGGAGGCGACCCATTTTGTTGCGCTCACTTTAAGGTGAAGTTCGCTTATAAGAAATAAAAATGTGTAAGGGTCACTTCGACCAAGCTCCGATTAACTTAATCGTTGATTAGTCATTTGTCAATCTGCTTCATGAGCAAATGCGATTGGTCATTTCCAATGGACTAATCAACGATTAAGTTAATCGAAGCTTGGTCGAAGTGGCCCTAAATCATGTAAAATTTTAGATAAAACATTAAATAAATAAACTAATGACAATTAAACTTACATTTATTAGATTATTTATTAAACTTCTGTTTTAATTCTGTTCTAGTTTGGTTACGTAATTTGATTAGTCAATTAACCGCACGTCCACAGTGTAGATTCTGAATTATAGTGTGAGGAAGAAGGGTTGAAACCTCGGTTGAAACGCAATTTACTTAAATAATAATAAAAAGACATATGTAACAAAAAAAATAAATATTTTATTCAAACAGAATAAAATTAGGTAACGTTTTTTATCATTTCAACCTCCCTCATTTCGTGAAGAGCGTCTGAGGTAATATTTTTCACAACAAATTCTTTAATTTTTTAAAATAATTAAAAACACATTTTTTTAATGTTAAAAAAACGTTTTTCTTACAATTTTAAAATAAATACAGCAAAAATAAGAATTTAAATTGGATTACTTAGCAAATATCAACCAATATAAATGCCTCTCAACATTAATTATATTTACTACTTACTGCGTATGTTTTATTAAAGTCGCAAAAGTTGAACACAAAATATTTCCCGCACAACAGACGCACGCGACGGATTAACGGGACGTAACGGACTATGGCTGCGTTCGGCCGAACCTCTGCTTAGCGAAGCGGAAGGTAGCAATTAAGTGTAATTGGTTGGATCCAAAGGTAAGAACCAATCACATTCAGTTGCTATCTTTCGCTTCGCTAAGCAGAGGTTCGGCTGGACACGGCCTATGAATTGATGGAAGCAGCCATATTGCTTTTCTCGCAAAAAAAGGTCGCGCGCTGATTGGTTCAAAAACTGAACGAGTGCGCAGCATCGGGAATGCTCATAGACATGGAATGCTTCACCTGTCTATTTACACCATGGGCTGATGTATATCTTTTTCCCGATAACGTCATCTACATACCTGCTGACAATAGAGTGCGCGGCACTGCGCGGTATGTTACACACGTGAGATATCTGGCAATCGGGCTCGGTTTCTCACTCGGGTAGATTTTTCGAATCTCGAAGTTCTCTTTGGCTTGATTTTCAAGAGGCTGCTTTGCAAGGTAAACTAAATCATAAATTAATAAATAATCCATGTTTCAAAAAAATTTTTTTTACTGTAATCGGTTTTCTAAATATTTTGAAAAAACGCACCTTGGTGCTCTCGGGTTATTGAAAGAAATGCATCAGGTAACCTGTAAGTACGAGTTGCGAAAAAAATATACTTCTAATTGAAAAAACGATGCTTCATTCGAATTAGAAATGGCAAAGAAAACACAACCAGCATGGCATCTGCCAGATAGGAAGGACGCCCCCGTGCTGCGATTGTACAACAGTCTGACGAGAAAAAAGGAAGTGTTTGTCCCGCAGTTTGAAAATTGTGTTAAATGGTACAGTTGTGGACCTACTGTTTACGATGCGTCGCATATGGGCCATGCAAGGTATTAACAGTATTTCTAAACACAATCTTTTGACATCTGTTTTGCTGTCATGCTCAATTTGATACAATAGATTTTTTTATGGAACAGTTTTACTTTATATATTTTTTGATATTTTATCTTTCGTAATATTATGTAAGTAAGTGACTTTCTAGATGTATGCACGAGATATTCATGTGTATATTTCTTTTTTATAGGTCATATATATCTTTTGATATTCTACGCCGTGTGATGTCAGATTATTTTAGATACAATGTCTTATATGTGATGAACATTACTGATATAGATGATAAGATTATAAAAAGAGCAAGGCAGAATTACTTGTACGAAAACTACGTGAAAGAAAATCACAGCCTTAATAAAATGTTAGATGACATCAGAGAAGTAATGACTAATTTTGAGAATGTTGTAAAAACTACAAATTGCGCTGATAAAAAATGCATGTTAGAGAAGATGTTACATAGAATAACGAAAGCTATTGAAGATCTGCAGGCGGTGAAAGAGAAGGATGAAAAAAAGATTGCAGAGTCTCAAGATGTAAGTTTCACTTAAGATACATTTGATGTAGAATCTATTTTTTAAAATTGCTTCCTTCAAAGTAAATAATAATTTTTATACAGGCATTATTGAGAGAGGCTAGAGATTTCTTAGCCAATTGGTTAGATGAGATTAAAGGTAGCACAGTCACAGAACACTCCATATTTAATAAATTATCGCAGCGTTGGGAAGCTGAATTTCATAAAGATATGGATGCTTTAAATGTAAGATTTAAATGTAGAATGTTTTTATTTGTTTTTAAAACAAACTTACAATTTGTTTTTAATATTATTGTTTTTCCACAAATCTTTTAGGTATTAAAACCAAACGTGGTCACGAGAGTTAGTGAATATATACCTGAGATAATAGCGTTTATACAAGGAATAATAGGCAATGGACTTGCTTATGAAAGTAATGGATCAGTATATTTTGATGTAAGCAAGTTTGATAAACAAGAGAAACATTGTTATGCTAAGCTTGTACCAGAAGCATATGGCGATACGTCAAGTTTGGAAGAGGGAGAAGGTAAGTTTGAGTTACCTTTCATGTTTGGTTTTTTTAGAACTAAATTAACTAATGTTTTTTTTTCTTTACTAAGGTGACTTAAGCATTACGGCAGATAAGCTCTCTGAGAAGAAGTCGGTAACAGACTTTGCGCTCTGGAAAAGCTCAAAGGACGGTGAACCCTGGTGGGACAGTCCCTGGGGCAAAGGACGTCCAGGGTGGCATATCGAATGCTCAGCCATGGCGTCCACAATTTACGGAAAAAGTTTAGACATTCATACAGGCGGGGTGGATCTTAAATTTCCCCATCATGATAATGAACTCGCACAAGCGGAAGCGTATTTTGATAACTCCCATTGGGTCAGATATTTCTTGCACTCTGGCCACTTGACTATAGCTGGCTGCAAAATGTCAAAGTCGCTAAAGAATTTTGTGACGATACAGGACGCTTTAAAGAAACACTCGAGCAGGCAGCTCAGACTTGCCTTCCTTCTGCATTCATGGAAAGATACTTTAGATTACAGCGATAATACTATGAATATGGCTGTGCAGTACGAAAAATTTCTTAACGTAAGTACACAATTTTTATATATGTATAATATCTTGATTTCATATCAAGCATTTAAAAGGATGCATATTTAAAATCTTTTTATTGTGTACATATTTTTGAGTTTATATGTTTGCGCGTGTATGAGTGAGGAGGGGGAATGTGGGTGAAAGACCACTGACACCGAAGCAATGAAATAACACAACATTTTATTTAAACAACCAAAAATAATAACGGAATTAAAGAACAACGTAATTTAGAAACAACGTAATTTGAATTTGGTTGAAATCGAAAACGCGGGCGTCTTAAATGAAATCGCTATCGACAAAGAACGCGCCAGAGATGTGACGAGCTCTTAGCGACAGTCATATGAAATAGATTTAAGACTTCGCGGAATAAAATGACGAAGGTGTCGGTGGCCAGTTATTATCTTCGTTTAGAAAATCGATAGTCAAAAAGACCATGTCGGCGAATTACAAAGAGCAGATCGATACAGTACGGTTAATATGAAGACGTGAACTGATACGCCGCGGCGATTCGATAAATATCGTGTTACATCTTGCGCCATGACTAATGACACCATCGACAAATTAAAGAATAATAATATTCAAAAACATTCATGATCTCGAGCATTTGCGATCTTGAACATTATATATCTGAAAAATAAAATTAATTGATTTTTCTAGGAATTCTTTTTAAATGTAAAATGTAGGATCAGAAGTTTGGGGACAAACACTATTGCTAACAGTTTTCCTAAATGTTCCAATTCCGAACTAGAACTCTATGAGAAATTTTTTCATGCAACGGGTTCTATACATAAAGCATTATGCGGTAAGTCTTTAAATCTTAATTATTTCCTAATCATTGATAGATCTAGATGCGTATCACTAAAAAGAAATTTATTGCAGACAATATTGATACGAGGACTGTTCTCGAGTTAATACGGGAGCTCGTGGCAAATTGCAACGTGTACATGAATCAAAGTAAAAATCCAAATACGATTCTTCTCAAGCGTATTGCGATGTATATTACTGACATGTTTATCATTTTTGGGGCTATTCCTTCCTCGTATGACTCAATCGGATTTCCAATTGATGATGAGGCAGTCAGTAAAAATGTAAGATCGATATCGAAATATGTTCTCCTGATAACCTCGATGAGGCTTTTTGCGCGTTTGAAACATACGTATTTTAATTCTCGCCTAACTTCTTATTTGCTTATTTTGAAATAAGAAATAAATTTACATAGATATAGACACCTTAAAATGCAATTTGAAATAAAATAATGTAATTATAATATATATACCTATTTTTTGTATATTTCACGATCAGGTTGAAGAGACTGTTCAGCCATATGATATTCTTGATATTCTGAACAATTTCCGAGAGGAAGTTCGAAAATGCGCGAAAACCTTGAAGGCAAACGATATTTTGCAAGAGTGCGATCGATTGCGCGATGAAATTTTGCCGAACGTCGGTGTGCGATTAGAAGACAGTAATGAAGGCCCTAAAATAAAATTAGTTAACAAGAAAGAGTTATTGAAGGAGAAAGAAATTAAAGAGAAATTAGAACACGAGAAAATCTTGGAAAAGGAAAAAAGAAAAACAGAGGCTGCTGCTGTGGCAGCGGTGAAAGAAGCGCAGAAAAGAATATCGCCAAATGATATGTTCAGATTGGAGAAAGACAAATATTCTCAATTTGACGATAAGGTAAACATCTTACTCATCTCGCATATAACATTATTACATTTAAAATTTACATTACATCTAAGTTTATATTCTGTTTTCATGTATTTTTTCTATATTTCTATGCAGGGATTGCCGACGCATGATGCCGAAGGTAAAGAAATTAGCAAAGGCTTACTTAAGAAACTGCAAAAGTTACAGCAAGCACAGGAAAAGAAATACAATGAGTACTTAACTTCCACGCAAAATGGTTGCTTGTAAGATTTTACACATAAGGAAGTCTACAAAGCTGTAGTGGAAGATAGCAGTTTTATATTTCAACAATTTTGTTGTATTTTTACTTTACTATTACAAAGAATAATTCTCTTGTTTAAAAGTATTGAAAAATCTAAATTGCAACTTTTGACGATTTGTGTTTTACTAATATAATTTCAAGTTAGTCTGAATACATATTTGATATTTGAATCTTAGCTGATATAAAACTTTCTCTCTAAAGGTTTGTTCTAAAAGCTTTGGCTAAGAAATTAAATTTAGATTTCTTATTAGTATCTGTTCTCTGATCGATTAAGTATTTTCAGTTGTTTCAATTATTTCTTTATCAAATTATTTTGTAATCTATTTTGACTGCCTCTTTTTGTAGTTTATTTATTATTTTATTGCCTCGAATTAATCCTTGGCTGGCGGTGGCTGGATCACTTGAGAACTGATGGGTATTTATTAGTCTCTTCGAAGTTGACTCGTATATCCCTTTTTATATCAAACTCGAAAACTGCTGTTTTATGTACTATATTTCTACGCAAAGCGACTTTTTGAAAGAGTATGAGTCAAGACCAAAGAGTAAAGAGAAACAGGAGGGAGCATTTAGTGTTAGCGAAGCGGACGGAAATGACTATATATTCCAGTATGAGAAGACGCTTAAGATGGCTGCCAATATTGAATGATTTTAATTATTAACTGATGAAACGTTATTCCATAATTTGAGCTGTTATTGTTGTGCCACAGGCCTGGTAGCTGGTAGTGCACCATGATGCTTTTATATCTCACAATTAACACTTATTTACAATTTTTTGCGCTGATAAACGTCAAAAAAAGTGACGCTCAAGACTGCCTGACGTACTTTTATCCGCGATTTACCTTTCTCCCACTACCGATATATTCCCTCCTGTTTCTCTTTACTCTTTGGTCAAAACTGACCCAGCCGCAGTTGACCGAAGGATACATCTTGCGATGGTTATATAGGAACATAGGATATAAGAATTCCAATATTGTAGTTTATCAAAATATTGTAATTGTCAAAATAAATAAATTTTATAAGATTTTGTGTATTTGTAATGCGTATTGCAATAAACATGTGTGTAGCTTTATATACTAATTTCAATAAATATATGTATAGTTTTATATATTAAGTTTATCATGAAATCGTACGCGTATGTACGTCGAACATCGGACGCAGTACGCAGTGTGATAAAATAACGATGTTTTGATTGGTCGTGACGGATGTCGCGACGCTTGACGCGCTCAATGGAAACTCAGCCAAATCTACATTGGCCGCGTTCAGCAGACACAACTGTTGAGTTCGTCTTATCAACACTCACCGTTGATTGGTTGGTTCTAAAAGTAGAAGCCAATCACGTTCGACTGCTACTACTGAGCGGCTTGGTCTACTGAACGCGCCCATTGGTAGAAATGGACAATAGCGACGAAGACGATTCTCGAGAAGACGATTGGTCCATGAACTGTGCCTACCCACCTCGACGATGTGTGTACGGGGCTTAAGTCGGTTTTACGTCACGCGTAGTTCGCGGTTCACGTAGAGCGGTGCTCGATAAATATACACACTTGTCAAATCGATTTGCAATGGCCGGGATTAAAGGTTATTCAACGTATTCCCGATCGTTTTTCACGCGTGCGGCTTTCCGCGGCGTGAATCCTCGCGAAACGTCATCGCCGCGGGGATCTCGCCGCGCGAAAACCGCGACAATCGGCTGTCAAAACATAACCTCGCCGCGCCGTTGTTGTCACCGTCGTTTGACGTTTCGCCCGTGCACGGGGCCCTCGCCCTCCTCATTGAGTTTCTCTTAATTTAAGGGCAACGCGCGACCTTCACGTCACGCACGGTTCCTTTCATTCGCCTCTACGCTTCCTCCTAAATTTCGCAAAAAAACGAAAATTGCATTTCAGAAAAGTTTCGTTTTGTAATATCGCGTAGTATTATTTTTTCAATCTATTTCCAGACTCGCATTTTAAAACGATCGTTTGTCCGTTCGATACGAGAAAGATTTATATAAATTTATCGCTACAAATATTGCTACGGCTCCGAGACTGGACAGTCAAAAATGCGTTATTAGGCTTATAAGGATGTAGTTCTTTATGATACCGTTTAATGTAATATGTAGAGATTAATATTGTGCTTTTCTTATTTCATGATATTCTTTCCTCGTGACGTTCATCCTCGAAACAGCGTAAGTACCCTTTGCAAGCCAATGATTGGGATACTTTCTCTTAAAATTCATAGATAACTATGATGTCTATTAATTAACAAAATGTAATTGTTATACAACGATGTGATTACAGATTGGTACTGCTAGCATTTGCTGGGTCCATCGGAATGACATTTGTCATTCTCGGTTGTGCATTACCCATATACAAGTGAGTGCATCTCTTTGCATAATCAATTTATTTCAGATATTTAGTTCCCCTAGGATTAGAATGTTACAACACGCACAATTTCCAGAGTATGGTGGCCATTTTTCGTTGTACTGTTCTACATACTGGCACCTATTCCAACTATAATAGCACGCCGCTATACAGATGATTCGGGAACCAACAGTAATCCGTGTTTAGAGTTGGCGATATTTATTACGATGGGATGCGTGGTGTCCTCTTTTGCTCTTCCAATTGTGTTGGCGCGATCTCCGGAGGACCAGCCAGTGGTACGTCGCGCACGTTTTTGCATAGAGCATTATTACAAAACTTTCAAGACTCAGTGATACGATAAAACAATTGCAAATAACAGTTTTATTGTAACTGACAGTACATTAGGTTTGAATCGATCAGCTGGATTATGTGGTTTATTTGTACTTACAGATACAATGGGGCGCTTGCTACCTGACATTAGCAGGCAATATTGTTGTGTATTCCACTCTAGTCGGATTTTTCATAACTTTCGATCAGGACGATACCGATTACAACATGTGGTGAGGTACTACTGCATCGTACTTACTCATCATGATAAAAAAAACGTGAGTAATGTACGAGTTGATTTCATCTTGAAGGTAGCGAAAGTTAGTCCTTTGAAATACCGAACCCGATACGATATTAATTATTACCGATGAGATAAAATAATTACATTTTAAAGTTTCTCACTTATTTTTGAAATATAGAACTTACACAAAAGACTCGCGGCACTAATTAAAAATACGTCACCTATGCCATATTATAATGCGTGTAATTATTTCAGGTTTTTTATGCGATTAAAGGGAAAAAATATCAATCATGCAGTGCACTGACTGAAAGCTACATGTTTATTCTAAATTATACTATGAAACTTATTGTACACAGTTTACATAATAACCTTAATATGGATACTCTACTATATTGATGCTGCAAAGGAAAAAAATAGTATTATAGTGCACTAACGATAGAATGTCGGTGAGGCTACGCTGGTACGGCTACGCGGTACATTGGATTCTGCGCGCGTTACGAAGCAGCGAAAGAGGAATAATATGCATTTGATGTCTTAGATTTTTCGTATGGGACTATTCAGGTTAGCCTGAAGCGCAACAATGCAAGGATAATGTTGAAAATATTTTTTATTTAATCTAAGTCTTTCGTAATAATAATGGTAATAAAAGTTACGATTTATTACTTCACATCTTATCTCTTCAATTATCCTCGCAAAAACCGGCCGGGAATGTTTCCCAGTCACGTTAAAATAAAATAGCTTGAAAATGATTCTCATATATGCATTTCTTATATATAATTGTTATAGTTTTATAGATATGAATTATGTATAGTTTTAGATATATTTAGTTATAGGTAATATTGTTACAGTTTTAAATATAGATCGTTACAGTTTTTGAATAACAAATAATTTGCAATTCTGTAATTTCTTAATTTAAATTTGAATAAGTTTCACGAGCCACTACCACTTTATATTTCAAGAACGAGAAGAATTTCGAAGAAATCGAATTTATTTGTTCAATGACAGGTTGAAATTTTTTAATTGCGTACATTTTTAAGTTAATTTAAATGGGCGCTACCGCAGAGATAATTTCCGGTCACTTTAGTAATCGGAAATCATCATCGCGTCAAAATGGCGCCCGTTTAAGCGCAAGCCGGATTCAACTGGCCAATTGGCGTCCAATTGTCCATTTTCTTAGCGCATTTCACGTTCGAGCAGCACAGATTCGATCGGTGGTAATTGTTCGATTTCTTTTCTCGTCTACAATACTTCAGATTCCGAAGGAAGTTCAAAGAGATTCTACAAGCGCGTCTCAAACCTTTCCCCGGAAGTAGCTTTGCGTATTGCGAAACTTTCGGGCGTGCCGGGTGCCCGAAAATCGCGACATTCCCAATCGTGCCTCAAATTCAAAGGTGCGGGTGCGCGTCGATATAATCAAGGCGCGAAAAAGATTCGAATTTATAATAATACACGCCGGCATTCGGCAGTGAAATATTGAACGCTGCCTCATTTAATTTAAGACAGAAAATACGACGTTGATCGTTAAAGAGACTCTAATTTACTTTATTTGCGTGTTTGTGATGTATATTCTTTTGGTGTGTAAAGCTGACAGTACTTTGAAGATTTTAATGTGCAAAATTCATTTACTTGAGAGTTAGGTTAGGAATAGCCGAGGCTTATCCGCGAAATAATTGCGATCAGTCATTTTACCGCTATTATCGAAAGAAATTACCACGAAATAACCACCTAGTGGATTTTAAATTCTAACATAATTTGCGAATGTGTGTTTCGATAGATCCAATTGTGCATAGTTAATGTCAGAATCTCGTCGATGAGTGTCATCGATGGAGAGGATGTCGAGTAACGAGAAACACGATTGAGTATAGACGTACGTGTAATTCTGTATATACTATTCGTTCTCAAGTTTTATGGAGTGCACATTTTAGAAGGGAAATTAAACATGTTTGTCATGTAAATGTCCCTTCTACTTTAGGCCAATGTGTTTTATCTAATCAGCCTATATAATCGCACATCTGTACCAATAAGTCATTTCCCAGAGATTGTACAATGTAAAAGTATACAGCTGATATTTATCTTATTTACTCGCATGGAGGAAACGATCGTTGCTAATCAGTGACTGTTTTTTCTTAATTATTGAGGAATATAATTATATCTTGGGTGAGTTTATCTTAGAAGTAATATTTTTTATTGTACACCAATAATATTTACAAAATTATTCTCTTTTCAGAACTTGGTTTTAAAAAAAATATATTAGTTGATTCTATACCAGAATGTCTTTTAAAATTCAAAAAGCAGAACTCCACGAATCTTCTGACCAATATATCCAAATGCAACAGCTGCTACCAATGGGATTGGCAGGTATAGTACGGTCCTTAAATGTCTGATTAACTTATAGAATTTTTAGAAAACCACCACTAAACATAAAATGGAACATGATGTTTGTAGGAGAAAATGAAGGATACAGTATGTCGGATAATTTAAGCTCCATTATTCCGTATGCTACTTTAAGAATGCGTAACGTTCGTTTACCTCACGAAGAATGTGCCAATGCTATTGCCAATCATCTACGATCAAGCGATAAGTTTATGCACGATGATCCTGAGACGGAGCAGTTTAGGATGGAGACGGTGAGAACAATACCGCAGTGCCTCACTGTGAAAAGAGCTATCAGGTCACAGCTACAGGCGACTGTTAATCGGAAGGCGATAAGAAAATCGATTGGTTGTTGGAAACTGTTTAAATATAATATCAGCTTAAAGTTTGCAAAGGTAATGTTGATTTCGCCGAAGCCGTCTTTACGTTGTCTTTACGTTATGTGTAAAAAATTAAGAAACAAATTCTTTTTTTATATAGATTCGGGTGGCAATGCAGAACTTTTTATCGGCAACGAAATTGTGGCACCGAACGATAAAAACCATCGAAAGTCACTATGGAAGCGGTACAGCGACGTATTTTAAATTCTTGAGATGGTTATTCTTTCTCAACATAATTTCTTACATTTTGAGGTGCATACGTTTTATCCTGTTTTGCATCAAGAACTTACTTGTGATATATTTTAAACATTTCGAACAAGATTTTTATTTTAAAATTATAAACATTTCGAACAAGATTTTAATTGATACTTTATGCTTGCAGCGTATCTTTTATTGTGATTCCACAGTCCATGGATCAGACGCATGTGCCTAACAATATTGAAGTATTGGATTTTTTAACAGGCAGTGTAAGTGCAATCATTATTTTATCGTGGATAGCATGCTTAAATAATACGCAAATAGCACATAAAGATACCTTGGTTTGCAGGGCTTTTTATCACGCACAATAATGTATTATGGTTTTTATTCCAATGGCACAGTAGACACACCATTTGGAACCAAATATAGCATTCCATTCGCCTATTTCCTAACGCTACTTTTTTGCTATATAGTTACATTTGTTATACTGTCTCTCAAGTATGTTACAAAATTAACGTGATTAAATTATTCGATTTGTAATTTAATTGAATATAACAGTAAATCTTTTCTAGAGTTATATCCTCTTATCGAAAGTCTTACGTCGAAACACGTGGAAAAGTGCACAATTTATATAGCGACAAAATATTTTGCGGATGGGACTTCAGCGTATCTTCACCAAAGACTGCTGCTTTACAATCAGCATCGATTTATAAAGAATTGGAAGAGCTGTTAGCGGAAACGAGGCATCATATACGTTTGCATTGGTTTGACAAATGTTTGTTAACGATAACGCAACTTGCCGTAACGTCCGTTGTTATATTTATGATTTGCGGTGTTGGTGCACTCGTTTGGATCCTATTAAGTCATTACAATATAGAAGTGCCCGGAACTATCTCGGTTATGATTGTACCAACAGTCATTACTACCATCATTCACATCTTCCCAGCGATTATCTCCTACCTAGTAAGTAGCCTGCGTTTTCTAATGTAAAAATAGTTTATTATAATATTAATATTTTTAGGCATCGTTAGAACACTACAACAACAAACGCACGGAACTTTATGTGACAGTTGTCAGAAATTACGTGGTTGCCGCGACGATAATCGGCACTTTAATCGCCTTCTGGATAATCAACAGTACATCGCACTGTTGGCAAACGCACTTGGGGGAAGAAATCTATCGGCTTGTCATATTGGATTTTATCGCTTCGCTATTTGGGACGTGTTTGCATCTTGCACGTTCCAAGCTTTATAAAAAATTATCGACGAAAGTCTGCAGACCGGAATTCGATATCGCTCGCAATACATTAAATCTTATATACAATCAGACGCTCTTTTGGATAGGATTTTATTTCAGTCCGCTGATGTCCGTTATGATCGTGATAAAATTAATTTTCATATTTTACGTGAAGAGGTACGAGCTGAAAAGATACTACCAGCGGCCGTCACGGCCTTGGCGTGCGGCACAAACGCAAACGCTGTTCTTGGCTCTTGCGTTTCTCAGCATTATCATCGTGCTGTTCACGATAGGATACGTCATCACAAACGTGAAGAGTGACGAATGCGGACCGTTCAGAAATCATCCTCACACTTGGGATTTTATTGTCGACGGAATGTTATCGTTGAAAAGAGATAGCCCGTTCTGGAACGTTGTTTCAAAGCTTGCGAGGCCAGTAACCGGCGCTGTAATATTGGTTGGCATGTGGTAAATAATTTATGAACACATGTACATATATTAAAATGATATAAATAGATGTACTGATTTATTAAGTATTTTTTGTTAAAGTATCGCGGTGTATTGTCTACGGGCAGAAACGAAAGCGAGTGAGGAAATGTTACGAATTTTGTCCGACATGCTTCTTCTGCAGTCTCAAGATAAGCAGTTTCTGTTAAAAACTTTCGGTAAATGTGCTAACAAACGTAAGTCACGTCTACTATTAAATTATATAGGTATCCTTATGCATTGTTGTTAACAAAACAAATATCTCTTTCTTTTATTAGGTGCGCCTGTTCCTAACGAGATTAATCTTTCCCAGGATGTTGGGCTTGCCGAGGAAAATCATGGAAATGAAGAAGTTTTACTTTCTCGCCGACGTAACTTACCGTCGACTAGTTTCGAAGAAAGATGATTGTAAATGAAGATGAAAGTTAATAATATGCACTAGTTGACAATTTGATGACAAACTGCCAAAGCATGTATTAGAAAGGTTTATTTTCGTACAGTTATATTTACACTTAAATCTCATCTGAGAATATTGCTTCTACGATTGCCTAAATCTGAACATTCAAAACTGTCGTATATGATAAAATAAGAACATATTTTTAATACAATAAGTATTTTATATGATATATACAAGTAATAATTATTTATGTAAGTAGATATTTGCGGAAGATATATACAAACAGTAATCTTTTATTTTGATATATAGAATATTCGTAAATAAATCCGCGATTTATCTTTTATGTCTTTTTCTGATCGTTTCCAATAATCTCCATTCCGTTGTCATAGTTACGTGATATACATACGTGTAGCATGTTGATTCAAGCAAATAAGACATTACCTTTGTCGATATACTTGTCACTTAACTGTTTGGATCTGTTAATTGCATATTTGTTGATAAAATAGCAAGTCCTATCAAGAACTTATTCATACATTTTCTAAGAGTAGCAATTTTGAAGGATATCATAATGATAAAGATACAAGACATTTTTTCTTTGGCTAGGCTTGCTAATGATATTTGCAATTAGAGAATGTGCCTTTGTATCTTCGATATGTTAACTTAAGTGACAGAAATGGCTGAAGGAAAGGAGATACGTGGAACTTCGAGCAAGATAAATGCAATAGCGGAACATAAGGACTATCCGTCGCCGGGAACGTCGAAAGCGCTTGTAGAGAAGCAAAAGTTGATACAGGAGTCTTCGTGGACGAGAACTGTCCCGTACAAACACTGGCATAGCTATGTGAAACCTACCGACAGTATAGGCAGTATCTTCACACCCGGCATACCCGCGTATCGAATCAGGACCGTGACCAAACGCGACGTCAAGCCTGCACGATGGCATCCTTTCGGTGCCGACGGAGTTCTCGCGAATCCCCCTCGCGCTTTCATCGAACGACATAATGAAGAAGTTAAGCGAAGAATCGCAGCCGAGAAGAGACGCGACTCTTTGCCGGAAAATATAGTGAGCCTGAAAGATCTGGCGGATGATACGTGGTTGCGGAAGAAAAGTCGGAGTGCGAGAATCTTGATGAAAAAAGAGTTATCTCTACGCAAGGAGAGGATAACAAAGCGAAAGTTGGATCGGGAGGTAACGAGAGACATTTTTGCAAAACTCACAAGTGCTTCAAATAAAAGAATTTGAATTTTTTTCTAATTCAATTGACAAATAGATAATAAAAATATAGCATCGTATATTATAGATGAAACGTTATGTCGAGGCGGAAATTCCAAAATCCGTGGAAGAACAATTAGCCGAGTTAATGGCGATAATCGATAAGGAACAGGAACGGTTAGTAAAACCTGAGGATATTGCTAAAGTAGTTTATCTTAGAGATCATTGCATAAGCGATCATCACCTACAACCATACGATTATGTTAACATCGACGCAGCGAAGAATCGTATCATTGGCAAATTTCAAGAACGAGAAAAGTAAGCATACGTTATTATATTTATTTATGCTATTTATTCGGAACAGTCTAAACGTTGCTCATTGCATCGTGTTGACTTTGACAAACTTTATTTAGTTTCCTGATTTGCCTCAGTATATTCACCGCATCATAATTTTACCGGAATGTGAAAATACAATAAAAAAAGTAAAAGTTAAGAATTATAAAGGAGTAGAGAAAAAAGAATATTGTAAAGAATGTTAAAGAGAATGTTTATAAAATTAAACATGTGAAATAGACAAGTATATTTTAAAATTATTAATATATTTTAAAATTATTTTTAAAATGTACGACCAGTGTGACGCATTTTACCGATTACGATAAGTTCATAGGATGCTTTTGTTAAAGAGAAGTGCGTTTCTTGCAGCTTTGACGTTATAATGAAAAGTTTGGAACCGGAAATAATTGATGACTATAAGCGAAGCCTTCGTAGCGCGATAGTGGATTATATCCTGATGGATTCCGATGAACGGAAACGTTTATCTATCGAAACGTTCCCTGTCGAATTCCCCGTTTTATGTGTTCGTGCGCCAGTGCCCTGGCATCAGGCCAAAGTCACGGCGAATCATTCGGTGCGGCATAATCTTTTTATCGGGAATGAAATACTGAGAGACATCCGAGATTTATGGTTTACAAAGTAAGATTGTATGATAGGCAAGCCAGAAAAAAAAGAGAATCTAATCTTTCTTTTCGATGCTTAAACAATTGAAGTAATTTAAATAAGGTACATTTTTTTTTATTATCGAGTTATGAACTAGCAGTTTCCTCTACTTTAGATATCGTCAAGTAAGAATAATTCAAATGCAAGATTTCGGCACGCTTCCCGTTCCGGCCGCGGAAATTGAACCAAGACTCGATGCTCTGTGCGTTGCTGCTACCGATCTTCTCGTTAAAGAATGGCTAGCCGACGTGGCGGAAATCTTTCTCGAGAAGAAACACGACTGGTCGCAGTACTTTGAGATGCAACCCGACGCGTCCACCGCGATAATCGAGAAGTACTTTCGTAGTGTCAATTCCCTATTGTCGAAACAATTGCGAATCATGATAATGAAGACGTTAGAAGATGTGAAAAACTTCTTCGTGCGATATGAAGCTGGCAATGCGTTTGAAGGAGATTACACGGATCTCATGTTTCTCGAGTAAGATTTGACGATTTCTTTCTAATACATATATACAGGGTGAACTCGAATACAGTAGAAATTACATTGTAGAACTCCTTTCATAACAGTAAAAGTGGAACCGGAACTTCGCACGACACAATTGCACTGCAAACCGAGCATCCTAAAGTTGCACACCATGATCTCGCGATGTTTCGACAAGATCATCACGGTGGGCGCTACGATACCCAAGATCGAAACCATTCTCTTTCCGGAATTGAAAGATGCGGGTCATTTATTTCCCATTTCACGATTTGAAGATACGGTAATTATATGTATCTAATATATATAATACATTTGTGTGGTGTGTGGGTAATAAAAAGTTGACGAGAGAATGCCAAACATTCGATGAATTAATCGCATGACACTTCTATCGCGTTATGGTAGGTATTGAGCATCATCAGCGATGTCTTAGACGTGATCGGTAGACATGCATCTGGTCCCGATAATTATCTCAAGTGTTACCAGAATTTGCTGTATATTACGAGCGGGGTAGCGGAGAAAAAATTAGACAATTTTTTTAAGCTCGAGCCAGTACCACTGTTGCGAGAGTTTGAGCAACAAATAAAGGCGTACGACGCTCTGCGAAAAGAGATTTGTATGTTTCGATGTAAAGTAAGTAACATAATTAAATATAAATCATAGTTAATTACACAAGAAGAAAATCAATAATATTGTTTACATCAATATTAGAAAATTATATCTAATCTAAAAACATTTTTATTTAATGTAATATCTGCCTTTTATTCAATATAATATTATTTGAAATCAACAAATCAGGGTTCTCAGAAAAAAAATTAATAACACTGTATAAATGCATATCCGAAATTAATAATGATTTATATAATTTGGGTATTTCTTCGATAATAGATCCCGCTGAACATGATCGAGATCGATTGCAGTACCGTGAACGATACGATGAGAGAAATTCTGCACGCGCTTCGAAGTAGAATATGCGATTTCTTTGCGGACGAATTACGAGCCAACAATCGCGAATTATGTTCGATCTTCGATGAGATAGCGGAGAACATTTCGAAGATGCCGGAAACAACGCAGCAGGTCGTCGAACTGTACAATTACTTGTGCGAGAGCCGCGACACGACAATGTTCAATCTGAGGAGACAATTAGCTCGTTCGATCGAGCTGACATTGTTCCTGTTCGATCATCAGCCGCCCTCGGACGAGGACATCCATTTGAACTCACGCACCATCACCTGGCCGAAGGAAATGGAGGTCGTGATGGAACTGGCGAGTAATAGATTGAATATGAGAAAGGACTTTTTAGAGACCGTACTTCGTACGAGACGAGATACTTTTGAGAAGAAGATAGTTACGACACAACTGGCGATTGATCAATTCAAGCGGAAGGATCCGCCAGTCCTCACGATAGAAGAGATGGAACAAGCTGTGGAGGAAATTGAGCATATTTCCGTAACCATGACCGAGATCCGTAAAGAAGCTGAAGAAATCAACGAGGAGGAGGGACTGCTGGACATGGAGCTGAGCCCACACGTGGAGCTGCCGACTATGTCCAGCACGGTAGACACCTTCGACAAACTCTGGCATACCGCTTTGGAATTCCATCGGAATTACGACAAATGGTTCTACGGACCGTTTGTGGGTCTGGATGCCGAGCAAGTACGCGAGGAGACCGAAAATACATGGCGAACCCTGTACAAGCTGTCACGCATGCTGACAGAGGTGCCAGGCGCGAGGCGCGTCGCCGAGATGGTGCGCGGCAAAGTTGAGAAGTTCCGGCAGTTTATTCCAGTATTGCAGACTATTTGTACACCGGGTCTGCAGGCCCGACATTGGGAGGCGATCAGCAAGGGTGTCGATGTGACGATAGTACTAACGGACACTAGCAATCTGTCGGAAATGATCGAGTACGGTTTACCCGCTTACATCGCCAAGTTGGAGGAGATAGCTTCGGCGGCCACAAAAGAGTATACTTTGCAGCGGAACCTGCAGAAGATGAAAGAGGAATGGCAGGAAGTATTCTTCGAGTTGACTCCTTATCGAGAGACCGGAGTGTTTATATTGTCCGCCGTGGACGACATACAGATGTTGTTAGACGATCACATTCTCAAAGCGCAGACTATGCGCGGTTCACCGTTCGTGAAGGCATTCGAGGAAGAGATGCAGTTGTGGGAGGAAAAATTGATAATGATGCAGGACATCATCGATCAATGGCTGCTCTGCCAAGCCACTTGGATGTATCTGGAGCCGATATTTAGTAGCGAGGATATCATGCGTCAGATGCCGACCGAATCGAGGAACTTCCGTAGAATCGACAAGATCTGGCGTAATATTATGTTGTATGTCTATGATAACAGACGAGTGACCGACGCTACCGCGATGCCAAATATGCTGCAGGAATTTAAGGTTTGCAACTCGCTCCTCGAGGAGATCCAGAAGGGTCTGAACGACTACTTAGAGAAGAAGCGTCTGTTCTTCCCGCGATTCTTTTTCCTGTCGAACGACGAACTCTTGGAGATCCTGTCCGAGACCAAGGATCCGCAGCGAGTGCAGCCGCACCTGCGGAAGTGCTTCGAGGGTATCAGCAAGCTCCGTTTCACCAAAGACGAGGAGATCATTGGCATGCTGTCGGCCGAGGAGGAGTACGTGCCTCTGAGCGGCAAGATTTATCCGGCCGATGCGAAGGGTATGGTCGAGAGATGGTTGTGCCAAGTGGAAGAGCTCATGGTCATATCGCTGCGCGACGTCGCCGAGGAGAGCATAATAGCGTACTTCGATGCCATGCGGGAGGAATGGGTACTCTCGTGGCCCGGTCAGATCGTCATCTGCAGTAGTCAGATACATTGGACTAGCGAGGTGTACGAATCCTTCGAGGAACGTTCCACGGCATCTTACTTGCACAAGTGTACCGATAAAATAGAGGATATCGTGGCACTCGTACGCGGCAAATTAGAACCCGGAGCCAGAATAACGTTGAACGCTCTAATAGTGATAGACGTGCACGCTCGAGACGTGGTAAAGCTGCTGGTTGATAAGCAGGTCGACAATCCCTCGGACTTCAACTGGATAGCGCAGCTTCGTTACTACTGGCTGGACGATTGCATTACCGTCTCCATGGTCACGACTAGTATCATGTATGCCTTTGAATATCTCGGCAACACATCCAGACTGGTAATAACGCCGCTGACGGATAGATGCTACAGAACCTTGATGGGCGCGCTGAAGTTGAATCTAGGTGGTTCGCCGGAGGGACCGGCGGGTACCGGCAAGACGGAAACGGCCAAAGATCTCGCGAAGGCCGTGGCCAAGCAGTGCGTGGTGTTCAACTGTTCCGAGGGACTCGATTACAAGGCGATGGGCAAGTTCTTCAAGGGTATCGCGCAATCGGGAGCCTGGGCGTGCTTCGACGAGTTCAACAGGATCGAACTGGAGGTGTTGTCCGTGATCGCGCAACAGATTCTGTCGATACAGATGGCCATAAGCATGAAGCTTGACAAATTTGTGTTCGAGGGCACCGAGTTAAAGCTGAATCCCACCTGCAACGTCATTATAACTATGAATCCAGGCTACGCCGGTCGGCAGGAGCTACCGGACAATCTGAAGGTGCTGTTCCGAACGGTGGCGATGATGGTGCCGGACTACGCCATGATCGGCGAGATCACCCTGTACTCGTACGGCTTCACGGACGCTAAGAATCTCGCAGAGAAGATAGTTCATACCTACAAGCTGTGCTCCGAACAATTGAGCTCTCAGAATCATTACGATTACGGGATGCGAGCGGTTAAAACCGTGCTGACAGCGGCCGGCAATCTGAAGCTCAAGTATCCGAAGCGCGACGAGCATGTTCTGGTCCTCCGCGCCATCGTGGACGTTAATCTGCCCAAATTTCTGTCCCAGGACGTTGCTCTCTTCACCGGCATCTACACGGATCTCTTCCCGGACGTGCTCCTGCCTCAACCGGAACGTGACGAGCTGGTGGATCTGCTGAGGACGAATCTGCAGAAACGGAATCTCCAAGCTACCGACTGGTATCTAGAGAAGATCGTGCAGATCTACGAGATGTTACTCGTACGGCATGGTCTTATGATCGTCGGCACGGCCCTGGGCGGGAAAACTCAGGCCTATCAGGCGCTGGCCGACTCTCTGGGCGATTTGTCGGGTATACGAAAAGCGACGATGCGAGAGTATCGCACGGTCTACCGGGTGATCAATCCCAAGGCCATCCCGCTGAGTCAACTCTACGGCAGTTTCGATCCGGTGTCGCACGAATGGAGCGACGGTGTGCTGGCCAACACATTTCGCGAGTTCGCGCAGTCCATCGCGATCGAACGCAAATGGATTGTGTTCGATGGCCCAGTAGACGCGATCTGGATCGAGAGCATGAACACCGTACTGGACGACAACAAGAAGCTCTGCCTGATGTCCGGCGAGATCATACAGATGTCCGGCAGGATGAATATGTTCTTCGAGCCAGCCGACCTCGAGCACGCCTCGCCCGCCACCGTCAGCAGATGCGGCATGATTTATATGGAGCCCTCTCAGTTGGGCTGGCAACCGATCTTCGAATCTTATAAAAAGCATCTCAAGGAGAAACTGTTGTTCGAGCAGTACGAGCTCATTGTCGAATTGATCGAATGGTTGACCGAGCCGATATTACGTTTTATCCGATATAATTGTAAGACTTTTATAGACACATCGGAGATACATATGTTCTTAGTAAGTATAGTGGAAAAATCTGTGTAATGCTAAATTTATGCTCAATTTAATAAGTGATTCTATTTAAAATAAAACTTGATAGAAAGAGAGAAACCTTTTGAACTTAAAATAGTTTTTAAATGGTTTTTAAATATATATGCAATTTTTCATGTATTTTAACATAAAGTTTCAATGTAACATCTCTTTTTGTGTAATATAGTCTTTTACAAGAGTATTCAGCATGATGTTGGCAGAGGAGACGCAAGTGAGCACAGTATGGCTTCAGTGCGTATTGTTATTTAGCATAGTTTGGGGCATTTGCCCAACATTAACGAGCGACAGCAGAAAAACCTTCGACGTATACCTACGAAAACTATTACTCGGCAATATCGACGAGTATCCTAAGCCGAAGGTGTTCAAATTGACGAAGCAACAAATCTTTCCTGATAGAGGTACGGTGTATGATTGGATTTACGACAAGAGGAACAACGGATGTTGGATATCTTGGATGGATACTATGCAGCAGGTATTAAGAAAAGCAATCATGTATCGAATGAGAGATATAATTTAAAAGGAAATTAACATTCCTCTTATATGTTTTTGAAATTTACTTGAGAGTACGTGAATTTCATGAATTTTAAATATCGAAGGAATTAATAAAAATAAAATAAAATCTCCAATTTAACTTTAACAAAAAAAATTAATTAAAAAATAAAATAATAAAATATCTAAAATTCTGTAATTTGGAAATGCAAAATAAGAAAATAATTGACATGTAGAATATGTGCGTTTCAGGCACCTTTACCAGCAACGGCGAAAGCCAGCGAGCTGATCATCCAGACAACGGAGATGTCCATACAACATTTTTTCATCAAACAATTTATGCGCCAATCGGTACCGCTTTTATTCGTGGGTCCGACGGGCACCGGAAAGTCCGCGATTGTATTAAATTACCTTGTCTCGTTGCCACGGGAGAAATTCCTGGAGAATGTTATAAACTTCAGCGCACGCACGAACGCACCGCAGACGCAGGAGATGGTCATGTCGAAGTTGGACAGAAGGAGGAAAGGAGTTTATGGTCCCGCCATGGGGAAGAAGTGTGTGCTATTTGTGGACGACCTCAGCATGCCGCAGGTGGAGATCTACGGCGCCCAGCCGCCGATAGAATTGCTTCGTCAGTGGATAGATCATGGCTATTGGTTCGATCCGAAGGACACCTCGATACTGTACCTAGTAGATATCTTGCTGATCGCGGCTATGGTACCACCTGGAGGTGGCTCCAATGTCGTAACGCCGCGATTCACTCGTCACATGCACGTGATTGGTATCGATTCTTTCGAGGAACCCACTATGACGAAGATCTTCTCGTCGATCCTCGACTGGCATTTCGCCAAGGGTTTCGCCCCAGAGATTTCGCGACTAGGTAAGATGGTGGTGAACGCTACCTTGATAGTGTTTCTCGAGGCCATAAAGAATTTCTTGCCGACGCCGTCGAGGAGCCATTACAAGTTCAACTTGCGTGACTTCAGTCGGGTTATTGGCGGCGTGCTTTTAGTGCCAGCTACTAGAATGAAGGATCCCGACAAGCTTATTAGATTGTGGATTCACGAGGTGTATCGAGTTTTCCATGACAGACTGATAGACGATACCGATCGCGAGACGCTGTTCGGGATGGTGCGACACACGTGTTACGATCAGCTGCGCCAGCCATTAGACAAGGTGCTCGCTAATTTGCTCAAGCCAGGTGAGAAAGCGATCAGGAGTTCTCACATTCGCGACCTCTTCTTCGGGAATTACATCGAGCCCGACGCCGACCCGAAGGTGTACGACGAAGTGACGGATCTGGAGAATCTTCAGGAGAAAATGGATTACTATTTAGCCGAGTATAACGCGGTTTCGCAGACGCCGATGAACCTGGTGCTGTTTCGTTACGCCATCGAGCATGTCTCTCGCGTTTCCCGAGTATTATTGCAGGATAACGGTCACGCCCTGCTTGTCGGAGTTGGCGGTTCCGGTCGCAATTCTTGCGCCAAACTGGCGACCAGCATGTGCGAGTATCAGATACATCAGATCGAGATTACGAGAACCTATGGATCGGCCGAGTGGCGAGAGGACCTAAAGAACTTACTGTTGCGCGTCGGTTGTGACGGCAAGCCCACCGTTTTCATCTTCGGCGATCATCAGATCAAGGACGAATCCTTTATCGAGGATATCAACATGATCCTGAACACCGCGGACGTGCCGAACTTATATGCGATGGACGAAAAGGCGGAGATACTGGAGAAGATGATGACTGTCGCACGAGATGTGAGCGGCGGCAAGAAAGTGGAAATGACACCGATGGTGCTCTATAATCTTTTCATCGAAAGGATTAAAAAGAACCTTCACATAGTTTTGACGATGTCGCCAATAGGCGACACTTTTCGGAATCGTCTCAGGATGTTCCCATCGCTCATCAACTGTTGCACCATTGACTGGTACACAGTCTGGCCCGAAGATGCCCTCGAGAAAGTGGCCAGGATGTCGTTGAGAGATCTCGATATCGGCTCGGAACTGCGAGAGAAATGCGTGCAGATGTGCAAACAATTTCACACGAGTGTCTCTATGTCGAGCGAGGATTATTACTTGACTTACGGTAGACGGTACTACGTCACGCCCACAAGTTTCCTGCAACTAATCAAATCATTGTACAGATTGTATGGACAGAAAATCGAGCAGATCACCGTGCAGCAGAATCGCTACGAGACCGGTCTGGAGAAGCTGGACTTCGCCGCCGGCCAAGTGACGATCATGCAGGACGAGTTGCATCAATTACAGCCGAAGTTATTAGCGCAGTCACAGTTGAGCGACAAGCTAATGATCCGTATCGAACAGGATACTGTCAATGTGGAGGCAAAGAAAGAGATCGTGGCGGCTGATGAGGCCTTGGCGAACGAAGCAGCTGCGGCGGCTCAAGCAATCAAGGATGACTGCGAAAGCGATTTGGCAGAGGCTACCCCAGCGTTGGAAGCCGCCCTATCGGCATTGGATACTCTGAAGCCGGCAGACATCACGATTGTGAAGGCGATGAAGAGTCCGCCGGCCGGCGTTAGATTGGTAATGGAGGCGGTCTGCGTGCTGAAGGGTGTAAAACCAGATCGAGTCCAGGATCCGACGACTGGTCAGATGATAGACGACTACTGGCCCGCGTCCATCAAGTTGCTGGGCGATATGAAATTCCTAGAAAACTTGAAGAATTTCGATAAGGATAATATACCACCCGCGTACATGAAGCGTATTCGCGAGAAGTTTATAAACGATCGGAGCTTCCAGCCAGACGCGATAAAGAAGGTCTCCACTGCGTGCGAGGGTCTCTGCAAGTGGGTGCGCGCCATGGAGGTGTACGATCGCGTGATTAAGGTCGTGGCGCCGAAAAAGGCGATGCTGGCGGAAGCGGAGGCCGCGCTGGCCACGCAGATGGAGATGCTCAACGAGAAGAGAAACCTGTTGCAGGAAGTAACGCAGAAGCTGCAGTCGCTCAACGACGAGTTCGCCGAATGTATGCGCGAGAAGAAGAAGCTGGAGGATCAGATCGACTATTGCAGGCAGAAGTTGGAGAGGGCGGAGAAACTGTTGGGTGGTCTGAGCGGCGAGAAGAGCAGATGGAGCGAGACGGCCAATAAACTGGGCGCCAGCCTGGGGAACGTGATCGGAGATGTTTTACTGTCATCCGGAATGGTGGCCTATCTGGGAGCGTTCACGGTGGAATACAGAAACAAGCTGATTGACCAGTGGCACGCTTCTTGCTTGCAAGCGGCTATACCATGTGGCGCGAGATTTAATCTAATCGATATACTGGGCGAGCCGGTAGAAATCAGGGGCTGGACAATCCAGGGACTACCGGCCGACAACTTCTCGATTGAGAACGGTATAATTGTGAAGCACGCCGATCGTTGGCCGCTCATGATCGATCCGCAGAATCAGGCAAATAAATGGGTGAAGAACATGGAGAAGCCGAACAAGCTAGCGGTGATCAAGCTCACGGATCCCAATTACGCGAGGGTGATGGAGACGAGCATTCAGCTGGGATCGCCGGTGCTGCTGGAGAACATTATGGAGGAGATCGATGCGATCTTGGAGCCTGTGTTGCTGAAGAACGTGTACAAGCAGCGCGGAGTGCTGTACATGAAGTTCGGCGAGACCGTGCTGGAGTACAACCCGGACTTTCGATTCTACATCACCACGCGTTTGCGAAATCCGCATTACCTGCCTGAGATAGCGGTAAAGGTGACTCTACTGAACTTTATGATCACGCCTCAGGGTCTGCAAGATCAGCTGTTGGGCATAGTCGTGGCCAAGGAGCTACCAACGCTGGAGGAGAAGAAGAATCAGCTGATAGTGGAGGGCGCGAATAACAGGAGAATCTTGAAGGAGATCGAGGATAAAATCTTGGAGGTTCTCACGACGTCCGAAGGCAACATACTCGAGGATGAGACCGCCATCAGGATACTCTCAACCTCGAAAATGCTGTCGGAGGACATTCAGGCAAAGCAGGAGATTGCAGTAAAGACCTCGGGGGAGATAGACAGAGCTCGCAACGGTTATAAACCCGTCTCAAAGCACGGTGCGGTTCTCTTTTTCTGTATCTCCGAGTTAGCTAATATCGATCCTATGTACCAGTATTCGCTACCGTGGTTCCTGCATCTCTACATCATGGCGATAGCCAGCAGCGAGCAGTCGGTAGATCTGGGCGCGCGAATGAAGAGTCTCAATTCGTACTTCACGGCAAGCATCTACAGAAACGTGTGCCGTTCCCTGTTCGAGAAGGACAAGCTGATATTCTCTCTGGTCCTTTGTGCCGGTCTGCTACGCGCCGCTCATAAACTAGAAGAAGATCTCTGGGTGTTTTTGTTGACAGGTGGAGTAGCTCTCGAGAATCCTTATCCCAATCCCGATCCCTCATGGCTGTCCGACAAATCCTGGTCAGAGATCGTGAGAGCTAGTCTTCTGCCGGGTCTTGAAAAGCTGAGGGATTCCTTCCAGTCCAACGTGTCGCAGTGGCAAGCATATTATGATCTGTCGAATCCGCAGGAGCATCCTTTCCCACCGCCGTTCGAGCACGAGGACGAGAGCTTGAAAAAACTCGTGATCCTGAGATGCGTGAGAACCGACAAGCTAGTCGCCGCCGTTCAGGCGTTTGTCATCCACCATATGGGCGCGCCTTTCGTGGAACCTCCGCCCTTTGATCTCCAGAGTTCGTACGACGACTCGAGCAACGTCACGCCCCTCATCTTCGTGCTCTCGCCCGGATCGGACCCGATGGCCGGACTGATCAAGTTCGCCGAGGACCGCGGGATCTCGAAGAAGAATCTCATGACGATCTCGCTGGGCCAAGGCCAGGGTCCGATCGCGACCGGCATGATTGAGCGCGGTATCAAAAGCGGCGAGTGGGTCATCCTGCAGAACTGTCACCTCGCCGTGTCGTGGATGAAGGAGCTCGACCGGATATGCGACGAGATCATCGTGCCCGAGAAAACGCATCGCGACTTCCGTATATGGCTGACTAGCTATCCGTCCAAGGGATTCCCGGTGACCATCCTGCAGAACAGCGTCAAGATGACGAACGAGCCGCCGAAGGGACTGAAGAACAATCTGCTGCGGAGTTATTTGAACGATCCCATATCGGATCCCAAGTTCTTCCGCGAGTGCACGAAGGTGGTGGAATGGAGGAGATTGTTGTTCTCTCTATGCTTCTTCCACGCGGTGGTGCAAGAGAGACGAAATTTTGGTCCACTCGGTTGGAACATACCTTACGAGTTCAACGAATCCGATTTGCGTATCTGCATTTTGCAATTACAGGTACGGTAGCATTTTTTTTTTAATTTCATAAACATTGTTATAAAACGGGATTATTATAATTGTGCTATCTTGTTGATCTAGCTGTTTTTAAATGATTACGACGAGGTACCGTTCGACGCGCTCACTTATCTGACAGGAGAATGCAACTATGGAGGCAGGGTAACTGATGATAAAGACAGACGCTTGCTGAATTCGCTGCTGAAGAATTTTTACAATCCTGAAGTTATTACAAATACAAAGTAATATTGCTCGTTCTCAAGACTACTTATATAGAATTGAACTTAGACTATATAGTCTGAGTATTCTTTGTCGATTGTCTTCGATCTTCCCATAACGAAAGAATTTAAGTTTAAATAAAAATAAATGAGAAAATTATTCATTACATTTCTAAAGAGATTATAATTTCAATAACATTGTAATCTAGTGTATTGTTTTATTTAATTTATTTTAATCCTTCAACGAGTAAAAAATATATTTAAAAACTTTGTTTTCAATTATTTAAAAGGTAACGTTCAATATGGTTATATTTTTCTTAAAATTACCAAATTTGTCAAATAAAAACGTTCTTGAGTCTTTTAATTTTTCCGTTATTAATATCTTGTATAATTTCTAATCTTTGCAGGTACTTGTTTTCCCCGAGCGGAATTTATCACATGCCGGAGGACACCGATTATGAAGGATGTCTGAAGTACATTCGCAGCTTACCGATAAGTCAAATGCCGGAAGTTTTTGGCTTGCATGAGAATGCGAACATAGCGAAGGACAATCGGGAAGCGATGCAACTGTTGGCCGGTGCGCTTTTAACCCAGCCACAAATCAGCGGAGTAGGCGAGTAATATATACATACTTCTTTATTTTCAACCTTAAATCAATTTTCATAATCACTGAAATCTCTTTATTGCTTTTTGCAATTAAAATATTGTTGCTGTTAAACTTACAATTAGCAATATTACGTTAAATTTATTAATATACAGTTTTTACGTGGCTCAATGCATTTAGCTTAGGCTTTGTATACACTACTGAAAGAGAGTTATAAAAACATAGCGGAAATAATTAATCGAAAATTATAATATTATAAATATTTTACGCAATCTTATTGTAACGCTGCCATATAATACAACAATATATAAAAATGTTGACCTGAAATCTGTTTGCAGTGATGCAACGTTGCTGTCTCCTCGTGTCACGATATAGCTCGCGTAAAAATGAAATGTTTACTAATTTTTTCATCAGGTATCGAGAAAGACACAGACGAGGTAGTTTTCGCTCTGGCCGGCGAGATTCTATCGAAGATGCGACCACCGTTCGATATTGAATATGTGTCGAGCAAGTATCCGGTACTCTACATGAACAGCATGAACACGGTGTTGCGTCAGGAACTCTTTAAATTCAATGAGCTCACCGAGGTCATTAAGGAAACACTGGACAATGTACGAAAAGCCATTAGAGGGCTGGTACTGATGTCACCGGAATTGGAGGATGTCTATCTTAGCATGAGTATCGGCAAGGTGCCGCTCGCTTGGGACAGAAAATCTTACCCCTCGCTGAAGCCACTCGGCAGCTACGTGAACGATCTGTTGGCGAGATTACAGTTTCTGCAAGACTGGATCGACCGCGACGCACCGAATGTATTTTGGATATCCGGCTTTTTCTTCACGCAGTCGTTTCTGACGGCGGTGTTGCAGAATTACGCTCGCAAGCACAAGATACCGATTGACCAGCTGGACTTCGAATTCGAGATCACCCGTTTCGAGACGAGCGTCAACGCTGCACCTTCCTACGGGGTTTATATAAGTGTACGCAGAGTTTTACTAACGTATAATATTAAATAATAAGTTCTAAAGTTAAAGTTCGACTTTATATTAAAATTCTATGGTATTATTTTATCGCGATGATGTCGTTTTTATTTATGTGTTTTTTTTTATTATCAATCAATCTTCATTCTTCTCTTTCTCCTCAGGGTCTCTTTTTGGAAGGAGCTCGATGGAACAGAGAGACGAGATTGTTAGGCGAATCTAAGCCTAAGATAATGTTCGACGTGCTACCTATTACATGGATAAAACCTGGCGAAAAGGCTAAATTCGACATAAGAGACGTTTATTACTGTCCAGTATACAAGACGAGTGCTAGACGCGGTGTATTAGCAACTACAGGACATTCTTCCAATTTTATACTGTACATCCTAATCCCGACGGATCTGGACGAATCGCATTGGATTAATCGAGGTGTAGCTGCCCTTTGTCAACTCGATGATTAATAAAAACAATAAGGTATGAATCATCAGAGCGATTTATATATGATGATTCGTTGTATCAATGGACAATATATTGAAAAACTGATGAAGGATATATTTAATGGAATTCATTAAGTAGAAATATTTTAGTTATTAAGGAACTTTGCGCACAGTGGACCTTTACAGCCTTCCTTACATATTAAATGGCAGTCGTGTGTATTTTTTAAACTATCATATAATATGTTCAAGACTTATAAGTCAGGAACAGGTAGATAAAATTCGCAGAATCGAGAAATTAAAAAGTACAAATATTTTTGCAATATTATAAATATATTTACTAATAACAATCACACGTTATCGTCATTTATAACATTGTTTAATCTCATATGTACATTATGACTGCAGTCCATTTGATGCTGCAATGCTGCAATGCTCTGAAGCGTTTTTCTTCTTCTTTGTTCATTAAAAGAAAGGAGAAAAAGAATTCTTCAAACCATTTATAGTGTTAAGTGGACCGCAGCCTATATCGTCTAATATGATAAATTTATATGAACATATATATATATATATATATATATATATATATATATATATATAGATATCATAAAATACATATCATAAAATTTCATTCATAAACTATTTAACAATAAAAACAATAATGATCATTCTTGATTGATCCGTGATCGGGATTATACGTGCTTTTAGAATAGATCGTGATCTTTCTCTGTCAGGTACATGTCCAAGGAGCAAATCTTATATGAAGAAAAAAAATATTCTGTACAAACACACGCATTTGTATTATGGAATGTAACGTGGACTGTAATATATGCGTAAGAGGAACTACAACACGAAGTCCCCTTTCTCTTTGCGAAAATTATGGAGGCAGGAAATGCGTTCTCTAAAAGTATCACGATGTCTCGTATACATATTCATTAGTAGAGTATCTTCAATAGAATTTTGATTGTCAAGAGAATAGTTGATCATCATTGATATTTCTATTTGCATTTTTATCCACTATCATAAAATATATCTAACACGTCCATGATTGAATAAAATATGAAAAAAAAGAGTAGAATGCGTGGGTATTGCATAAAGGATGTCTCAAAAGTCGCAGGATTAAACCTTAACAAAAGAGATCTTAGCTTAAAATTTTGTTAATAAGAAACACGTGTCGTTTTACGGTTTCAATTTAATACAATTTTCAATTCAATTTCAAGATTCGATTTTTTATTTTGTATTAATTTCTCTTGTGTTTTTTGATTCCTGCTCTAGATGCTTTAGGAATTGCGAGGAAAGTGTCCGACTTTTAATACATCCTGCATGCATGCCGCAGTTAATCTATATAGTCCGCCGCGACCCTTGAGGCCAGCGTCGATCAACGAAGGAACAAGATCCTTAAGTCTGATCTCGGACAATTCAATCGAGTTTCGAGCTGTAAATGTCACGTACCGTTGTGCGCCCACACACATACACACGCATACGATCAAACGATAAAGTCGATATACTGCGTTACGGACTAGTTAAACGCGAGTCTTTTTCTGGCGGACTCATGTTACAGACTAGTTAATCACAAAATCGCAGTGCGTTGCAAAACTGGTGCGAACAATCGTTGTTAAAAACAAACTTGATCTCGTAATCATTAACGTTACATGTAATTAAAACTTACAAAAAGGAGCTCGTAATGAATGCAAAGAACACTTACACAGCCTTCGAGTTTGTGGATGAAAAAGATATAAATTATTATCGATTAGCTCATTATAATTCTTACATTCCGATAACAATATCAAGCAACCGATTAGATCGATGCCTTTAAAACAGCGTCTTTCGACTCTCTGTGAGTGTCGCAACATTTTCAGCATAATGAGAACGTTGACGCCGATAAATAGATGCATATACATTTATTGCATTTATAGATGCATGTTGGCACACTTGCATATACAAAGATACCGCTTTAAAGGGGAGACTATCTAAAGCATAGTTATCCCGAAATAAAGTGGAGATTGAAAAATATTTAGAAACTGGAAGACCATGATACATTTCTGGATATCCTCTTTGTCGTTATCGATCGTACGATGATATTCTCATGGACTTGAATGTAGAGACTTCTTACAATAGCATGGAATTTTCAGAAAATGAGGATCATTACGAAAATTCGCAATTTCTTCACAGTTGATATCCTCAACTATGGCGTTTACTATATTTAAAATATTGTAAAGATATTGTAAAGAGTCTCCAATTATAGGATTCATGCATCACGTAATACTTAAAATTTGCAAGGATATCTCTTACCATTAATACACTAAAATAATTTATGTTAACGTTCGAGCCGACCGTGAGTTGTTCGCTTTACTTTTAACGCGGCTTTCCGTGTTCCTCGGTGTTATCTCTCGAGATCTTTCGCGCACTTGACTTGCATCTGAAATTCGCTGTGTGTCTTTGCAACTTAACGAATGTATCTAACTAGCTTTATCAATCTTCGCCGCTCGTGGCGTCGACCAACGCCGGGTCAGTCTCCCGCGGGGTATCGTTGTTCGACTTTTTGGCCTTGTGTTCGACGTAGCAGAAGGCCCCCGTACCGAGAAATATAGTCACGAGTAGCACCGCGAGCTGTATATGCAGTCCCGCCTTGGTGGAGTACGAGAAGCTGATGGCCGCCGCGACAGATTGGCAGAATTTAAAGAGAGCGAAAGCCGGCGCGCTTTCGTTGGCGAACATGACGCCCAGCAGCGAGTAGACCTGGGTGTTGAAGCAGGCGTCGCCGAAACCGAGGGTAACACTGCCTATCAGCGCGAGGGGCGGCGAGGGCTCGATGAAGCCTACATTGTCCGTGTCCCCCCACGGGGCGTCGTTTGGCAGATTCAGGAAGATGCTGACGAAGGCGAACAGATGCACTACCAGACCGGTGATCACCACCGGCCAGCCGCCGCACCTGCCGGATATCTTGGACGCGAGGATACCAAAGATCGCGCCGCCTAAGACCTCGCCGACGCCGATGCCGATGCCGGAGTATCCCACGAAGCTCTTGCGATTGTCGCCCATTTTCTTCACGAACCCAATGCTGTTGGAATACACACCGGAGTAGAAGGTGAGCTCGAGACCTGTATAGATGAACGTTAATGACAGGATCAGCATGTTCGATGTGAGAAAGAGTTTGATCGCATCCACGAAGGCACGCCACGCGGTCACCAGCGGTTTTTCGCGTTTTGGTTCCGGCAGGCGCAGCTCTTTGTCGGCGTTCGACACCCCCTCAGCCTCGCCCAACGATAGCTTCTGCGGCGTTTTTCTCAGGACGAGCAGCACCCCTATGCCGATCACCGCGACGCTGGTTAGCACGCTAAATACGATCGTCCGCTGCTCATGGTTGATATTGGGCTTCGTAAAGATTAAGGAGACAAACAGATTGCCGGCGAACTGCGACATCTGGAAAATCGCCCAGAACATACCGGCGTTCCGCGACATGGTCTCATTATCACTGTTCTCTGTCAGATATTGCCCGTGACCGGTCCATATCAGGGCGGCGCCGATCCCGACGAGTACGGACATGGTGTACAGCAGGGCTTCGTGCGGATAGAAAAACGAGGCGATGAACAGCACGTAACAGCAGGCGCCCGTGAGTATTGCCACCCGTGGCCCGGTCACCGAGATGTACGACGGTGCTAACCAGTTGCAGGTCGCAAACACGGCGTAGATTATGGCCAGGCTGATATAAGCATCAGCCTTGAACTCTCCTTTTGTATCCGTTTTGATGCTGTCCAGGATAGTTTGCTGCGAACAGAGGAGATCGACGTGAGAAGGTCAGCATACTTCTAATACGCTGTTCCTTGCAACGACGTCACGTAAACTTTCTGCGATTCCGTCGAGTTCCTATTGTATTAGATGTATGAAGGTCGGTCACCGTTGGACGACTTATCCATGGCGACCGACTTGGAAATTCCAATTGGAAATAGTCGCGCTGCGTGTTATATGTCAGATAGTTTCTCTTTCATATGAATGAGAAACTATTCTGTATCTCATATAGCATTTGCTGTAAGGGAACGTTTCCCAATTATTTTGGGAACTAAGTTTTTCCTTCGTGAATTTAGTTGAACGTCACCTCTCTCTCTTTATTATATTTACATTAAACAGTGGCACAAAAAGTATTTCGGATGATGTCGTTGGAAAGTGACCAAACGAGAAACGGGTAAGAATTCGAAGAATGTTAATAAGAAATAAAGCATCAGAAAGCGCATTGTATTGCATGTAGTTCCGGTATCCTTTTTCAGGACTGAAACTGGTTATTCTGTATTTACAAAAACTACAAAAAAACAGGACTATATTTACGTATCAAGGATAACCACAGAATACCAAGTGATGTAGGAATGTTGCTTTATATTTTTCTGATGTGCCATTTTAGAAGAATTTGGGATGTTCTGATTTAATGCGCTGCATATTGATTGCCAATCTAAGAGGAAACCTTTCTTCATTTTCTCTTTCTCTTCTTTCTACAATTTCCTCTTTTAAAACAGATAAGGATATATAAAATCATTTCAGAAGGAATTTGTCAGGTTGGAAATATCACTCGTGCAATTTTTAAATTAAGACGAGATACAAAAAACATAAAGAAAAAATATAGTCATTTCAGTAGGAAAATTGATTAAAATAAATAAGAATCGTTAATGTCCGTTCTAATTAATAATCATTTGGGCAACGGAAGATTCGTAATGAAAGCGCGTTCGCGTTATTCACGATTTCACCTATCGCCACTATCGTATCAGGAGCGAATCGGTCGAACGCAATCGCGTTCTCATAGTTTCAACTACGCTTTCACACATAGGAAACCATAGTAGCTTTATTTTACGTCGTATTTCCAGATCTACCGTCAATTATTTCGCGGCGAACATCGTCGAATCTTGTTCGCGCTCGAAAGTTATCAGTAATCGACAGTCGTATCACTATTGGTGATAACATGCAACGCATGCAACGCATCAGTTTTTCTTTTCATATGCATATTACGCGCAATATTAACGTCATTACAAGCTGTAAGTTTAAGTAAATTCTGACAAAGAAAGAAGCTGTGGATATTTTCGCCGATTTCATTACAATGTATAGATATTTTCTGTTTTTTTTTTTTATTTAGCTATGTTTATCGCTAATATGATTATCTACATAAGTACAATGTTCTATGTCAAGATAGCGATTGTCAATAAGTAAGCGATAATGACGAACAAGGGCGATTTTTCGGTGAGATAACAATATATTTTTTTACGAATATGTTTGTAGCCTCGTTTTCATAAAAATCCGGTGCCAAGTATTCGTACTGATAACGGCGTTCGATAAGATCTGCACAGGTATTGCAAGAGATCATATAGATAGATGTTTACATAACTTTTACATTATTGACCCCAATGCAACTCTCGAAAGAAATCTATAAGAATTCTAGATAAAGAAAGTGCAGCAAATCTGGGACACGTCGTATTTTACTTTTATTACATTATTGCATGTTAATAAAACAATTTCCGTTGCCGATAAAAAATAAGTAAAATTTAAACGCGTAACGTGTAAATTAAAATGCGTCAATAATTCTAAATTTTTCAATTTTTTATTATTACAAATCTCTTGAAAAGTTCAATGATATTGAAATTACAATTCCATTTATTAAATTTCTTGCTTGTAGAAATAAATGTTACAAATGTTTGTAGATTGTTTAATATCATTATCTATATTTTTCGAAAAATGTTCTTCGGCAAATAAAAGCGTTTATTCTATTTAATTTATTCAGTTAAAAATTATCATAAATCTAAAACGGTACGTGTGTTATCTGTGAACTTCTCTTATCTCTTCCGGTAGCTATATATTTTGCATAGCAAAATACATTGTATGACATTAGAAAATTCATGTGTTCTTCGCTATTATATTAATTGCAATTAAACTGTTTACACAATCAAAACACATTTATCAGTTAATGAAACATATTTATCGACGGTCGTTTGTCAGTGCAAGTCTATTTCCTTAACTACCAAACGTGTAGTTAAGGAAATATTTGTAGCTAAGAAAATATTTGTAAACCGAGTCCCTTCTTGGCAATGTAAGCTGAAGTAATAAATTTATTCTAACTACCGAACGTGTCGCATAGATAACTGACGTTATTCGACGAGGTCTCCTCCTCCTTTCTCTTATATACACGAGACTAAAAGTGAAAGGAGACTGCGTCGTATCTCGTACAGCTGTATCAACTAACGAGGCATTCTGTTTTAGATATTTCTCTGGGCGCGCTATCAGGGATCCAGGATTTTTTCGTCGAAGCAATGAATTACGCCTGATTGAGCGTCTCGTCTCTCTCCATCCGAGGGAGTCTCTTCGAGAATCCGAAGTCATTATGATCCTCGGTGAATTGCGACACGGCGAAGGGCGACGCGCAAAGTGAATTCGGCGGGAACCGGTTGCGTCGGTTCAGGTTTTCAGTTCAGGATACAATTATCGAGCACGTCTAGGATACATTTCGTTTTTGCGTTGGCGAACTCTCTCTTTCGCCGCACTCTTCGGCAGTCCGTTTACAGAATTTCGATACAATAGGCAGGAGGATTTCGCGTCTTGAGGAATTTTAGAGTTTCTAATACGAAGTTTCGATGATCAAACGTAAAGAAAGAGGAAGGAACATAGTATTCGTAGTATCAATTTCGTTATGTACAAAAATGTAACACCGTTTTGTCTCGATTGGATACTTCGCATAATTTAATCGGATTTAATTAGACTAAGGTGACGATGTGTCGATCTCGTCGATTACCGGACAATCCCCAATTTCCATTCTACTATAATGACCGGCTCGTTATCGCTCGAAATTAACGCCGAGTTCATGTTTACACGAAGCTCAAAGTTTACACGAAGTTCAAAATAACGAGACGTGAAATAAATGCGTCGATAATTAAAGAATCTAAATGCAATTTAATTTAATAACGTGTGCATATACAACGTAAACTGCACCTTCCGATGCGCTGCAAGAGGCGATATGAAAAATAGGTAATCGTGAAATTTCAATTGGAGGATTAATCTTCAAAATCTTTAAAAGAGAGAATTAATATCTTAGCTCTTGAAAGATTAACGTAATCAACTGATGAACTTTTTACGATTAAACGTACAAAATAAAGCTATCGCCGCGATTATAAAAACTTTCACGTAAGAAAAGTGCGATAAGATCGCCCAGAATTATACGTTATCTAATTATCGTTATTCGTTATCGTAAGAATTCGTAATTGACATAAACGTCCGTTATTTTCGGTTAATTGTCAAAAATAAATTCTGACATAGCGTTAAGGATACTTAATTTTAAATTAAGTTTTCGAATTACTATTAATTGGCGCAGAGAACTTTTATTAAGACAAATATTTTAAAAGGCGAGATTACGAAATATCATCGCTCTAAAATTGTATATCTAAAATGACTTTGAAATCTTCGTAAATGAACTTAACTTTTTCATTATGCAAATGTTGATTGATACAATATATCTAAATTCTTCTTCTCTTTACAGTTACAGTTACAATTCTTCGCTTTCTCTCGCATTTAAGGGAGGACGGTCCAGAAAATATCACGGTAGAACTCTGAGAGCGCCAGTGATCTAAGCTACGCCACTGAACGGAATATCAGAGTAATCTATGACTTTTGTGGGCTAATCGGACTTGACATCGTTAGCGGCCGGTGAATTCCCGCGCGCGCGGGAACAAAGACCGCGGCGATCAATTATTCGTCGCGCGTCGGTGAAAAATTTCACAGATATCGCGTATCCGGAGATACTTCTGAATTACGGAGATAACGGCGATAATGTTTAATAACATTACCAGAGCGGCTCTCTCCAGAACACGATTCTCGCGCGCTCTCAGATTACCCTCTTACGATATCCCGCGGAATACATTATGTAAGTCTTTTTCAGATAGTGGTACGAGGTATGAAGTTCGGAAGATCATTCATAAAAAGAAACAAGCGCAAAGCAATTATGCAAGAGGAATGAGCGTCTAAATATTGTTATTATATCCTGAAACAATACTCCCGGGGAACAATTTCAGGTTGCGCAGATAAAGTAACAATTACGAAACGTTAAAAGAACTGAGATCAAAAAAACTGGGAGAGTAAAATCATAGAGATAGAGGTAACGTAAACAAATTCATGTATTAAATATGAGGGACAAAAAAGAGAGAAAGAGAGCGACGAGAGAACTTAACGTTCCTAGCGATAGTATTTAAAAGAATCAACGATTTTTTTCTCTTTATCTTTAGAATATTACAAAAGAATCGTCTCCGGTCCGGTAGTCCTATTCTGTAACTCTTAACGACAGTGCTATCGTTATATTGCCGTTGCGAAGCTTTTTTACCATATATTACACTAGCGCAACGCCAATATAATGATAACGACACTGTCGTTAAGAACTGCAGAATCAGGGCGCGGAAATTGTTTAGGTCTCATCCAGGCATCGGTTGGCTTTTGAGGGAGAAAGCTCTAATAGGTGATGATTGTTCACAGATCGCAGATGTTTCGCAATGCAGAAAGTAGTCGATAATGCTATCGTGTAAATTGCAGGCGTTCCAGCCTCGCGGCCGACCGGTTAGCTCTTTGCCTTTTGTGGTACTTTCTAAACCACGCGACTAATCGACTATCTGTACTTTCTAGGATTTTACAGACTAATGAAAATGTTTTATTTGCGTCGCAGCGGTTAAACGTAAAATGGAAGTCAAATCGTTTGATATCGAGGCGTCCAGCGAAATTAATTTCTCGTTCGTTCTGCCTCTTTTTCTCTCTCTGAATTGAAATCACGTTCGCATCGAGCGTTACTACCTTTGGGTGTTCGTCAACGTGGAACACGTGGACACGGAAAAGCGAAAGTAATTCAGACAAATCGCTTACGTTTGAACGTTTAATACTCACTTCTATCAATATAGATCAACTTTAATCTCGGCTTAACTTACCTTTTATTTTTTCTATTTCTTAAAACTAAAAAAAAAGAACAAATTGGGCCGAGATTAAAGTTAATTTATATTGGCAGAAATAGACGTAAATGCCACGGAGAAACCTCCACCTCGAGCTCGCTGGAAAAGGGATCTCAACGTTGATCACCTAATATTATCCAATCATCGTTAATCCTGCGAGAATGCCTGCGTCAGAGGGAATGAAAGATCGTGTGGCAAATAACGTTTTTCCACGTTCAAACGTTAGAATTGCAAAAATGCATCGTTTTAAAACCAGAGAAATCTTTATTACGCTGTATTTATTAAAAGCAAGTTATTTCACGAATTTTATTGCTTATTAATTATATATTTTTTAGTTTTACACGTAATGATTGTCTCAAAGTAAATAGACTTCGATTTTAATCACGCATTACTTCACCGCGGATAAAACTAATTATACGTTTCGTCGATCGTGTTGTAAAAAATGTTTTTCCACGTTCCAGCGTTTTGGAATTGCAAAAATGCATTGTTTTAAAACCAGAGCAATCTTTATTACGCCGTGTTTATTGAAAGCAAATCACTTCTCGAATTTCATTGCTTATTATATATTTTTTGCAAAATGATTGTCTCAAAGTAATTTTAAAATAATAAATATAGAATAATTATTTATGTCCGTTTAATCACGCATTACTTCACTGCGGATAAAGCTAATTATAGATACTTTGTCGAGCGTGTTGTAGAAAACATTTCTCCACGTTCAAACGTTGGAATTACAAAAGTACAGTGATATGCAGTGAAAACGAGTTAAAATCAGAAAAGCCTTTATTACCCAGCCTGTGTTTATTAAAAGCAAATCACTTTTCGAATTTCATTGCTCAGCAGTTACATATTTTTCATATTTACAAATTGATCGTCTCATGATAGACTTCGATTATAAAATAAATATAGGATAATTACTTGTGTCCGTTGTTAATCACGCATTTCCTCACCGCGGATAAAGCTAATTATAGATACTTTGTCGATCGTGTTGTAGAAAACGTTTTTCCACGTTCAAACGTTGGAATTGCAAAAATACAGTGATATACAGTGAAAACGAGTTAAAATCAGAGAAGCCTTTATCACGCTGTGTTTATTAAAAGCAATTCACTTCTCGAATTTCATTGCTCAGCAGTTACATATTTTTCATTTTTACAAATTGATTATCTCATGACAGATTTCGATTCTAAAATAAATATAGGACAATTATTTGTGTCCGTTTTTAATCACGCATTTCCTCACCGCGGATAAAGCTAATTATACATTTCGTCGATCGATTGCGTAACGAAGAAGATCGTTTCTAATCTCGCAATAAGCGTATCCAGCGTACATTAAACATCTCTTAATACGATGTGAAATTGTTAACGATAAATTTGTTTTCAGGGCGAATACACTGGATTGCGTCCCGAAAAGAAACAAATTTCTAACTCGCAGGGATACAATCGCAGATTTATCGAGCGATCGCTGACATAGCGCGCATTTGCCGCTAAGTACCTGTCGTAATTAGAATACAAACCGTTTCTAAATCAGGTATCGCTCCGAGTGTTAAGGGATCTTTCAAGAAGTTAAAAGAATTAAAGCTCACGACGCAAAGACCCGTCTCCGTTCGTACGTAAAGTATAATTTTCTACTCCGAACGAATCGATCCATCATCTCGAGTGAGTCGCAGTTTAAGCGACAATGGAAAACGCGGAAATTCCACGACGCAAGTACGATAATAATAATAATAATATCGATAACAATTACGCTCTCTTGCCTCACCTCTATATTGCCCATCGTTTGAAACGCCGTGAAGACCAGCATGAATCCCACGCTGAGGAGAATCACGTTCAAAGTGGAACGATTCATGATGATCGTTAGACGGTGTCACGGTTTACGTCGTGTATACCTGTCGCGCGTGCGGCACGGCAGTGATTCGCGTTTTGCGCGCTGCCTCGAAGCAGACTACTCGTCGACGGCTCCGATACTGTTGATCGCTGTTGACAGACGCCAGACGGTGGCCGCATGGGTGGTAGAGGAGAAACCCCGCGCGAGCGACAGCGCCGTGCCTGGTATACTGCTGTAAAAAAAAAAAACAGCTGACGTCGTGAAGTTGGCGGTGAGTCGCGCGACGATCTATCGATCGCCGATAAGTCACTCTTGATTCTCATTCGACAATCGAGTTTTGTTCGATATGCCATCGATCAATCGATCGATTATCTTGGACGAGCTGGGGGGCGAGGGGGCGAGATCGCACTGATCGCCAGGCGAGCGACTTTTGCGCGGGTTTGACGTTTCAGACGTTTGACGGATGAGACGGATCTATCAACCGTGCGCTATCGCGAAAAGAGTGCGCGACGGAGAGGGAGAGACCGAACGGTCGAAGAAAGAAAGAGGAAGGAGAGAGAATCGAGTCGCAAAAGCCAAGTGAGGGAGACGGTAGGTGCGCGGGGAGGCGGTCGCCTGATGCGACGAGCTTCAGGCCGATTGTGCCGAGGTGAAGCGCGAAGTTCGCCGCGCTACCCGACGAAGAGGACGCATAAACGCTCGACTAGCGTGACGTAAGAGCGCCACGGCCACGGTCCCACTCGCACGTCGCACGTCGCCGGGCGTCGGGACGTTTAACTCTGAATCCGAGCGAACGTTCCCTCTCGTCTATTAGAATCTGGAGAAAGAGGGAGAGTGGCGGGGGAGAGAGAGAGAAAGAGAGAGGAAGAGGAGGACGGCGAAGAAGTGTTCAGATTCACTGGATTCACCTAACCCAAATCGATCGGCGCGACCGGGCGAGGCGCTGGCCGCTGAGTCGCTGACTCGGATCGCTCTTTTATCGCCGGATCTTATCGATGGTGCGCGAGAACCGATCGGCCGCGAGCGCGTCGACTCTCAGCGCCGGCCGTGAGATCATCGCGCAAACATTATGACGGACGCTCGCCCTTGCCGCGACACGAAGGACCCTCCCTGCCCGTCCCGCGCTCTACCACCGTCGCCGCCGCCGCGCGAACACGTCGGCGAGGGAGTCGCGGAGGATGCGCGAGCGTGAGCGCGAGTCGCGAGGCGTCGGTGTGTAGAAAAAGCCCTGTCTGCGGGGAGATCTGGACCGGACCGGACCGGACGACGGGTTCGATTTTTCGACCGAGTCACGACACTCTCTCACGACCGCCCCAGCCAACCATGAAGAAGCAGTTTTTCCGGGTGAAGCAGCTCGCCGATCAGAGGTTCTCCAGGTAGACGAGCACAGAACCGCCCAGCCCGCATGACTGTTGCTTCTAATTTTATCTATTGCTGTATTACGCCCGTGCTGTATCGTTTCAAGTATCATGCGCTTTTCCTTTTTTTACAATAGATTGAATAGATTATAAGGGTTGCTGTATGACTCATTCGATTTGACGTTAAAGCCTCATCTAAGTAGATGAATCTTTTTTTTGGAGTATAATATGTCAGAATTGTCGACGGATTACGTTCTGGTAGAAAACACATACCCGTCGTGATCAGTTGTGAATCGTAATAAATGGAACCAAAATAGACCTTGAAATTACTTATATTGGATAGATTAGAAGTGATAAAATAAAGACTGCGAAAGATAAAAGATAAGATCTTCTTGGTATCAAATATACAATATCTCAGTGAAAGTTTCTTTCTCGTGCGAACAGAGCTGGTAAGACGGAGGTGTTGACGGATGATCTGGTGGCTGCTGACAAGCATGTTGAACAGATCAGACTAGCTCTCACCGGTCTCAGCAAACGACTCGGAAATCCGCCAAACCAAACCATCACTCAAGATCCAGCTCTCAAGGAAAAACGTCTGGTAAATAGATATTAAAGGATTCAAGTTCTTATTAACTGTAAAATTTGGAATATACTTGTTACAGATTCTTTATATCCAGTGCTTTTGTTGTAAGATTCATGAAATGGTCGTTAAATATTAAATTTTTTTTTCTTAGAAAAAATGTCCCGAGTACACACTCGGGCAAACCATGTTGGAGAACGCCGGCGAGGACGGTCTCATGAGTTTTACGCTGGTGGAGTGTGGGCGAGTGCAGATGTCGTTGGCTAACGAAGCCGTGGAACATGAGGCTAAAGTCGAACAATATGTGGCCGCCCCGCTGCAACATATTTTAGACACTGATGTACCAAATATATTGAAGTATAGGAGAAACTTGCAACGTCTTATTTTGGACATGGACAGCGCCAGAACGAGATACTTCCAAGCGATTAAACACAGTACTGGTAATGATCGTTACATTTCAAATCGTTGTCTCAAATTCTTTTTTAGTTGAGGTATTCGCAGCACGAATAATATGTGAAGAATACTGAAACTTTGAGCCTATCATCTTTGTTTTGATTATTTGATACATTGTTATTTCTTCGTCATTTTTTATTCACATTATATAAGTGTTTGATATAATCTGTATTTACTATAGATTTGGAAAATTATTTGATATATTATTTCTTGATTTCATTTTTTATTCGTACTACATAAATGTTCAATATAATCTGTGTTTACTAGATTTGAAAAATTATAATCTAAAATAGTTGAACTTTATGCAGGTGCAGGCGCAACAAAGATAGAAAGCTTGAGGGAAGAATTAGAAGATGCCGAATTGAAAGTTGAGCAATGCCGAGATCAATTGGCCGCAGAGATGTTCCAGCTTATGTCGCGAGAGACTGAACTAGCTCAGACGATTATTCAGTATATAAAACTTCAACGAGCGTATCATGAAAGTGCATTGCATTGTCTTGAAGATCTTATACCCACAATGGAGAGCTATATTAGTAAGTTTACGCGCTTTTTACAATACGATTATAAAGATATTGGTAAAGATCGTGACAAATTGATACGATTCGTAAACGAAAGCGAAAGATGCTTATACTATGATCGCAATTACAGATGATAACGAAATGAAGCCAGTATACGGATATCCTCTTGAAGAGCACCTTAGGGTAACAAACAGAAAAATCGCACTGCCCATACAACTGTGTGTATCCGCGTTACTGCGTCTGGGTATGGAGGAGGAAGGCCTTTTTAGAATAGCTGGCGCCGCCTCGAAATCACGACGAATCAAGTTGAGCCTGGACGCCTGCTGTCTCAATTTAACGACAGCCCTTGAATACAAAGATCCACATGTTATTGCTGGCGCGCTGAAATCATACTTACGGGAATTGCCGGAGCCTTTATTGACGTACAAGTAAGTATTACATCTAATCAAGATCAATAACTGTCACTATATGACATCTGTGATTATTCAGATTGTATCCCGAATGGATGGCTGCTGCAAAAATCTCGCCTAGCGACATGAGATTACGAGCTCTCTGGGAAGTATTATATAAGTTACCACCGGCGAACCTAGAAAACCTGCGGTTTTTAATTAAGTTTCTAGCTGTGCTCACGAAGAATCAAGATGTAAATAAAATGACGCCGCAGAACATCGCTATCGTCATCGCGCCAAATCTGATTTGGAGTCCGCAAGAGGACGCAAATACAATAGTGTAAGCAATTCTTTCTTCGACATGCACGTATTTGTTTTAAGTATTAAAGTTTAACGGACGATTAACACAGTGTTAGAAAAGCTGCTGACGTTTCCGTTGTTTGCAGGATGAACATGAGTACAGCGAACAACTCTAGTCTTATAGTAGACCAATTAATTACATATGCGGATTGGTTCTTCCCCGGCGAGGTGGATTTTGATCGCGATCTGGAAATCGGGATCGTGAACGATACGGAACATCAGACCATCGGTATGCGCCGTTGCGTATCCAACAGCAGTCTCAGCGATCACGGCGAGAGCCCGACGCAGGGCAGCCCGAAGCCAGCGGCACGACGGAAGAATAAACCGGCGCCGACACCGCCGGGCGGCAATACTCCGGATCGGCACGATAAACCGCCGCCGACACCGGACAAACCACCGAGAGCCTTGACATCTACCCTGAATCGATCAACGTATAAAAGCCAAAAGCACGAAGTGAATACCGAATTGATACGACACGACAGCTACGTGGAGAAATACGAGAAGCATCCGGAGACGGATGCAAAATCGCAGTCAGTCTCAGAATCGATTCCGACGGATGTTCATCCTGACGATGATCCCGAGCGGTTGCAAGAGACCGTCGTTCACCAAAGTGAAGTCTTCAATTACAATGAAGCGGACAAAAGTGTTCAAGAACCGCAGAAATGCGATGCGAAAGTAAATGTGCCGAGTGCAAAAGAGAAACCAAATGGGAACTCGTCCGACAATACGAGTGTTGCTAAAATAATTACAGAGATGGAGCATAACGAGACTATAGTGCAGAGACCAAAACCAGTGCCTACGGAGAAGCCATCCACATTGGAAAGGAGAAGACCGGTCGCAGCACCGAGAAGTATAACGAATATTGTACATAACACAGGTTAGAAATTGTTTCTTAAGGTTACTCTGATTCATTAACCCTTTTTGCTTGGTTGTGACGTTTAAATACCTGTGTTCAATTTTAGCGGAAGAAGGAGTGGAGTTGCGTAAAAAGTCAGATAGCAATACGCATATAACACCGAATGACAGAAGCAGTAAACCGGCGATACCCGAACGACCGCCCGGCTTAATTCGTCCGTCGAGTCTTATCAGGCAGCAGCCGCGTTCTACTAATGACAATACAGAGACCGATTCAGGGGTAAGTAAAGATGATTTAACGCAACCAATTCACTTCGTCTGTACAAATGTATGATAATTATTTATAACAAATGTAGTTACTACGGGTGGACAACAAATAAACACTGCCTGGATATTACATTTTGAGATTACGTAAGCTACATGTGAAGTAAAAAGCTGCGCACCGTCTGATTCGAAGCTTTCTCACACATGCCTATTCGCTTTCTATTCACATTCTTTATTATATATTCCGTTATATAATAATCTACAAGACTAAGTCCTTTTTTTTTTCTTAAATCGTCTACAGCCTTTAACCCTGGAACGGGCTCACGTGTATTCCGTGGACAAACAGCAGGTCAGTATAATACAAGTGCGTGGGGGGAACAACGCCTTCCCGGGCGAGAGCACTGGCAACACGGCAACTTCGAACTTGCAGAGAAGCCCAAGCGTAGGTAGCAGGCCGTCGTCAATGTCGTTGTACGGCACCGAACGCCCGGAGAAGCCCGAGAGGCCGGACGCGCCGCACGAGCAAGCGAAGGCGCACACACGCACCAGATCGGAAGGTAATATTATAGACGTCCAAACGCAGACCAACACGGTGGTGACGGTCCTCAAGTCGCCGCAGCAGAAGCCAGCCTCGCCGAGGGTTCACCAGCGACCACCGAGGCCACAGCCGCCGCCACCGCCGCCACCCACTGCACGACCTAAATCGGATCAAGAGAGTACCAATCTCTAGCAAAGCACGGTACGAAGCAAGAGCCAAACGCGATCTTGAGAAAAGGACACTCGAGGATTCAGCGATTTATTACAGTTGAGAACGCAGTTTTACACGTGACGATATGTCACCGATGGAAAAGTGGATACGGATTGTAAAAAGTTGAATGGAAATCTTCGTTCGAATGAAAAAGTATCGTGATCGTATTTATACAAAGGAACAACCGAACGTCTGTTTGTTTCGGTTGATTGAAAACGAGGCGATCGTATTCGTAAGTTTGATATAAGATTCGGACACAGAGTTACTCTATTTTTTTTTCCGTGATCTCCCTATTTGTACGACCTCTTATTATATCTCGACGGATAATCCTTCGAAGAGCATTCTGACAATTGCCATTATACGAAAACGAGAGGAAGATCCAAGTGTGCATTTGGACGTTTTTAAAGGTGTTTTGCATTCGGCAGCTGTTAGCACGCTGCGTGTGTGTGTTGTTTCCAAACCGTTTTAGGTACATATCTAATTTCGTAATCAATCATAATATTTTTGCAGCCTATTATCAATTTTTATACTTATTGCGAATAAGGAGAAACGAATTCTAAGAGTAAGAACACTTCGCATTTTCACCGTAAGCATACAAGCGCACAAGACTCGGTGCGCTTAATATACACGTAAAAATATAACAGGATTGACTTCAACCCGCGAAACGTTAAATGACAGCTTTTGCGCTCACAGTACGAATTTTCAACCGATACGTCCATTGAGAGGAAAACGAATTAATGTACGAGATGACCGACATGATCAATATGTTGGAATTGATTCAACGGGTGATATTTATTAGTGAAGATTGTTTGTTAATCGTTATGGAACGCTGGAAGAGATGAACGTATCCTTTATATTCGACCGATTTGCGACCCTGAATTATTGTTAATACCTAAGATTCGAAAGAACTTTTAATATAGTTAAAGTATTCATTTTTACATGTTTAAATCACGGTATATTTCTATGCAATGAACTCGTGATCCCGAATTATCAGACTAACAAGGAAACCCACGGAAGTGTCCCCTTCCAATTTTGATGAATTTTTAGTATGTTCTCTAGATGAAAATAAGAAACACGTATTATTTTTTATTTTATATTAAAGTACTTTAAAACAATGACCAAAAAATTTTTTAAAATTTTTATATTTTTATAAAAATAAAAAAAATTAAAATGAAAAAATTTTTATTTCGTCATTATTCTAAAGTGCTCTTCAAACCATTCAACTTTTGCTTAAAAATGTTATTCTCTTGTAGTTTCGGAGATATTCGGCTCGAAAGAGAAAAGCTGATTTTTTTCAAAGAGGTTTCACCCCTAAACACGCATCTGACACACATCAATTTAAGAGTGTAATAGGTGCGATGACAAACTTAGTGTTTTCAATCGTTTTCAATGAACGAATTTGTTCATATATTTACGTCGGCGCGGTCGAGCGCTCGCGAAAAAACGTGGCTAATTACTGTGTTGCCATCTTGGTAGGAGCGCGCACGGCCACCACAATGTGTCCCTTATTTTCATCTAGAGAACATACTAAAAGCTCATAAAAATCGGACGGGGACATTTCCCGGGGTTTCCTTATAAGATGATCGCGCCGAAAGGTTGCGTATGCATATATGTCGTACACATATGTATCTACAAGAGATTTGTCAATCGTATGATTATTATTATATTCTCACATAATATTAATAGGATATCAAATTTATGATTTTACTTTCTTGAAAATTATATACGTAAATTTTTAATTTTTAGCTAGCAATTTAATCGAGCAGCGTTAATATTCTGGATTCCATTTTTATGGCGTTTTCCGCCGAACCTTGTTTCGTAACACGGGCAAAAGATCTCGAGTTTGTTGTATTTTGTTTCATTGAGAATGCTAGATTTGTCAAATTTAAGAAATTAGCATATGGTTAACATTCATTACTTATATGTATATAATATACATAGACTAATATATATCTTGATATTAAAAGATTAAAGATTTGAGAATAATTCAAAGTATATTTGTTAAAAGTTTTTTTGTTTAAAATTTCGTGCAATGAATCAATAAAGTTTTCATTTTACAATGAAATCAACACGATGAAATAGTTATCCGTTAAGAAAATAAAAATGCAGTATTATTGAATATTTAATTATGGATAAAAAGATAGATATAATACGTTAATGATGATTATATTTTATGAAATTGTAAGAAATAGAGTTTATCAGAGTAATGACGCGAAACAGACTTCCAAATTATATAATTGACAAAAGCTGACATCGTTTTTTTTGTTATTTTTTTAGATTTCAGTTTATTTGTTGCTACAGATAACAAACCTTGCATTCTCTACAAATTTCCGCTTATTTTATAATCGGTATCGCTCGCAACATTAATTAGGCAGCGAGTGAATTATAAAAATCTAGTTAATGACAAATCACGCATTTACCTAAGGTGTGCTTAGGCTGTGAATGTAATGGACTATTAGAGGAGTTTATTTGTACATAAATAAAGATTTACTCTATTAGAATGGCGAGTGGATTAGTACAATATAAAATAAGGCACATGATGGATTTCCATGCGAGATTATCAGTACACTGGATTTATTAATATACGTAAAACAGAATTAACAATCGTAAACGCAGTGTGCTTGTGTACAGAATGGTGTAGCATTATAAAAGAGCTGCGATCTGCTCGTTCGCGATTTCTTTAGGTGTCACACCGTCGTTATCCGCTACGTTTGATTGAGCTCCGATCGAAAGCAAGTACTTGACCGCGTCCACGTGATCGCAACTTACTACGTAGTGAAGGGCCGTTTGCCCGTACTGATCCCGCGAATTTACATTCGCGCCGCTCTTAATCAGATAATCCAGGATACCGAGATAGCCGCGATCTGCGGCCCAGTGTATGGGATGCATGCCCTCCTCGTCCGGTTTGTTCACGAGCGCGGGCTCATCGGTTAAAAATTCTCGTACCTTCGCCTCGTTACCCTCTTTGATCCAATCTAAGAACGTCTTGTCTTCATCGTTCAACTCCGCGCTCCCGTACGACAGTTTGCTAAAGACGATCCATTTCGGAGAGTCGGCCTTCGCCTCGTCATCGTCCCACGTCGGATTTATCCTCGCGATCCCGTGGACGTAGTTTTCCATCGCGGTCTCGCGGCTCATGTCCCCGAGATTCTTCCATGCTTCCCACTTGTGCTTGGCCTGCACCTGATACCAATTGGGCCTCGGGATGTCGCACGGGCCCACGGTCGCTTGTTTGTACAGACCGTAAAATGCAAGCAGCTGGCCCGAATCTAATTCCGATACCAATGTCTGCAGATACTTGGCAGCTCTGTTGAAGGTCTCCTCCAGATCGGTCACGTCGCTATCTAAATCGCTTTCGGCCATCGTTCACGGACTTGCACGATATGTCTTCAATTAAACGTACTACTCTTATCGGTTTTACTTTATTTCTTCCTGGAGACGACTAAATCTTTCCCCTCCAAAGAATGCTTACGCTCGAGCACGGAATTTACATCTTCCGTCTTCAAGAACGTTACGTATCCGTAGTGTTGATGGATACCGGTTTTCTTATCGAACCCTACAAAGGCATCTGTGACACAACCGAACTGGGAGAAGTACAGCCTGAGCTCGTGACGACTCACCGTCCAGGGAATGTTGGCGATATTAATTGCGTATCTCGCGAGACCATTTGCAATCATGGTAAGAGTCGGATTCGCTTATTCCGCTCGTTGTATATCCAACAAGTGTATCGTATGATCCTGCATCAATTCGTGCAGGTTTACGTCGGAATTCGTACCGAGACTGTCCAGGGCTATGTGCACGCACGACAGTCCCCACTTGTTCAGCAGATGCTCTATGGACCAATCGGCGCTACGTTCCTGGTAGGTGCAGAGGAACCTCGCGCAGGGATTCTTTTCCAGCAGAAACGCCACGACGACCACTATGTCTTCGAACACGGTGGGCTCGTAAAAGCAGTCGGAACCGATGATCAGATCCAGCTGTCCGAGCGAGAACAAGCTGGATAAGAAGTAGCCCCAGGTGATGCCGACAATTTGGACCTGATCCACCACTCCGTTCAACTCGCAACACCTCTTGATGTGCTGCAGAGTCCTCGGTTGGCTCGCCGAGTCGCTCAAAGTCACGACGGCACCGCACTTGCTGGCGAGGATGCCTGGCAGCGAGGTGCCGGCTCCGATCTCCAGAACCCGCTTGCCAACCAAGTCCTCTCTGTTCTCCCAGAGATACCAGGCGAGCACGGGCGCGCAAGGCCAAGTGTAGAAACTGTAATTAGCCTGCAGCAGCTGCAATCAGTAATCGTTAGTTAGTGATCAGACTATTCGTCGGAAACTTTATTTCTTAGGACTGAGATCGTTGAAACCATTCGCAAACTCAAGTTACGTAACAATCATTAACGGAAAGAATTTAATCTCGTAATAACGTTAAAAATTATAGTTAAGTATTAAATTACAAACTCGAAGGCTAAATTACAAACAATAAACAACAGCGAACTGTTTAACTCGGTAATATTAACGGTTTAACAATCGCCAGCGGATGACCGCGCGTAATGTTACAATAGCGCTCATTACGAACTCGCGACGACGCAAAATTCTGCAAACCGACAGTCCCGGCGCGGAAAGAGAAACTATATAATCTTACGGGGTGAGGAGGCGAGAGAAAAATTTCACGCGCGCAGAGTCGAGGCCCGACGAAACTGCTCTTTCGCAGGAGGAGGAGGCGCAGGAGCGACGACCTAACCAAGAGGCGACGTAACACCGGTAGCCCTACCGCGCGTGGCCGGAAATACGGCGGGCGCGCGAACTCGTTACCACCGTCGCCGCGCTCACCTCGGGAATGAGGATCTCCAGGCTCTCCTCGCGCTCGTCGTCCTGCGCGGCGCGGCCCTGCGTCTTCCGCGATCTGAAGACGAACCTTTTCACTTGCTCGGGCACCGCACGATCCCCATCGGACATTGGGGCGCGCGTGGGTCGTGGACTCGTGTCGTGCGATATACTCTCCTCTAGACCGGGCATCACTGACGCGCCCCTACGCACGCACTAATCGTCCCTCATCGTGCCCGCGTTGATTTACGCGCCGTTCGAGTCGCCGGTAAGGAGAGCGACGCATCGCGCGTCGCAAGGACGGGGATATACGGACGCAGTTTTGTCGAGAGTAGTCACTGTAGTCAGTGGCGGAATCGTCGAGGGTTCCCGCTCGATATGGCCGCACTTCCTGCCCTTTGTCCTCTTTCTCTCTCTTCTTATATCATTAATGAATTATAAATGCGAACTTGAAGAAAATAACACGATTTTTTATTATCTGTATATTGTTTCCATTAAAATGCATCTGAATTTCAAGTATAATTAAAGTGGTATCTCTCACTTGCCACTATGCCTCAGTACGCTTATTACAATTCATCTTCCACTTCGGTATCGCAATTTCCACGCTTCGGTACATACATTACTTATATAATTTATTTTTCACCTTTTCAGTACATATATTCATTTTTTCGTTTCCACGCTTTTGGTACATATATGATTTTTTCAATTCCACGCTTCAAGTACATATATTATTATAATTTCTTTGGTTATAACTACATTTTTTTTGTATGTGTGCGTTTAGAGTATATGAATCTTCCTAAAATCAAACACACCAAATACATCAAATTTATGCACCGGGAACTTCATAGCCGCGGCTATAAAGCAAAATTTGGAGAATTTTATTTGTAGCCTTCATATAGTAAACCATTCGCGACACATTTGGCTCTCTCCTCGTCCAGCAATTCCTTAACGATGGTCAAGCTAAAATCAATAGCAGTCGCTGGTCCTCGGCTCGTTATGAGATTGCCTGTAAAAATATCAATCCCGGTGAAACTTGGACGTTAAATTGCCGATCGACTTATGTCCATTTCTAACAGTGCAGATTAACTTTAATCTTGGTTCAACTTACTTTTTATCTTCTTCTAGTTCTTAGAACTAGAAAAAGATAAAAAGCAAGTCAATTCTAGTTCTAAGAATTAGAAAAAGATAAAAAATAAGTTAAACTGAGATTAAAATTAATCTAAATTGCTAGGAATCGATATCAGAGATTATCAATATCACTCGACAAGTATACGGTAAACCAATTGTTATATACCGTCAACCACCACTTTATCCTCGCAATATTCGTAGTCGTCGCACAGCTCTTTCTTCATAGACGGGTAAGAAGTGATGCGTTTTCCCTTGCCGATGTTGTGCGTTTTCAAGGCTGTAGGGGCCGCACAGATAGCCGCTATTAATTTGTTCTCCTTGTCCTGTTTTTGCAACAACCTCCCAACTTCCGCCGACTAACAAAATGAACTTTTTACAATTACTCCGTACTTCGTAGCAAAATCAGAGACGCCGCTTGCCGCTGAACAAACTTACAGACGTGAACGCCTTAGATCCGTTAAGACCGCCGGGCAATATGACAATGTCGTAACTCTTATCCTGAGTAGCGTCGGTGAACAAGGCGTCTGTGCAGATCTTGACGTTACGGCTGCACTTCACGCAAGTGCCATCCCACACGCCAGCTATGGTGACTGAAATCTATCCAATCGTATTTCAATATACTTCCAATATGCTAATTCGCTTAATTAACAAACAATATCGCTTACTCCTTGATAACGGCTGTAAACTGACATATATTATTAATATAAATTAACAAATTGACATATATAATTTAATATCTATCATACAATCAGAAGCTACATATGCTCCTATTATTGTGATATTTAAAAAATATAATCGAAAACACTCGCCAAATGAGAAATCATGAAAATTTTTATAAAAAGAATTGATTGAACATTATGCATATATATATATATATATATATTATATGACTGTGTCGAACAATATTCACACTGCCAGTTCCGAAAATGTATAGTGCACGTAACGCGTGCTATAGATTTCCAGATTCACTGACACAGTAAATATCGGGACATACATGACACATCTTATAGTTTAATTTCTGCCAAGAGGATACCACATGAGAGAGTGGGGATTATTGATCGCTCTGGAGCGTCATTCAAAAATAAGATCCTGACGATTGTCAGGCGGCGAGACGTGGGGGCCATGCCCCTTCGGAGCATTATGACGAAGAGAAAGAAAAAAAAAAGCGAGGACCATATATACATATATGCCGTACAGTTTATTTTCCGTCGGGAGTGTCACGAGACTGGGGATTATCGATCGCACTAGGTGACGTACCCCGGCGCGCCGTAGGACGTCGACAATTATCACGGCCTCCATTTCCTCCGATCCATCGACGAGCAACACGATCGCGGTTTTCTCTTTATCCTTCTCTTTCTCTGCCATGGTTTCGGCGCGGAAGGCCTCTACCTTGTTCGATCCGGATGGGAAAAATCGGGAATCGAGCAAAAATCACGCTTCGGAGATCAGCTCGGCGTCGCGACCGTCCGACCGCGTCCAGCAACGTCACGTACACACACGCACACGCACACGCGTGCGCGACACGCTGTCCAACGCTGTCGGTGTGTTGAACCGACGGCGGAGGGTTGGGTTCGTCGCGCATGCGCATCGCAAACAACGAGATACGCAGTACCGGCGGAAAAACCGGTCCATTGGTCGCCCCAAGATCTATCGAATAAACTTCAGGAAAGTCTCTAACTTTGCGTTATTCGTCAGCGCGATTAGAATCTATGGATGTGAATGTTAAATGTTAATGTAACAATATCAAAAGGCTGTTCGAAGGCTTTGATGTGCCCCGTCTTTTTCCCGTCCGTCGAATTTAATCGAGACTTTTATCGCGCCAATAACGGCAATCGCGTCGCACGTCGCTGGATCCACTGGTTGGCGCCGCGCATGCGCGAGGAACTGCGTCAATACTTCTTGTTATTGTTCCAGAAAAGCTGTTGCTTCATATTCTGAGTATTCTAAACATAGATATTAGACGGTGCATTATTCATTCATTGGTATGCGACAAGCTGATGACAGCGTTGAAAAACAAAACCAGCCGACTCTTGTCTTCAACGAGAGAGCGCGAAATCTGTATTTATCGAGGAGAAGAATTTGTTAATAATTTTGTTAATAATTAATTTCTCTTTTTAATACGTGGAAAAATAGATTGGATTAGAGATAACACGAATATTTAGTTAGAAATCTAGCTAGAAACAATTCTGTGGTTGATTATTAATGTCCATTTCTATCAATGCTAATTAACTTTAATCTCGGTGTAACTTACTTTTTTATTTTTTCTTGTCTAATTCTTATATACATTTCTACGAAGGCAGATTAATTTTAATCTCGGTTTAACTTACTTTTTAAAGTTAATCTATATTGCAATGACATACATAGAAATGGACATTACACAGTGAATGGACCTTAAGTTGAGATTGAAGTACGCATTAAAGATTGAGGATTGGGATTTGACCAATTGGAATAAAGCCGTGATCAGACTACGGATTGGGATTGAGATTTGATTGAAATTTGACCAATTAGAGCAAAGTTCACTAAATTTGAAGTTAGTTTTCTTTATTCTGATTAATTAAATTTCAACCCACTCTCAATTCCAATCCGTAGTCTGGATCACGGTTTAAAGCGGGGAGCACACACTTCTGCACAACGCATAATGCGTAAGCATAAGAAAATTGATTGGTCCATACACATGTGCATAAGGAAATAGACCAATCAATTTTCTTATGTTTACAGATTATGCGTTGTGCAAAAGTGTGTGCTCCCCGTTTAAAGGTCTAGCCAGACAAACTTGCATAGCGTATTAACATAAGCATAATGCCCGTATCAGACTATGGATTGAGATTGAGATTGGATTGAAATTTGACCAATCAGAGCTAAGTTTACTAAACTTGAGATCAGTTTTCTCTGTTCTGATTGATTAAATTTCAATCCAATCTCAATCCCAATCCGTAGTCTGATACGGGCTTAAGGAAATTGATTGGTCCATATACATATGCATAAGGAAATAGACCAATCCATTTCTTCATGCGTATGCTTATGCACCTATGCAAATTTGTCTGGATAGACCTTAAAATTATTTAATTAATTAAATTTTAATATAAAATAATTCAATCGCATTTTACGCGCGTCCATATGACAGCAATGCGATTGGATAATTTTCTTTACGCATGTGCTTATGCATCTGCGAGTTTGTCTGGATAGACCTTAAGGTTTGTTCTTTGTAACTGTTCCATTCTCGGTCGTAATACTCGTGTAAATACTTTGCGTTAATACTTTCTGCACCCAAAATAAAACAGATACATAATTAGACCGTTGATTTGAATTAGAACGGGAGAAATAATGAAAAGTACAGAAAATTCAATTGCAGAATCAATCAGTAGCCTAATTTCCAATTTGGCGTCCTAAGCCGCGCGTCTCATTGGTCGACACCCCGGCCTGCGCGCTCCCATACGTCGATCATAAAATTTCCTCGGGGAAACTCGTCAAACTCGACAAGAGTCAAAAGGTAAAACAAAACGAGTCCGGATTGATCCCGATCAGGCGCGTGCGAAACCAAGGTAATAACGCGCGAGCGTCAAGTACACCGTGCGAGGGACGCGCGGCATTCCGCGAGGCCACGCGACAGGCGGAATCGCTGCTTCGCGAGTACGGCCGGGCCGCGTCGCTACCGTGCGCCGCACTATGGCCGCCGCGTTTGGGTGTTGTGGACATTGAAGTACGGGCAGGAGGGACCCTGAGGAATACGCGGCAGCCGTCGCCGTCGTCGCCGCCGCCGCCGCCGCCGCTGCCGTCGAGCGGGGCCCTTTCCCGCGAGGATCCGCACTCCGGTCCCCGCACTCGACGCCGCCGCCGCGGAGGCAGTGGAGGCACTCTCGCGTGCGTGCGTGCGTGCGTGCGTGCGTGGTGCGCGCGCGGGCACACTCGCTCTTGCCTTGCGATCGCACGGAGCTCGTGAAGGAAGCGAGGCGCGATCGTCCTCCGGGGAAAACGATGACGCGTCGTGCGCGTCGTTGAACGAGAGGCTGCCGCCACGGAGCGCGGGGACGACAGCACGGGTGAGTCGCGCGTCCGTCGTTCGTGGGTCCCCGCGACGCGACGCCACGCGATTATCGCGTCGTCGGAGTCGGGATCCGATCTCGATCGCGCGTGACAATTTGCGAGCGTGCGTGCGCGCGCTCGCGAGCGAGCGCGCTCTCTCGCTCGACGCACCGCGAGGATTGTGCGTGTTTGCCTCCCGGCTTTCGCGATCCGCGATCGAGAATCTCGACTTTGACCGTCGCGATCGTCCTCCTCGTTGAAGGCGTCTCGAGCTTGCGCGCTTAATTAGCCTGTTTGCCGCTTTCACCGTGACTCAAGACCACTTTGAAGCAAGAGAGAAAGAGAGAGCGAGAAGGAGCATGTGTGTGCGCGCGCGTGTGTGAGAAAGAGGGAGAGAGAGAAAGAGAGAGAGAGAGAGAGAGAGAAATGAGAGGTAGCCATAAATACTATACTTTGAAATTATATATTAACAGATTACACGAACTGGATACCCTAATTTCGTGAGTTTACTTTATATTGATATGGTATGAAAATATCGCGAACTTACTTCTTGTGTTTATTTCAGTTTGTAGAGCTTGAGAGGATTGGGCTTCTCATGAGGGATGTAGATATCTTGTATTTGCTTTGCGTCAGGAAAAACTTTTCATCATTTTATTTGAAACGTGTGTGTCCGAAACTCGACTAGCGTGTGTTTGTAACTTATATTGGAAGTTTATTGATATTTCACATTCAAGGAAGAAGAAAAAAAAAACTATTCTCAAGAATCAACAATAGATCTGTAGATGTGAGCGCGAACACTTTTAAACAACGGATGCTCTTTCGTATGTTTTCATTTGATAAATCAGTGGTATGCAAATACACTAAAGGTTCACACTAACGCTGTAGAAAATTATCGCAGAGCTTGAGCCGCTCTCCGTTACGTTGTGTCTCTGTAAATAAGCCGCGCGATGCATATACAATGTAGTTTTTCTTATCTTTTACAAAGACGCCGAGATGCGAGCATGTTAGCGGTAAATGTTGTTGCCAAAATCGTCTTTCCAATCATATTGATGGCATAACTATACGGTTCAGGGGGTGGATGATAGGAATTTACTGAAAATCCAAGATCAAAGCCGCTCAAAACGCTGGAGAAAGACGGAGCAGCTTCGGAGGAGGGGGAGATGTCTGCTGGCACCCAGGGCGAGATTCGGGTTGGCCCTTCGCATCAGGTTTGCCATATATATCTTGAAAAACTTTCTTGCTAATTTAACTGTCTTGCACAATGTGCCTATCCCGAGGCTTGCGCTATTATCGTAGACGTTTGTTTCGCGAGGTAAGGGGCGTGTGGACGAAATTTCGAATTGTCATCCTCCCCGCATCAATCGATCGCTATTACGTAATGACTTTATATGTGTAATCGTTATTGTATGTGTGTAGATAAAAGAGTCCTCGTGTTGTCTTAGGTAACGTTGAATTTTTTCCTCGTGATGATAAAGTTTCTTATTACAGAAAGCACTTGTCATAGAAAAACAATCTCCATATCTCATGGCTGATTAAGCAATTCATGGAATCGGAAACTGAGTATCTTAAAAATATGATATACAATTATGAGAAGAGATATTCGAGCATCTGCATTGCAAAGATAATTTCTTACTGCATTGAGCACATAATATAGTTCTCCATTTTCAAATGCACGGTCCTGCCTTGAGCAAAGAAACGCGAGAGAGAGATTGTGGGGATCTTCACACGCTCTTTACGTCAATAAATCAGATAAATGTAAACGAATGTAAAGAGAGCTGCACGTTCGCGCGTGTATGTGCGTACACAAATGTCCACACAGATACGCACGCGCTGACGGACAGTGAAAAGTAATGCTCCGATCGAAAAGTTGTACCTCGTGGAGGAATATTACATAAATATATATATGTAATCCAATATGAAACGTATGAAGTACGCGGATCAGTCTTGAAGTTTCTCAGCGATAAGACCGATAAGGCACTCGGGATCGGCATACACGACTCCGTGCAGGAACCACTTCGCATTTCTTTCGCATAACTCCGCCAACTCCGAAAATTTCCTATGACAGTAAATGTCACGTTTAATGTAAATCCGAGGGATACCTTCGCGAGGAGACACTTTATGCTAATCGGGGGGACATTCGAGCCACGAATCGAAGCCGCGAAAGACACGTCGATGCCGCTTTAAGCGGCGGCTTTAATGTAAAATACTTTTGAAATTATTACGAAGATAAGATTGGCATTCCGGTTCCCATCCGATGGTTCAACTAACGCATCACGCATTAAAGAGCTTCGAATGTTTCAGGTGTAGACCTGTCTCGTCTGCTGCACGTGAAATGTATTCGTTAAGCTCTCCTGCGATACTTGTTGTATCACACGAACGACCGCCGTGTGGCGGCGTGTATGAACAAAAGCCGGTGGAAAGTCTTTCTTTGCAAGCGGCAACGCGCTGTGCGTGAAACACGTACTTGGGAGCCGATGCATTAATGGTGGTTTAATTGCGGCTCATTTGGCGTGAAGACGCTTTCTTAATTCGGAGTGGTGTTCAGTCACGGTGAAATAATTAATTGACACGACCGATAAGCGGATCGACCATCGCCCTCGCACTGTTTATACCTGTTGGCATACAACAATTATTCGCGATTGCTTACTTGAACCATCTGTGAGCACGAGCGCTTGTACAGACCGTCCTGAAATCTGAAGTCACCTTTCACTTCGGCGCTTCCTAACGCGTAGAATATCCCATATATTTATATATATGTATATATATATCTATATATATATATATATATATATATATATATGTATGGGATATTTGAAGCGGTATCAACGAGAACCGTCAAACGAAGAGGTGAAGCTTTGTTCTCCATTCGGTAGTCTGCATTTGTATCTGTGACTAATGGGCAAGCTGCATGCCGATCAGTCACAGATACAATCGCCTTTTCTTGCTACATTCGCCTTTTCTTCCTCTTTGTTTTACGTACGTTTTGCAAACACCTATTAGAAAACATGTCGCGGATCATGACTTTGTAAAACGATAAATACATTACGCAACTTATGTACTCGTAGATATAATTCTATTTTTATCGGGTAATTATCATAAACGGAGTGGCCGATTATCGCGTTAACGAAGTGCGTGCATGCTCGCGAATATGTATCTCGCGTTTATCTTTACAAACAAAGAAAAAGGGGATTATAAAATATTCAATGACACAATTTCTCTTGTTTGCGTATAGGATGAAAAAGGAAGACGAAGAAAAAAATATGTATTTATATATGTAACTTCATTATCGGTATTTTCTTGAGAAAAGAATAAAAAAGAAAAAAAAGGGGGACTTTACAGGACGGACTTACAACGGACTTGTTACAAAGTGATTAATTCGCGGAAGTTAGGCCGTGTTGAGAAGGCGAGCCGGTGTGTCACACTTAACTAACACGCTTTGGCATCATCGGTGCTAACCGCGCGCAATCCCGAATTTTGGGATTTACAGGAGTTGGTTTCTTGTCAGGCCCGTTTGCCTGAGTATCGGCCGGGTATACCCCCCGGAGAGCTGCCACCCGATCCAGAATTCTCCAAGGAGCGCGAGGAGCTAAAATGGGTACCAGCCATGGCGTTGGACGGGGATCTGCTCATGTACTTGAGGGCGGCCCGTTCAATGGCCGCGTTCGCCGGTATGTGTGACGGCGGTTCTCCAGATGATGGTTGCGTGGCCGCCTCCCGAGACGACACTACCATCAACGCATTGGACACCCTCCACAGTTCTGGCTATGATCCCGGTAGGGCGCTCCAGGCACTCGTCAAATGTCCCATACCGAAAAGCGTCGACAAGAAGTGGTCCGAGGACGAAACTGTATGTGCCACTTCGTTCTCTTTTATTGACAACATTATGACCACAAGAGAGAGTTTTCTAACGGGCGGATTTTTGTCCTTTTCGTTGTTCCCCGCAGAAGCGATTCGTCAAGGGCCTACGGCAGTTCGGAAAGAATTTCGCGCGTATTAGGAAGGATCTACTGCCTCACAAAGATACGGTAAAGATTTCATTTTTCATTCTCGGTTTGCTCGTCTTACCTGACGGTTCGGCTTTTTGTAAGCTCGTGCTTTTCACCCGTGTTACGCCTTTTTTTCCCCTACGCTTTTGCATTTATATTTCAATCAAACAAATGTTTGTGATTAAAAAAAAATAAAGAAAATTAGAAATTACAAAAAGTGTAACTATTTAGTCGTGCTATAAAATAAAAGTGATTCAAAGTTCAGTAGATGAAATATTGGAGAAAATAAAGTCGGTTAATGAACCGAGCTGCTAGTGCTAGTATTATAACTTAAATAAATACACACACACGTCAAACGTTTCGACCTGCAATAAGGTCATCGTCAGTGCGCATATCACAAACAGCGGTAAATATAACAATAGTCGTTATTAGAATCATAAAGTATGAACGCAAGTTGTGGAATTTGTTGTAACGCTTATAAATTTCGTAGAAGCTCTAATTGTAGCAGCAATTTTGTTGGATGAGTTTTATATGTCTCTTGATGTGGAATTTGGAATTGTGTCGCTAGTCCTTACAATTACCATGTTAAATTTTGTTGAAAACTAAAACTGAGGTTAGTAAAACTGTGGATGTTACTAAATAAATTTTAAGTAACATCTGTTTGAAATTGGAGGTTTTTATTTCAATTTCATTTTTCAACAAAATTTAACATGGCAATTGTTGAGTTGCTGCAGATTTCTCATTCTGTAAAGTCCTGCTTGAAATAAAATTGACAGGCGAAACTTTTTTTAATATAAAAAAAAAACAGGATTATTCTAATTCATATAAATTACTTCAGACAAGTAAATTCTGGTTTTGTTTTAGTCGACAAATACATAAATCTTTTAAATTCAAAGCTTTGTTACGGTAGGAGAAAGTTTTATTGTGGTCAAGTGTCCATTTTTGTACCTTGTCTCTGCACAGCCGGAGCTCGTCGAATTTTATTACTTATGGAAGAAGACGCCGGGCGCAAATAACAATCGACCACATCGGCGACGCAGACAGAGCTCGCTACGGCGAATTCGTAATACGCGCAATTCACGCGCCGGCACACCTAAGGAGGAGGTACCCACGCCAACTAAGGACACACAGCCGACGGCCAACATTAGCGCGAAGGAGGCCGTGTCCGAGGCTGAGACCGTGCCGGTCGGCACTCCGGCCAGCCACAATCCCGGCGAGATCAGTTCCGTGACCGAGGACGACAATTCGGAGGAGGACAGCGACTCGCGTGACACTAATACGAACGGCACGGCACACTCGTGCCAGCACTGTTTCTCCACCAACTCGAAGGATTATCAGGTGGCCGGCAAGGATCGATTGTTACTCTGTGCAGAATGTCGATCACACCTGAAGAAGACCGGGGAATTGCCACCCGCGCCGCCTTATCTATTCCGCCCGGTGCCGGCGGAATCGCCTGAGAGTCCTGGTAGGATGCGCACGCGGAACAAGGCTAAGGAGACACCGAGACCAGCGAGACCGCGACGAACCGGTGGCACGGACACGCCCGATCAGGAGAAGCAGCAGCAACAGCAGCAGCAGCAACAGACGCCCGATAAGAGTAAGAAGAAATCGTCCGGCAAAGCGGACACGCCCAAGAAGGGTCAAAAACGCTCGGGTCAGGTGGACGACGCCTGCAACGACGAGGACAAGGACGCGCAGAAGCGGAAGCGCGGCGGTGGCGAACGGCCCGAAAGTCCGTCCGAATCTCTCACTACCGACAGCAACTCCCTGATGGATGAGCCGGAGAGAGAAACGGAGGGCGACGCAAACGAGAATCAACCGACGCCGCCGACGGTCGCCGGCGTAGCCGGTGCGGAAGAGCCCGTGAGTAGTCCGGCCGTCACGACGCCCGAGGAACCATCCGAGCCGACGCCGGCGTCTACCCCGGTGCCAGCCGTGATACAGAGCCTGCCAATATCGGTACCGGTGATACACAGTCTGGAGAAGAAGCCGCCCGGCTTGCTGGACCAAGAACCAGTGGATCAAAGCAAGATGATGGACCAGACGGAAGACGTGCCGTTAGCTATGACTCAACCATTGAAGTTGGAACCGATGCCAATTGAATCGACGATGTCGCCGACGATGTCCAACGAAGAAATAGGCAAGGATCCCGAACCGACGCAGTTGAACCTGAGCACGTCTGCGCAACAGGTTGGACCAGTTCCCAGCGACGCCGGTCCGACTACGGTTCGCAATCTATCGCAAACGATACCTGGCATTATAACGAGCGTAGGCTCGCAGGCAACTATCCCAAGTTCGCAAATCCCGGTAATATCGCCCGGTCAACAGCAGAGTGGTGCTGGCATCGGTGGACTGCCGACAAGTCTGAGTATGCAATACGTACAACCACCACCGCCGCAGTTACCGGTGCAGAACGTGCCACAGAATTTGTCGCAGAATATATCAGCGCAGATGGCACCGAATAGCGTTCCGCCCAGCGCGCAGAATATGGGACCAACGAATCTTCGTAGTCATGTGACCGAGAGTTTGCAGAGTTCCGCGCAAACGCTGCCGCAGAACATGACGGGACCACCGCCATTGAACCTCAACATTTCGCAGAGCGTGTCGGCCGGGATCGGTGGCCCAATCGGGCAGATGCCGTCGATGCCGAGCCCGCCGTCGCAGCCGCTCGGCCTGACCGTGATGTCGGCCGAGAGCAGAAACGCCGAGAGATTAGCGGATGACAGACTGTCGAGCGAGCGGGTTCGAGACAGCAGAGTTCCCGACTCTCGCATGGTGTCAGATCGTATTCCGGAGCGGGCGAGCGAGAACAACGAACCGGAACAACGATCGGAACCAAGTAATCTGTTTCAGCCAATACAGTCCGGCGGGATGCTGCCGATGGAGAAGCCCGTGGGTATCTACAATCTGGCCGGAACCCCACCGATGGAACCGCAGAACTTGAAAATCAAGCAGGAGATCATCCCACCGGAACTGGATCCTCTGCAAAGTTTGAAAGAAGTCAAGGTACCGGGCTTCCAAAGTTCCTCTTTCCCCGGGCCGAGCTTGGATAACATCAAGAAGGATCCAGACGGCACGAGCAAACCACCAACGCCGAGCAAGCACTCCGTACCACCTGCTAGTCAGACGGTACCATCGATACAGCCGGTTGCGGCGTCGCCGACGCCCACGCCGACTCCAACGCCGAGTTTGCCACCGCCGCCCAGTTCGATCCCGCAGCCAGTGATGCATCCCGCGCAACAACCGAGCCCGCACATGGCACATCCCTTCCATCCGCATCATCCGCTGATGCATCACTCGCTGTTCACCGCCATGCATCCGTATCATCCTCATGCCTATCCGGGATATGCGCCGCTCCAGGGAGGATACCCGTCCTTCCCGCCGTATGCTTACGGCCCAGTGCCTCATGCCATTCCGCCGCCTTCGCCGCAGCGTAGCCAGGAGAGCAGCAGCGCCATGATGGCGGCGCATCACGCCAGCACCAGCTCGAGCGTCACGAGCAGGGAGGAGGGCGAGAACCTGATCGCGAGTCATCATCATTCATCCAGCATGCATCAGCAGCCAACCAATTTGCACCACGACAAACTTTTGACCATCTCCTCGCACAGCTCCCACAGCCATTCCTCGTCACACAGCTCGCACAGCAGCCAACGCAAGGCGATGGTCTCGGCAACGTGTCTGACGTCATCTAGTTCCGGGCACCATCATCATCGTCCGCCGCAATCGCAGCAACCGCAGGTCGTGCCAGAGCCGAAGATCGAGCAAGACATGGACCAGGAACCGGAGGATCCCGCCAGCCCCCGTGGACCGTCACCGGAGCCGCGTATCGAGGATTCCGAGTGTCACCGATCGCAGTCGGCGATCTTCCTGAGACACTGGAATCGCGGCGAGAACAACTCGTGCACGCGCACCGACCTGATGTTCAAGCCCGTGCCGGACTCGAAACTCGCGCGGAAACGCGAGGAACGCTCGCGGAAGCAGGCGGAGCGGGAACGGGAGGAGCGCGATCGTGCCGCCGCTGCAGCGCAGCAAGCCCGGAAGATGACGACGCCCGAGAAGCAGCCCGAGGTGTGCAAACCGCCCAGTCGTGGTCCCCTCGAGCCCGTCGTTTCGCCTTACGACCGTTACGCCACGCGTCCAGGTTCCTATGCGGATACCCCGGCGCTCAGGCAACTGTCCGAATACGCTAGACCGCACGCCGCCTTCTCACCCGCGAGACATCCAGCCCCGCCCGACCCGATGCTGCACTACATTTACGGACGCGAAGCCGCGGCAGCTCAGCGCCTCGAGTTGGAGCACTTGGAGCGCGAGAAGAGGGAACGCGAGATACGTGAGCTACGCGAGAGAGAATTAAGCGACCGATTGAAGGAAGAGCTGTTCAAGGGCACACCCAGACCGATGCCGGCGCCACCGGTCGATCCTCACTGGCTGGAGATACATCGTCGATACGCTGCCGCCGGCTTGGCACCGGGTCCCTCTGGACCTCCTCAAGCCTTACACCAATTCGGCCTCTACGGAGCACCACCGGGTCCGAGCCAACTCGAGAGGGAACGACTCGAACGATTAGGTAATTGTTGACAAAGCTAACACACTTCTCGGCGGTAGAGATAGAGACCTCGTCGACTATTTACATTCGTTCGACCGTACGACTTGTACTTTTCAAAATTCGAATTGATTAAAAAATTTATAGCCGAGAGGCTGATGTAAGAGAAAAATCGGGTAGGTCGGGGGTGAAAGAATTAGTAGACCGAGAGCGCCAAGACTTTTGAGGGATGCGACGTAGGTAGAGACTAATTGTTTAAAACGAATGGCCGATTTCTTCAGCGCCAGTTAACTCTGTCCACGAGACGGCTAAGGAGACCTTGGCTCTCTGTATCATAACTGTAGCATAACTGTAGCGGTAGACATTTTAAAGGAGCGACTCCTCCCTCTTTCTCTCTGAGATAACTTTATTCCGACGGTTAGCTGGAGATGAAGAAATCGGGCATGAGAATCGTATCTGTGATCTTCGAGTTATGTGATCGAAGCGCTGTCGCGTTTAGGGATTCCGACTGCAGCCGGCGGGGGGCCAGCGGGTGGAGCGGCTGGCCATCCCGTGGCGGCTCATCACCACGGCCAGCTGGAAGAACGGCTGGCTCTGGCCGCTGACCCGATGGTCCGATTGCAAATGGCTGGCATCTCGCCCGAATATCATGCTCACACTCACGCGCATACGCATGCGCATACGCACTTGCACTTACATCCGGGACAGCAACAGGCCCAGCAACAGGCTCAGCAACAGCAGGAAGCCGCTGCGGCTGCGGCTGGATTTCCTCTGCCGGGTAGGTCCTACACAAATCCAGGATGTTTCTTCTAAAAGCTTCCCGAAGAGCTTCTCCTTTAAGAAAACCGCCGCTCTTGCTTATTCCTCGTCGCTCGGCAGCCGTGTATTTTCTCATTGATCCGTCCTACGTTACCTACACTTGCCTAAGGTCTAGGTCAGGACGATCCTTCTTTCCCGCACCGTTATCGTCAGCACGCCTGCGATTTTCCAGTTGCTCGACTCTGATCTCTGGCTAGTCGCTTATCACCGTCGCAGGTGCAAGTGCGAGTGAGTGTTGTCGAGGAATAGGCGCGAGTGTGCGTGTGCGTGTGCCTGGAGATGTGAAGTAACACTTCAGGGATTTAGCTTAAGGGTTTATTGTTTAATTCCGCGCGCGGAGTTCTCTCTATCTTTACAAGTTACGAGAATACGCTTTCGCTAAGCGAGTACTCTTTCGAGATTAATTATTGTGCGCGCCAGGCAATGATTGAATAATAATGCGAATTAGTAACGTCTCTTGAATTCGTTCTCTTGTTTCTTATAACACACGTGGTCATCTTCGTCCACAGCTGCGGCCAGCGCCAATTACCCTCGTCCCGGTTTAATGCCGCGCGATCCCGCCCTGGCGCTTCACCCGGCGGAACTCCTAGGAAGACCTTATGCGGATATGGCGGCGCACCACGAACAGCTGCAACGGCACCTCATGATGGAGCGTGATCGGTTCCCTGCGCACGCGTCTCTCGTGGCACATCACGAGGAGTACCTAAGGTTCGTCCCTTGAAATCACTATCACAGCTTACCTGACTTTGTTGCATAATGCTATGACTTAAGGCAGTAGGGTGTACCCGAACTAACAAAGGGTATTTTTTAGACAACAGCGTGAGCGCGAGCTTAAAGTTCGCGCACTGGAAGAAGCCGCACGTGGATCGCGTCAATAAGCATATTTATATGTATATAATATATACATTATATATATATTAATATATTTATATAATATTATATATATAAAATATATATATATATATACATATATATAATATATGTAGATATATGTATATCACTCAAACAATTTAGGCGCGATATGTTATATACATATATTCGCGTATATTAAACGTATGTACGCGTGTAATATACAATACACTTAGCGTTCTTTCGAGGCACGGACGATCTTTTGAAGAGCCATTCGGGATATCGCTGTAATTTACCATCTAAGATCAGAAGTTATTTTTATGGTCTTTCAGATCGAGGAAAGAAATTATATATATATATATATATACATATATATACATACACATACATATATATATATACACACACATGCGCGACGAATATGATAATTGTAATTGTCTCGCTATTGTAAATAGTACAAGATATTTTAGACCCGGCGCTACATCATCGGTGCTGGCACATTCTTAGAGAGATCGAGATTTATATATACATAAATACGACAAATGCTTGATATATAAGCTATTTTCAAGTTCTCTAGATATTATACCGTTATAATTGCTCCTCTGCGCTATCAACGTCACCGCTCGTCGATCGCGTCCAACCTCGCGATTGATCTTGGCTTTATCTTTTTTTTAAATCTGATTTTAAGTGGTACACATGCCAAAGTGCTTGTATGAAGTGAAATTACACCGCGTTTTTTATTCTTCCATATGTGTATATACATGTGTTTTTAAAAATATATATACATAGAATATATATATAAGATTATATATATTAAATATATGTAATTATGTATATTTATATAATTATGTATATTAAATATATAATGTACAGGATGTCTGAAAATTACCGTGCAATTTTTCGTGTGCAGATAGAGCGAATTAAACTGAATAGAAAAGTCGGTAAAGATAATGGACTTTTCTATTCGGTTCAACTTGTTCTACTTGTCCACGAGAGACTGCACGGTAATTATCAGGCATTCTGTATATAATTATATATATGTTTTATAAGAGTTATTTTCTCGTAAGTGATAAGTACGATCATGTAAAAGTGATGAAAAAAGAGGAGCCGAGGGCGACAAGCCGAACGGTCTTGGAGCGAGTGGAACGTTTTGTTTATCCATCTTTCTACACGCCAAAACTTTTACCTAGTTTCAATTAATTTTATATTATGTCGCATTAGTAGTGCGTATAAGTACAATGAAAAATGACTATGTCGGTGTTTACCTTACGTAAAAAAAAAAAAAACCCGATGCACGACGCAGAGTCATTTCGAGCATTTTATAATCGCCATACGACGAACCTTCCACATCAATCTGCTCGATCGTCCGCATAGTCGCGTAAAATGTGTAATCTAAGTTTTATTATTATTTTATTAATATATCAGACACTCGTGAATATTTTCTATATGTATTTCTATTAAGGTATTCCTTTTACCTACCCGGTAAGCGGCGCGGTTCATCAACGATTAACGATAATGATTAAATTCATGGAAATTTACTTCTGTCTTATATTAGCTGACCCTGCGTAATGTTTCTTCGACAATATCGAACATTGAAGTATAATCTTATATGACGACCACTTGAGAAACATGTAAATTTTATGCTGTGTAACTGATTCGATGTAACCAAGTTATTTAATTGAGTAAACATTTCATACGAAAATCGAGGAATGGCTCAGCACGTTTTTCTTCCAATTATTCTCTTTCTCGCGCTTTAGGTAATCCATGCATGATTATACGTCGCCCAGCGCTGAAGTTTGATCGACGAGCCGACGAAACTATAAATTTTAGCGTTTAGTGTTTTCAGCAGCGTAATCGTGTAAGAAAAAAAGAGAGAGAGAGAGAGAAACTGGAAAAATCGGGGAAACTGCGGGCGGATGGGAGCACGTTGTAACGGGGGACGTTAATTAGTTTTGCAGATGGAATTTTTTCCCTATACCCTTCTCTATCGCCCGGTCGCTGTGGTCATCCACGTTTTTATTGAGCTTAATGCGAAACGCAGCCGCCGTCCACTTTACACGGAATGCAGCGCTCGGCGGTGTGGGTGTGTGTGGGAGAGAGCAGGGACGAAGTTGAATGCGTGTTGTGTGGAGCATTTCTCTAGCGCTTCTATCGCAAGTATGTACTTCATTGTAAGTTTGACTTCAGTACGCGAGGGGCGATCAAATGTGTAACCAAGATTCAATTATAGCTTCGACGTTCACACTTTGACACTTCTCGAATGCGAACACATTACCTCCTAAGATACATGATATTTTTATAAATGTAATTTATAATTTATTTATTCTGCGTTCTTTATGTTTTTTTTCTTTCGCCGCAATTTTAGCGCACTGTGATAGAGAACAGAAAAGGAGGAAAAAGAGGGGAAGGAAAGAGCAAGAGAGAGAAGATCTTTATCCGTCCCTGATCGCACACACGTGCGGCTCACATGCGTGTCGAACGACTCGGAAGGCTGAGGGAAAGAAGGAGCAAAGGGAGAGAGAGAAAAAGAGAGAGAGAGCGCGATAATGGGACGGGGGGGATGTTAAGCATGCGTGACACAGAGAGATGAGAAAATTTCATATTCCGGAGGAACGGAAAGAGGCTGTGCCTGCCGGTCGCTCATTGATGAAGACGGCGTCGTCGTGAACGGTCGGCGTAATCGCTATTCCGTAGTCGCGTCCACGGCATGGCGGCACGCAGGCGGGAGGAGCCGACGAGGCAGCGGTACCAAGCGAACGCTCGAGAGAGAGATCGCACTCATAGGTGAAAAAGCATTTTTGCGACTGTTCGTGCGACTCGAGTCTTTCGCGCGTCAGCCGCCGAAAATAAGCGGATTATTCATTTTCTCATTGCGCGAGAGAGGAAGGTAATAAGATTCGGCGCGCGCGTTTTTGCCCGCGTGAGATTTCTCTTGAATGGACCGTTTATCTTCGGACCGCTTCTTCCGGTTTTAACGTGATTGTAACGTACGAGATAGGCCTGATACTGATAGAGCGATTTAGGGACGCGGGTGCGCAGTCTGAAGGAACGCGATCTTCGTTGTGCAGCGTGAACACGGCCTTCGGCGTCCTGAGAACGCTGATCCCGACCGAGCCGGCCGACCGGAAGCTGTCGAAAATAGAGACATTAAGGTTGGCCAGCAGTTACATTAGCCACTTGGACGCCATGCTCATCGCGGGTTCCATAGATCAACCCTGCACGCGTCTCTTAGAGAGCAGCGGCGCTTGCCCGACAAGGCCGCAAGTCTGCACCTTTTGCTTGGCCATGCATAAGAGATACGTAAGTCGTCAGCGGCTCGCGCACAGTTTACGTCTCGGACATAGTGACTTTTCTACGTGTAACTTTTAGGAAGACACGTATAACGTTATTAAGTTATTATTAAATTATAATTTGTTTAATGAATATCTACGATTAAAAGGTAAATAATTATTCATCTTTATGTCGACTCTTTGGATTAGTGTATACAGCCTTCTCTGTTGGTTCTCATTACGCTCCGTCGTAAAGTGTTAAGCTAGACGATTAGCAATGCGAAATATTCTCATATCTTTTCGTTCCGAATTTTCAGAGCTTTGATATCACGCAGCAAATCCCGGGCTATTCGAATGAAGAGACAAAACCGTGCGTCTACGTGCCAACGAGCGCAACATGTTTCGACTTAAACGTGAATGATATCTAAAGCCTAAAAGCCAACAGTGTAACACCTGTATATTTTTTTTTTTTTTGTAAATATTTCGTGCGATCTCTTAGTACATCTTGCGACAATGACATATTGATTACTAGAAATAGCATGTAAAATATGTAATTAATGACTACTTATTTCATAATTTTGCGCTGACATATAACCGATATCCAGACGGTATCCTGACTTCGTTGAGGAACAATATAATTTTGATACACCTGAGATACTTTGTATATCCGATTTTTAAGCGATGAAAATATTCAAACGTCTCCTAATTATAAAAAAAAAAGTAAAGAGCGATTATTTTACGTTTCGCAATTAAAACAGGACTGAAGCTAGTAAAATTTAAGAGAACAGATGGCTGTTAAAAATTAAAAAGGACAAAGGTATTAAAAGTTGATTTCTAAAATTAATATATATAAGCTTTTTATTTTTAAAATTTTCCAAAATATATCTTGAAATTCAATCTTCGCGATTCAAGGAAGAAAATCTTTTTATCTTCGGATCAGTCGCTTCAAGCTTCGTAGATTCATCTGTAGATGTCACCGCTGCGATTTTGAAGTAGCTGCGAATAAAAAAGGGAGTATCTACGTGAAATATTCAACGTAATCGGCGACGATCGCAGAATTGCAGAGCAGAACTTCCAACTGTACGATTCGGATTTTTCTTTTCACGTGTCGAGCAACAAAACGGTAGTTCTATTTGCATTAATTTGTATTAATTTGTAAAACGGACGTTGCTCGGCAATTGGGTCCGGAATCTCGATCGAAATCCGTTCCGAGACAACTCAGTAAACGAAGGGGGGATGGGGGGAGGGAATTCGACGCCACCTTTCCGCCTCCGCGCGTCGTCCCCTTTTTGTCTCCGTTCTGCAAACACCTGAACAGCGTTCTCGCGCCAGTCAGCTAATTTGCGGGCGACGCTAGTCAAAACAGCGTCGCACGGCGCATTTAACGCGGCGTCCATTTCGCGTCGCCGGCGACGATCGGCGCGTCCGATCGGTTCCCCCGCGCGTGTAACGACCCCCGTCGAATTTCCCTCCCTCCCTAGGGGTCCCTGTGGCGACGTTCCGTCGACGACGCGACGCGACGACGACGGAAGTCACTGCAACCGGAAGTCGCGGTGTTCCCTCCCCTCCCCCTCGCTCCGACGAGCGTGCGCTCGCGTTCAGTTTGAGTTTCTCAGTTCCAGTTCCCATTTTCGTCCTCGGTTTTTCTCGTTTTTTCACCGTTTCGTATTTTCGCGTTTCCATTCGAGGTTTCCGTTGAGTTTCCACGATTCGCGCGCGACACGTCGTCGCAGGGGATCGCCGATCCGTGGATCATTTCGGTAAGTCCGAGGCTTCGAGATCGAGACGCGATTTCGGAGCACACATCTGTTGGAAGTCCGTTAGCGTCCGATTTGCTCTTCTCGTCTCACCCTCGTCTCACCTTCGCCATTGCAGAAAAGTCTTCGGCGAAATTGATGGGCACGTAAGGATCGCATGCGGGAGTCGGGACACGCCGATCGCAAGAAAGAAACGCGCACGGACGATCGGAGATTTTTTGAAAAAGGTTAGTCGATAGCTCTTCGCGTGTCACCTTTGAAATTTACTTGGGAGAGACAGCAGTGTGGAAAATTCTAGGAAAGGGCCATCCTCTCGCAACGTAATCCCCGTTGCTTTTCAATGCGCTTAATGTAATCCTTAAGTGCGCGGCTTTGCAACGTCTGTAAAGCAGCCTTCCTGGACAGGAAGGCTCGGAAGGTCATTATGTACTTAAAAAAAAAAAAAAAAAAAGGAAAAAAAATACTCAGAATGCTAAAATTGCCCATTTTTAAGGAGTTATCTCGTCGGCATTATGCGAGGAGGCGAGAAGTGACGCATTGAGAATTTTGTTGCGTGCGATTTTCAAATAAAAAGATATCTGAATGAAAAGAAACGCTTCAAGTCGCTTCAACGCATTTGTAAAATTGTTCGAAAGCTATTCTTTTCTCTTGACAATTAACAAACAGCAGTAAAAAAATGTGATGCGAGAGAGAGTGTGATATGTGATATGCGATATTTGATATGTGATATGTGTGATATGAGAGAATTCAATTAAGAACATTCTTTCGAGTGCATTTCAAAGTAAAGGGCTACGTTGCAAAATAAATGCGCCTGTAAGTTTCTCAGTCGTCGTTCCAGTAAATTTTGAAGAAAAAATAATAATTATTGGCTTATCCTTATATCTATCGAGCCTGTCCAATTCAAATGTATTTAAACACATTTCGCCGCGTTTGTCGACAGAAATGTGCAGTCGCGTTCCGCGTACGAGGGCGAGATTATAAATCAGAAATTAAATATAATAACGTCATTTCTAGTCGCCACTTCGATCAAACTCCGATTAATTTAATTGGCAATCAACTTAACGAGTAATATTTTAATTCGTTTAATAAAAATTTTTGCTCCGAGAGTCATTCTCAGAGTATTAGATTGAATTAATCGGCCATTAAGTTAATCGGAGTTTGATCAAAGTCCCTTTGCGCGACGCATCAGTCACGTCCGAATGTTCAGTGTTTTTAGATTCCGACCGCGCGGGAGGAGGCGTTAATTAACGCGGCCCGGTGTACATACACATACCCGACGGAAGCGTGCGCGACGACACGCGATTGGCTTTACCCGCTCTCGATAAGGTGTGCGCGCGCGCACGCAGGCGCGCCGAGCCGAGGAGGCATCCCCGAGACGACTCTCCCGAGTTGTGGTTCCGCGGACACGGCGTAACGCGGCGCTGTCGCCCCGGCCGGCCGCCATCTTGTAAGAGCTGCCTGCCCCGTAGTGTTTGGAGGTTTACAGCGAGACGGGACACGGGACGGCAGCTTCTCCGCCGGAGGCTGGAAGTGCTGCTGAAGTGGTCGGTGCTACGGTCCTTGGCAGTCCCTGGGCAGTCCAGGTGACTATCGCGCGAGGCCAGGGTACCATCGAGCCGCCGGGACAGCCGCCAGCGGATCCTCCAGCGCGCCCGAATCCGTCGAAAGATGGTGAGTTGGTTGTGTCCGCCGTTAACACCCTGGCCCGGAGTGGCCCGGAGGAAAGAGAGCGAGCGGAGCGAGTGAGCGCCTAGATATTTATCGCGAGCGTCCGAGCTCGCGCGCGCGCGCGTGCGCGCGCGTACACACGCACGCACGCACGCGTCCCTTTGGCACGACGACGACGACGTCGTCGTCGTCGTCGTCGTCTTGATCTTCGTCGTTGTCTTCGTCGACGGCGGCGACGGCAACTTCGTCGTTGGCACGATCGACACCCGGCGTCGCGGAATCCGCGTTTTAACCTGTACGTGTCGTCGCTGACAACGACGTCGACGACCAGGAGCGACCTGTCGGAGCGTTCGAAATCGTCGTTCGCGCCAAGTATTTCCCCCCTTCCCCTTCTTCTCTCTCGTTCCCGGGGACGATTTCGTCGCTTGGCAGTTGCCTCCGTCGCGCGTATTCGCCGCGCGCCCGACCGGGCGACTTCCGGGGTTGTCGAGGGAGACGGGAGCGGGAATGGGGTCCCACGGCGAGACACGGATTCTTAGATCGCCGTGATAGAGACCACCGGTCACGCGAATCATCGCGTCATCGATCTCTCGTTGCCGTCGCGAGTGTAAACACGTCGGGGGTACCATTCTCGCGCGCGTGCGGCTCCGCGAAGATCGGAGTACGCGGCGATCTCAGGTGAGATCGCGCTACTACCTGCGCTCTCTCTCGCTCTCTCGCCCCATCCCTCTCTCCCTCTTGCTCCGTTCTCGCTCGCTCCGATCTCGGAGACTCGGAGCTGATTATAAGACGACGCACGTCGTGCGTGCTGCTCGCTTGTTTAGTCGGTTGCTTGCTTGTTTATTTGCACTTTTGACTGTCATCGCCCGCCGTCGTCGCGAGGGGGTGGGGGGGGGGAGAGGGAGAGATATATAAAGAGAGAGCAAATGAGAGAGAAAGGGAGGAGTGCAGCGGTGTGTCAAGTCCGCCCGTTTCCTCTCCTCATTTCACCCGTCGCGTGCTTCCGCGTGAAATTTGCGTTAACTGGAACGTCGACGTGTCGTCGTCGTCGTCGTCGTCGTCGTCGCCGCCGCCGCCGCTGCCGCGGCCGCCAGTCGATACTCCGCGTAGCTTCGCTCCTCGACGCTGCCGGATGCCGATCGCGGCAGCTGCGCGCGGCGCGTCACGCCGAATCTCCGCGAGGATCTGTCATTCGCGAGATCTACGCATCGCGCGATTTTCCCCCTCGTTCGGTCCCCCCGTGCCGACCCCCATAGTCGCGCGGCAGAAATTCCTAGAGTGTCCCCCGCGCATTCGCGGGATTCGCCAGCGGGTGGGACGGGAGGGGGGGGCGAGGAGTTTGACGATGCGATTTTGTACCCTCCCGAGTCTCGCCCCGCGCCGCGTCCTTACCCGGAGGATTCGCGGGATGCGTTTGCGGGGGGAAGGTCACCGCTAAGATCGGTCGGTATTTTTCGCGTTGGAGGTCCTCCTTTGCGTATTTATCTAATCGGGAATTATATGCACAGGATAGAAGGATATAAAGGGTGATCACATCAGACAGAACGCAGATATCGCTTCTATCGCTTCTGAAGATGCCTCTTCGCGACTATTTAAAATGGTAATTCCGACGCGGAGGCATTCGTGCGTTTCTTCTCCGCATCTGCCGTGTGGCGAGGATTGGGTGACGTGCCAGCTTCCTTTTTTTTTTCGGACGCAGCGGGATGCTTTTGCCCTGCTCTCCCTTTTGTTCCGACTTTTCTCCGGTGGAGCATCGTGGCGTCCCGCCGTGTCGTCCCCGTCTTTGAGAATCGATGATTCATCGGCCTCCCGTCTGTATCTTCATTCTTTCCCCGGATACATTTTTAAAAATTTCTTTGGACCAGGACCGTTTTGCCGAATGAAATTCCTCGAGATTTCGCACGTGACTTCCGCGCCGTCCTCCCACGCACCTTTTCGACGCGTCTCGCGCTAACACGTGACTTAACTGCGATTTAAATAAATCAACGGCGTTTAAGTGACGGCGATAATTCAAGGAAACGAGGAAGAGCCGTCGATCACAAGAGCCAGCGGGTATGACACGTGTCAACGTATGGGTTGCCGGCCGGTGTTGAAGAAGGTAACGCGACGGTTATTAAAATCTTGCGAATCGTTTCTGATTTCTGTGGTGAATTTACAGACAGTCGTGTGGCGAAGAAATAACATAACGGAGACAAAGCTTTTGCGTAGCAAATAAATTCTTTTGGCGCAAAGAGGAGCCGCTGGCAGTAGCTAGCTCGCCGAACACTTCCCGCTCTATGTGCAGACGTGGTGCAGTGACTCATCGTTTAAATCGCTAAACAAACTCCGGTAGTTCCTTAGCCGGTGCATGTGTACGTTAATCTGCATAATGTGATAAAGTCGCGCGCTTTAACTTCGCGCACGGAGAGGAAAGGAAAGGAGCAGCCCTCTCTTCCTCTATCGTTTCGCGTTATCGGTTCCTGGAAGAGATTAAAGGTGAAACGTCGCGAAGTACGAAACGCCGTAAACTTTTCCCCGTATTATTCACATTCTCGGCTCGCGCTCGCCCCTCTCGCACGGCGAGAGCGCTCGGTGCTTCTAATTAACGTTTCGAAATCTGGCATTTGTGTATGTATACAAATCGTCGGGCGGCAATGCCGCTTCTGAATGTATCCCGCTACAATATCGCCCGACTGATGAATCTGATGAGATTATAATGACAGGGATAGTAATATTGCGCTAATTTAGGGAAGCATCGTCGTCAGCGAAAGAGAGAGAATACAGCGGCGTCGCTCGTATTTGTACTCTGCATTTACGACAGTTTTTCACTTTCATTGTCTGTTTTTGCCTGTGCGTAAATACATTCACGAACGACGCTGTCATTGATTTGCGAGAGGCAAACTGTTGTTGAGGGATATTGCCCGACGAAATGAGTCTAAAGCTATAGTAGCAGATTGTCAAGAGCCATGTGTCTCAGAGTTAACGGTTAATAAACGAATGGCGAATTTAACAGGACAGGATTAATTAGTTATAAATTAGTTAATAAAATGCATTAAAATTGATAAAATCAAATGGAGTAAATTCCGATTAGATAATTACTACCAAGTGTTTATTTATTTTAATTTCGCGAAGGGAGTGAAGGAATCCACTAGATCCAAAGTCTTTCCATTTCTCGCAATTAATTATTTTTTTTTATTTTCTATTTTTGTAGGTTTTCCATTTGTCAAAAACAATTATGTTGTCCATTAAAACGCAAAAAATCGCGTCACATGGGGATCATAAATTATTTGTTGTTGTCACTAAATTCCAACTCGTGGAATCTCGAAGGAAGAAGAATTGGTCGCGCCCCCGCGTGATTTCCGCGCGATAGCGAATTAAAGGAAGGACTTTGCTTGTTGCACAGAGCTCGGCTTCGACCGGTGGTACGGAGGGGTCTAGTCCTGCCTCCAGCCCTGCCTCGGCCGCGAGTCTTACGATGGCTGCGCCGAAATACGGTACGCTGGTACCGAACCGTATTTTCGTAGGCGGTATCTCGGCTAGCACCAGCGAAGCGGAGCTAGCTCAGGTTTTCTCGGCCTATGGCAATGTCAAGGCCACGAAAATTATATCGGACCGCGCCGGCGTGTCGAAGGGCTACGGCTTCGTCACCTTCGAAACGGAGGAGGAGGCCAAGCGGCTTCAACAAGAGGTTCGTAATTGACGATTGATGTTAAATTTCTTCGACGAACAATCGACCGAAACGGTCGGGCTGGTTCCTTCATTCATCGGGACTCTTCTGTTTCCGCTCGTTCCAGGCTGAATGCATCGTCTTGAGAGAGAGGAAGCTCAACATAGCGCCCGCGATCAAGAAGCAGCCCTTCTCCAGATCCTTTGACGGTAGTACCGGTTCGCCCCCTTCCGTGCCTACAAGTACTTACTACTACGCGAACGGTATGTGACTCTTCTTCTTCTTGATTATGGATTTCCGACCGCTCGGAGTCACATTACCGCGGTTTAAACCTTTGAGTTTATTACTTGAATTTTCGTTCCTCAATGGACGCAGTATCACGTTTTACCAAGTTATCTTGGATCTGTGATTTGGATATTTTATATTTTTGGGTGTTTCTTACAGTGGAATATTCCTCCACTTAAAATTTTATTTTATTTTTTACACTCGTAATATTCAAAATGGATATGCAAGAATATTTCTATGATAACTCGTTGCATTAGAAGAACGGAATTCAATTAGGGAAAAATTTGTAAGAGAATTCTATAAAATTTCCCGATTTAACCATACCATATTTTGTATACGAATGTTCACATTGTTATGTGAACATTAAGAAATATGTTTGAAATTCATCTGTTTTATCGCAATACGTAGAGAATTTTGAGATACTTTGTATATATGTTTTTGATGTGACAGTATCAGGGACGATTGAAGATTGCAGAGATCGCGTTTTTAATTTCTCTACTCCTTCGCCGGTAGGTATAGGTCTCGCTTATCAGAATGGCATGACATTCTATAATACGGCAGCTGCCGCACCAACGACTTCCATCGCTCCACCTACGGATCCAGGAACGATTTATCAAGCCACAGGAGTGTTTGGTAAGCGTCACTCGCCACAATGCAATCTTACTGGAAATTGTTGCGACAAAACCCGAGGGATGCTACGAATTTGTGTTTATCGATATATTTGAGTGGAACATTTGAAAGATAAAATTGAATTTTGTCGTGAGATAAATCCCTTTCACGAATACAAATGCAGACAATTTTGATTATGGATTTCCGACCGCTCGGATTCGCATTACCACGGTTTAAATCTTCGAGTTTATTACTCGAATTTTTGTTTCCCAATGGACGCAGTATCACGTTGTACCAAATTATCTTGGATTTGTAATTTGGACATTTATATTTTTGGGTGTTTCTTACAGTGGAATATTCTTCCACTTAAAATTTAATTTTCTTTTACACGTAATATTCAAAATAGATATGCAAGAATATTTTTATGATTCGGCCGCGTTAGTCATTTGTCTCGCAACAGCCTGCGATTTAAATTTATTAATCTTCACTTAAACGCCCAGGGCCTCAAGCCGCCACCGGACATCAAACGTTCGCTCCTGTGATGTATCCATGTCCGGCTCCGTCGCTGTATATGCCACAGCAATACCAGTATTCTCCTATGCCGGTACGTAAAACAAATACATATTGCTTACCCAATCGTTTTTCATACTTCTACGTCGTCTTCGATTCTCCGTTTAGATGCTCGTGGGTTTCCCTCACACGTACATATAGATCCTAGCATAAGATCCTGACCGTCTTTGTCTGTATTTTGTATTTTTATTAAACGGTACATATCGGTTACGGTTTGACAGACAAACGGTCTGATGGGAGAAGCCATACCACCGGCGTTTCTACCCAACCCTCAGCAAATGCCTACTTACGTCCTTCTCGACGCTATACAGTATTGAGGTCTAAAGGTATAAGGTCTAAGCTAAACGACTAGCATGCCGCTCTTTTTTTAGAGCATTTTACTTTTTTTCTTCCCTTTTCCCAGCCTATTGATGCACGGCTTGTCGATGCATGTTTTTCTTCATCGCCTTTTCCGTCTCACGACCTGTACCTTGTACTCACCGGTGTCGCTCATACTAATCTTTGACAACTCACATTTTGTCGTAACCACAGTATTAAATTTAATCGTGATCTAAACGTATAAGGAAAATTAAGACCGCATTGGGAAATGCGTGTGAATATATAACAAAGGGAAAAAATTATATGATACGTGATACGATTGGCAGTTGCGTATAAATTTGATAGAGATCAATTGATATAATGGAAGCCTAAGGAGAGATAAAGATGATATGAATGTGAATCATAACATAATTCTAATAAAACACAGTTGCAGTGATACCGATAATAGAATAACGTTTTTAATCGTCATAATGATAAACACGTAATAATCAGCCTTGCAATCATTGGAAATAAAAAGTTGTAACAACAAAAAAGGAAGATAAATAATAGATTATCGATGGATTTCAATAACGCTTAAACGTAATCTTAGATCTATTCCATGTGATCTCTCTAATTCTTTGTCTCTCTTTTTCTCTCTTTTCTTTATTCCTTTTCTCTTTTATTTCTTTCCCAACTTGTTTTAATTTTCATTATAAGTCTTGTTGATATACTGTGATTAAATGTTATGATAGAAATGTCAAGGTGCTTGTCGATTTGTTCAGTATGGTTGTCTGTCTCATTTCTCGTATTGTAGTTCGTTTCACTTTCTAGAATGACACGAGTTGCACTTAATTCAGCTACGAATCCGAATCACACGCGATCGTTTCGCACGCGGGGCACGTTATTGAAACGATATTGTGTAATGTTATCTTAACAGGTAATTTCTCTCGAACCGAAATTCTATGCTTAGAAGAATAAAATAGATATATTCGAAAATAATTCTCTGTAGATCATTGATAACGAAATTACTATAAGCATGCATATGCAGTATGGGTTTAGAATGATCTCTTCTTTCTTTTACACACACACACACACACACACACACACACACACACACAC